GTTTCACTTGGAGTCCTGCTTCTTTGGCTGCTGGCAGATATTTGCCCGTTTCGGTGTGACCTGATTTCCTCAGGAAATAATCATTTGCCGACTGTATAGCAGATGGCCGCAGGCAGTGTTGGTATCGTTACAATGGCGATCAGGACGGTTAACGTAGCGTTTGATAAACAGCACACCGGCGAGGCATCACGAGTAACACGACATTGCCTCAGCTCGAGCTGGTTGCGCTCCTGGACTGAGAAAACGAGCAGTGTCTGTGGCCTTTGTGACCAAGCAGTCCAAAAGTGTCGAGAATCCGGACCTTCTTGCTTCTGGACTGCTTTCGAGGCTGTTCTGATCGAGCATGGTGTGATGGAGGGTGGTAATTTAAATGTCCATATAGTTCCGTAAGAAACGAACAATTCATCACTCTGGTTTATCCCCTTGAAAAGGCAACTGGTGGCTGGTCCCAGTCTTCAAATGCAGAGATGTGACTGAAACCACACTCTTCGAAGTGTCCTCTGGAGCCGGAGTACGATGGCTTAAACTCGAAACTGTCGGAGCAACGGGTGAAGAAGATTTTGGTCTCGGGTCCTCCAGACTGTGGATCCAATACGGCCAATTTTGACAGGGCCTGAAAACATCCTTGAGTAAGAATTGTCCGTTTGGTACGAGATGTTGTTTCAGCTTCCCCTGAACCCATAAACAAGCTCTTTGAATCACCGGGAGTGCTTTGTTGCATGGTCATGCCAGGGGTAAATCGAGGATTGGACACTCTCGTCTCTCGACCTGCCCGCATGCGCAGGTACCAAGCCGATTCGGTAAGGAACAGTCCATCTCTGCTCTGACACCTCAAGCCACGGAGAATTGTGTCGCAAAAAATGAAGCCCAGCGCGTTGATTTCTGAATCAAAGCCCTTCAGTCTTTGGCCACCACTTCTTCCACCGCGAGACAGACGTATGCAGAAGGGCTACCCGGTTGCAGAAGCTTCAACGCAAAGATCGCATCTGGTCCTCTTCACAGATATCCGGCGGCGACTGGCAAAAGGCCTGACAAGGGGCGAAAATGTAGCACAGTCAGATCTTGCGCGGCCGACCAACACTCGGTCAGCGCTCAAGGCGTTGTCGGAAAGCCTTGTAGCTCTGTCAAAAGCCTTGCAGCCCTGTCAGGAGCCTTGCTGCATTCCGAGAATGACGAGTAGAGCCTCAGAACGGAGAACAAAGGGGCCCAACAATGACGTTGAGCACAGCGCAGGTTGATGATGTTGTTTCCTGCGAGTATCCCCTGACAAGGGAACGCAACGGAAGCCGGGCAAGGTTGAAGTCTCGTCAAGAACTGGCCAGGACCGAGAAGAGTCCCTGATATGTCATGGCCCTGGTTGAATGCAATCGATACGGCGCACTTTCGTTGTTTTATCGTAGAGTGACAGAGTAACTGGCAAAATGGGAGATCATGACGCAGGGGAAACTGTATCCAAATCGCCAGCGCTCCGAGAAGGTTGCAAGGAGAACCCCGAGGATTCGAGACCATCTATGGATAGACATCCAATCCGCCGTGATCCATCTTTGTGTTGGTCCCAGTTGCCCAAACACATTCTCGTTTCTCGACATCCGAGTGTTTTTATTTTTATTTTTCCATTGTCGTCAGATTGCTGCGTTGTTTCCGCTGTTGCTCCTCCAGGTACCATCACCAGCTAGCTGGTTCGTGGTATCACCGTGCTAGCACATTTGCCGTTGCCAGATGTCGTTTTCTGGAGACGGAGACGTGTCTAGCTAGCACCAGAAGCAGAAAATATTTTGGGCGACATTTCGGGCGATTTGCTGGTTTTGGTGTCGTAGCCAGGACATGGAATATGCCAACGGTATGCACCAATCAGCCAGAGGCATATCAAACGTAGAATACGGCGGCTTGGTCGGTAGGCAGTTGAGGGACGAAAGACAACCGTCGTGGGGCATGGGTGGTGTTTCCCATCACCAACATCGTCGTCGTCATCGTCATCGTGCTCGTCCGCGTGCTCGTCATCCTCGTCAATTTCTTCGCGATTTCTTTCGTTCAAATTCGCTCGTACGATGCTTCAGTCTTTGTGGTTGGGCTCGCAATGTGCCATCAGGATGTGGAAATTATTGTGGGAGATGGAACTACCGCTAATTCTCATTCCCGTCGGATTTATCCTTCCCACATACGGTCTAGTGGTAGATCGGGGAAAGGACCTGCATGCCGGAGCGCCAACGTAGCAGATGGGGCTGACAGACTTAGCGAGGCCACTCAAGACGACTGGCAAGTTCCAGCATGCGGGTGACTCGTAGCGGATGGCAGGACAGCACAACTCCTAAACTTGAGTAGGACTAGTGGGACAGGGGTGGATAAATCCGACGGGAGTGAGAAAAAGCGGTATGTATTCACGCAAGCATTTGTTGGAGTTTGGTAAAACGTTAGAGTTCAGGTGGGAGAACAGAGGCCTGCAGCGGGGGGTTCCAGTAATTAAATCCCCCCGCAGAGCCGGAAACACCACAGTGTTCTTCTGTGCTGACCAACCTAAACTAGACAAAGCAAAAAAAGCTCCAGTTCTGACAGCAAAACAATTCGTAGAGTAATCCGCTATGTCTCCTGATCGCAACCGTATCTTTAACATGACGAAATCGTCCCTTTTCTTAAATTTGGACCATGTAATTGCAAGCTGAATTCATGACAACCTGCAGTTCTTTTCACAGGGCTGCTGGACAAGGTGGAGCTGTGGGGTTTAGACGGGCCAGGTACAGATGCACTTACAGGGGTCATGACACTGACGAAGCTTATCGATAAGGAAATTTTCCCAGCCGTCGCAGTTTGGCAATAACAGAGCGACACCCTTTTGGCTTCCCTTGGACCCTTCTCTCTTGTGATTCTGGATTGTAGCGAGGGTTGTTATTCGACAATCGCCCATCCATCACCTTTCGCCAATCGCTTTCTGTGCGAGTGCGATCTCAACTCTACTACCATGTCTTCCACCAAGAAGCACTCCCGGAGCGAGGGCGAGGAGAAGGATGCCCGTCTCGCCAAAAAGGTCAAGACCGACGACGTCAATGTCGACGGCGAGGTGAAGAAGGAGAAGAAGGAAAAGAAGGATAAGAAAGACAAGAAGGAGAAGAAGGACAAGAAGTCCAAGAAGGAAAAGAAGGAGGATTCCGAACAGCCAGCCACCGAGTCCGCCGATGTCTCCATGCCCGATGCCGACGCCGCCGCCGCCGCCGAGCCCGTAGCCGACAAGAAGGAGAAGAAGAAAAACAAGGACAAGAAGGAGAAAAAGGAGAAGAAGGACAAGAAGGCCAAGAAGTCTGACGAGTCTACGACCGAGGAGTCAACCAGCGCATCCAAGGCGACCACCAACGGCACCACCACTCCCGCCGCGTCTACCAACGGCGTCTACACCTACAAGCAGGTCGACGCCCTCAGCGCTCTCCCCGAATCCGACATCGAGGCCTTCCTCAAGGAGAAGGAGATTGTCATCAAGGATCCTTCCTCCAGCAACCTCCGCCCTATCATGAACTTCTCCCAGCTTCCTCAGTCCAACCTCCTCTCCAAGAACCCCTTCGCGGCCTACACGAACCCGACCCCCATCCAGGCCGCTTCCTGGCCCTTCTCGCTGTCCGGCCGTGATGTCATTGGTATCGCCGAGACCGGTTCCGGCAAGACCATGGCCTTCTCCCTGCCCTGCGTCGAGTCCCTGGCCTCGCGCCCCAAGCCCAAGTTCAACAGCCGCGACCGCACCGCCCATCCCCGCGCCGTCATCGTCTCGCCCACCCGCGAACTCGCCATGCAGACGCACGCCGCCCTCTCCGGCCTCGCCTCCATGGTCGGTCTGTCGGCCGTGTGCATCTTCGGTGGCTCCGACAAGAACGAGCAGCGCAACCTCCTCTACAAGAACAACGGTGTCGACATCATCACCGCCACCCCCGGCCGTCTCAAGGACTTTTTGTCCGAGGGCTCCATCTCGCTGGCCAACGTCAGCTTCGCCGTCCTCGACGAGGCCGATCGCATGCTCGACCGCGGTTTCTCCGAGGACATCAAGCTCATCCTGAGCGGCTGCCCGCCCAAGGAGCAGCGCCAGACGCTCATGTTCACGGCCACCTGGCCCTTGGACATCCAGAAGCTCGCCGAGAGCTACATGATCAACCCCGCCCAGGTCACCATCGGCCACAGGACACGTGCCGGCGGCGACGGCGAGGGTAACGGCAACATCGAGCTCCAGGCCAACAGCCGTATCGAGCAAAAGGTCGAGGTTGTCGATCCCCGCGGCAAGGAGTTCAGGCTGTACGAGCTTCTCAAGGAGGCTCAGAAGGGCAGCCAGAAGAACGACAGGATATTGGTCTTCTGCCTTTACAAGAAGGAGGCCGTCCGCGTTGAGCAGTTCCTGGACCGCAAGGGCATCAAGGTGGCTAGCATTCACGGTGACTTGAGGCAGGATCAGCGCACACGCAGTTTGGAGGCGTTCAAGTCCGGTTCTACTACCGTCTTGGTTGCCACTGATGTTGCTGCCCGTGGTCTGGATATTCCCGAGGTCAAGCTCGTCATCAACGTTACTGTGAGTTATCCCGTTAAGTTTACAGTTCAATGACCAAGTGCTAACAAATTGCAGTTCCCCTTGACCATCGAGGACTACGTCCACCGTATCGGTCGTACCGGTCGTGCCGGCAAGCTTGGCAAGGCTATTACTCTTTTCACCGAGCACGACAAGGCCCACTCTGGATCGTGAGTTCCCTGATTTTTCTTTTTCTGCATACAATATTCCCATGCTAACCATATTTCTCTTCCAGCCTCGTCAACATCCTCAGAGCCGCCAAGCAGCCCGTTCCCGAGGAACTCCTCAAGTTCGGCACCACCGTCAAGAAGAAGGCCCACGATGCTTATGGCTCTTTCTACAAGGACGTAGACCCGAACAAGAAGGCGACCAAGATCACGTTCGATTAAAGAGATTATGTAGATACCACCATATGTGAACATTGGAGCCATTTCTGTTATTCTTTCGGAACAAAAATTTCATTGGGCGTCTTTTTTCTATCTCTGTCTACCTGTCTATTTAGTCATTTTTCAAGACTTCTGTTGTTGTCTCTTACCCTGAAGGGCGCGATACCCGCTCAACAAGAATTCCCTTTCGGCGATGGCCCTGTGGTTTCTCGTCGTGTTAGCTTATATTCCACTGATTGAAAGTTGAATGAATGATATATGATTGAGCCACAGCATCTGAACCGTGACCCAACCAATTCATCAAACGAGAACGAGAAAAACAAGAAGAAAAGGGAACACTCACACAGCAACAACAAAAGGCACCGCCACCCCCGCAATCTTGAGCAACTCCCAAACCGCCTCCTTCGCACCTATCACCTCCTGACTTCCTCCCACAACCCTCCCAACAACGCTCCTAGCAACAACCGCAGCCGCCACCGCTCCCGGCTTCGGCAACACCTCCAACACTCCAAACCTCACATTCTCCCCATCCTCCTTCCCCCCAGCCCCATCCTTCCCCTCATCCCCCTTCCCAGTCCCATCCCTCAAACTCCGCTCCTTAATCCACTTACTAACAAACCCCCAACACCACCCAATCCGACAAACCATATTCACCGCATTCGCCAACACAAGTCCCCTAGCCCCCATCCCCCACACTTTCAGCGTCAGATACCCGGTCCCAGCAAACACTAACGAAAAAGCCGTCATGAAAAGTGATTGCCGATGGACCTGCGACTCGGAAGCGACGGACGAGACGAAAGCTTCTAGGATCCCGTTGAGCGCTAGGAGGGGGATGTAATACATGTAGAGGGCTAAAGTGGCGGGGGCGCTGTCGGTAGTTGTAGGGGAGGTGGGGCTGGAGGGGCTGGAGGGGGATGAGGTAGATGAGGTCCAGCGGCGGCCGGCTATCAGGGTTAGGAGGGGGGAGGAGGCGGGTGGGCCGAAGACTAGGAGGGGGAGGGAGAAGAGGAGGTAGGAGTGGAGGAGGGTGGTGAGGGCTGTGGAGGCTTGGGATAGGGCCTGTTGGGAGGGGGAGGGATGCTTGGGAGAGGAGGAGGTGGAAGGGGAGGTGGTAGATGGGGAAGTGGTGGATGAGGAAGAGGTGGGAGAGGTGGGAGAAGAGGTGGAAGAGGTAGCAGGAGTGGTAGAGGAAGGAGGAGTAGTAGTAGAGTCAGCCAACAACCGACTAAAATAACTCCTACTACTCTCCTCAACCGGCTGAAACACCAGTCTGGCTAACAACCCGCCATAGTTATTCGCCAGCGCGTAAACCCCCTGCGCCGTGGGCGTAGACAGGATGCTAACCAGAAAAGTGTCGCCCTGCGTGAGGATGTGCTTGACCACGCTTTGCGCCATCATGCTGGAGGCTAGGTCGAGGGTGGGGCGGTAGAAGTAGCCTAGGACGAAGTCGTCCTTTTTCCCTCCCCCTCCCCCCTTCCCCTTCCCCTTCATCGTCTCTTCTTCCTTCCCATCCCCCGTCCTCTTCTCCTTCTCCAGCTCCCGCTGCTTCTTCTCACCTCCAGACAACAGTCTCGGCAACAACGAAAACCCCTCCCTCCTCCCCAACCCCCACCCCTTCCACAAATAAACCCCCAACAGTCCCACCGCATAAGTAACCTGCCCAACAGCAAACGGCAACGTCCCCATCTCTTTTTGGGCCACCATCGCCCCCCAGACCGCCGTCCCCAGCGTGACCGCGCACCGCAAAAAGGTAGCCACGCTCTCCGCCGCCGCGCGTGTGCCAAATTGAAACCGGATCTGCATCACCGCGAAGCAGGGCTCCGACAATAACTCCAGGATGGCGGCCAGGCCGTAGAGGTACAGACTGGGGACAAGAAAGGGCGTGGAGGCGATGGTGAGGGGGGAAAGCGAGGAGAGGTAGAGGTGGCCGAAGAGAAACGAGAGAGGGAGGGAGAGAGCGAGGGAGAGGTGGGAGAGGTTGATTACTGCTTGCGTTGCTTTTGCGTTTGCGCTGCCATCACTCCCATCCCTCCCAGCTGCTCCATCTTTCCCATCTTTGGCGGTTCCGGAAGGAGTTGTTGCGGTTTCGTCGGAAGGGGTGGAGGATAGAGAAGCGGATAAAGCAACGGTGTCTTGTCGCTGGATGGCTACCCTTAGGGATTCCCGAGCGAAAAAGATGACGGAGAGGTAGTATACTTCTAACTGGGTGGAGACGCCCAGAAGGGAAGCGGTTAGGAAGCGTAGCAGGATTTGGTTGGCGATGAAGGTCAGGGCGCGGGAGAGGATTTGGAGGAGGATGAGGAGGGAGGCGCCGCGGAGGGCGCGGGTGGTGGTTGTTGGTGGTGGTGGCTCTTTGAGGTCGGCCATGTTGCCGTGCGGATTTGGGATGTTGACGGGAGGTTGATGAGCCTCAAGTCAGGGGCATCATGAGTTGGAATGAGATGGACAAGTCTGAATCTGGCTTCAGTTGAGGAAATGACGATTTGACAGCTTGTTGGTCGTCCAACAGAAGAGACTCCACCCGTCCCGCTGCGGTGCCACGTGGCAGCCCTGCTCGCTGTGGAGGTCGTTGAACCCACTGTAATCGGAGAGATTAGGGGCAATTTCCAGGGGTTGCTGGTCCCCTTTTTCTGTTCATCACTTGTCGGGCAATATCGAATTTGAGGTCATCATCATTTTGAAGACAGAGCCGCAGACCGGATACATCCACTGATGAATTGGACAACGACCGCAAGTGATGGCTCTTTCCATACGGACTGTATTCGGCAGTGCGGCTCCGGGACTTCGGAGCTGGTTCTCGGCTGTTTCGTTTTGAGAGAATGTTCGGGATTGCCTCCGGGCCCCGCGACCAGAGCTGCTGGCGGGACGGGAACACAGGCGAACGGCTGTCACATGGAAGCCAAAGCAAATCCAAGCCGTCATGAATCCAAGGAACCTTCGAGTTCCCTCTACTCCATCTCTCCCACTGGGTAGAGCCCAACCCATCAACTGCGGCATCATCTATCTCACTACGCAGTACAAGCAGTTGAGGCGAATGATGGACCACCCAAATCGAATACATCAAGATCGACTCAACGAATTCCTCGTCTCTGTAGAGGTGGTTGTTGAGTCACTGAGCTGACCTCCTCAGGCGCACTTGTACAACAATCAAACCCAACTCCCGTGGATAACCATCTCCCTCAACACATTCGATACAGAGACTATGTATGACTCGGCTCAGCGGCCTAATCAAATAAGCACTGATTCAAAATCGCGATGCTTCTGCGATGCCTAACTCTAATCACGATGATTCCAAATGAAAACCATACATCAGTCAACCTCGACGGCTCGGCCTAGGCAGTCCGTGGCACAGCCCTGCTTGCTTGCCTTACCGCAGTACCTTACTTCTAACGTCAGGTACAGGAAAATGAGGCTTGGCTACCTCTAGAGGTAGGTAGTCGAAGAAGCCCTCGGAAGCCTAAACCGACATATTTTCACATTTCCACATGGACATCTCTTTCTGTTCCAAGATCCCGGTAAAATCATTAGGCTGCAATCTCCACCAATCACCTGGTTTAAGGCCTCCAATAGTTAGCGCTGAAGATATTGCCTTCCCGACCCAGTGGTTTCCAGCAGTTGTTACAAGCCGAAGCCGATGGGATGGTGCCCAGTTGAGACTTGCTTGAGACTTCTCCTGAAACAGAATGAAATCATATGAACAGAACAGTATTTGGGTCTAACGTTCTGGAAGTGGCCTTTGTCTTGTCTTGTCTTGTCTTGTCTTTTCTCAGGACCATTCAGAGGACAGGAGGAGGGTGATGGACAGTGGGCAGTGGGCGGCAGTTCGCAGCGGTTCATCCGAATGGATGGATAGATGAAACTGGTTGAGACTGAAATGGATGGATGGATTGGATGGATGTCTCTAACCTCACAACCCGATATCGCCGATCTCCAAATCTTCTTTCCGCCTTAGTATCATGATGGCCTTGTGATCACGACTGGTAGTTGTGAGCTCAGGTGAGGTGCCAGCGCATAAACGAACGTAACGGCACAACTTGAACCCTTGTGAAGAAAAGAATCCCATTCAGATTGTCCCAGGGCTTTGTTTGTTCCATCCACGAACCCGACCCCCCGCCGCCGTAGACCCCGCGAGGCCCCGTAGTCCCCGGTTTGCCACACAACGGAACTTCGGGTATTCTCGCCCTATCAAACAATTGGTTGTCTCCGAATTAGGATGTCTGTAACAAAGCCATGGAGTGCCGAGTGAGGTGTCAAATGGGAATTTCACCGCTCCGCCTACCGCCTACAGCCTAGAGGTACCGCCGCATCAAATCAGCTGGTGCCGTACGGGGATGGGCGTTGGCGGCCTGGGCCTAATAGGTCTGTCTGGGCACAAATCACAATGAATGGGTGTGGTCTCAGTCGTGTAGGGGTACGACCACCAACCAACCGCCGCCTGGAGGGCGTCATGGTCGATCGCCACTTTGGGACATTCTCATTGTACTCGCAAATGAAACTCACCGCAGCTGGTATAAGAGATGGGCGGTCGCATAAAGGTTTGCCTTTTTGCTGCTGAAAGTTCCGTTTTACAGGACCTTTTGTTGAAGTAACGATGAGATAACCTCAACTTCTCGGACATTATCATCATTCTACTTTGCACGCATCAAGTTTCGAAGAACACTCAAAAATACCCAACTATAACACAACACTCAAACATGCTATACCGCGATCCCATCATCATGCAACACCAACATCAACAAGATCAAAACCAGGGTAGCCAAAGTCAAAGCGAAAGCCAACCCAACTACAGCCAACAAAGCGACGCCAGTCTCAGTCTGAACAGCCGCCGCGGCTACCCCCGCCACAGGATGCCCTATCCTCCCTCCTACCATCGTCTGCTCACCCCGCCTAACGAGGAGTACGCGACGACCTCTCAGTCGAGCATGTCGGAATCACAGCGCTCCATGGGCTCGGCATCGTCTTCAAGACGCAGCATGATGTCTTCGTCGCAGTTTTCGACTATTCCTACGCTGAGGAGACAGGATGCTACTGTTGGTCAGGGCTGAGGATGAGCAGTTTCAATGCGAGGACGATATGCGACTGCCATTCGAATACCACTACGAAGTCTAGGCTTGAAATTATAACAGGCCCGGAGGCCTGTATATCTAGGGCCAGGTAACGGGATGCAGTGGTCGAAAGCGGGGAATCTACCTTGAAGAGACGGGAAAATCCAGACCACGACCGACACGCCCTGGCACCCTGCCGCCCTCCATCCGGGTACGGGGGGGAAAGAGGGGGAAATTCGGAATCATGTGTCAGCACCCTCCGTCCGTCACACCAGTTCTATCAACCTATTTGCGACGAATGAGTGCGACACACACACGAGACACACAGCTGTCACGCTGAGCGGGATGCTTGGCCCGTTTGTCTGTCTGCCTTCCGAGGTAGCACACTTGCACGGGTAAGCTGCGGCGCGGCTGTGAGCGACTGGGCGGGCGCTGCGCCTTGGATGGAATACCAAACTCTTGGGAAGGGCAGATTGTCATCGTGCTGGGAAAGGAAGTGGAGGAAGGGAGGAGATTGAGAGAAGGGGAGAATATGTGATGTTGGTGACTAAGATTGACGACCCAAAACACTGGCTTTGGATGCTGGATCATGATGAAGGAGACGGAGGTGGTGAATCCCTTTAACGGTGAAAATGTGTCATTGTAGCGCGCCCCGCAAGATACCTGGAAGACTTGGTGACGTGGCTTGTCCGCTAAGCACTCCGCCTACATCGTTAGTAAATGCTACCAAGGCTGGGGTCTTCGGGGTACTTGCGAGCCCGAGAGGTATCCTGCAGGAAAATGAGGACCACCGATTGGCTCAAACTTGCATGACGCTAAAATGACACATTTTCACCGTTAAAGGGATAGGGGGGGTTGATTATAGGGCTGTTGGTGCCTGTCAGCCTGTGATGCATCAGCAGCCGATGCGACTATGCGCGTGGGCATACGGCGCTAAACCGGCGGCGGCCCATGTGTAAGATGGCAGGACGCTGGAGGGATGAAGGAGGAAGCCCGGGAAATCTTGTAACAACAGAGCGCTCTGGTTTTTGAAGAGTTAATGGCGATAAATGGTATAGAAAAGGATACAAATGAGGATAGTATATCGACATTGTGTTTTTCAACTCGCTTGTCCTAGAGTGTTTGTGAGTGATACCCCAATATTCTCCGTCGGCGGTTTCGAATGCAATTCCACTTGGAGTTTGTACCTGCAGGCGTTCCGGCATGTCGGCTGAGCACGACCTCGTGTTGGTTGTGAAGTCGCAGTAGGCAACCGTGATATTATTCGGTAAAAAGGCTCCGGATCCTTCACGGATCGTGAAAGTAACCGGCTTCACATGTGGTAGTGTTGTGTTCGGCAATATTGGCTTTGGGCTTGTCTTGATCGGAATCGGAAAGACTACAGTTCCAATATCGATACCGGCGACAAGGTAGTGGGCGATCCGCTTGCAACGGAACGCAGAGACAAACGAAACAAAATGGTCGAGTCGGGGCAGCGGCGACGCGATCAACTGACAACGAAGACTCCGGAGTGAAATGGCGCCCCTGAGTTCGTCATCGGGATCGCCCTCAGCACCGTCGCTTTCCCTTTTTTGGTAGATCTGTCCGTGCTCCCCGCGTCTGGTTGGCCAACCACACGTGGATTGACTGGATTGACCGGATCCACAAAGGCCCTGAACCCACTGTGTGATCTCATCCACTTGCGGATTTCCAATGCCAAGCCTTGAGGACCAGTTGCCAATGTCATTTTCATTTCAGGGCTTTTCCGCTTTTGAAGCTCACGATAACACAGCCACATTTTCCTTGTTGCCGTTTCCCGTATCAATGTGTCCGGTAGGTGACCGATAGTGCGACTCCTTTGGGCATGTCCAAGCATTCCAGTCCGAGGAACATAAGCTCGGAACACGCTGACTGTGGCATCGTTCGTATCATGCTCGTCGTGACAACTGAACAAGGACGCATTGCTGGGAACAAAATTGAAAAGCAAAAAAAAACAAAATGACCGGGTCGGGTGCCAAGTGGAGTGAAAGAACTGGCTCAAAGAGAGCTTGGCACTTGGCAGCATTGCTCGATTCAGCTGCCATTGCAGATTCTCACGCATCCGGCCAGCCCGCCAACCTCCCAAGAATGGATTCCTCTGGACTCTTGGCATGAAATTGGCCTGTTCTTTTCCCCACGGTAAGGAGGACCGCACCGGGTCGCACTGGGATGCAGCTTCCAGTTCTCTCCGGGCCACCGCACATCCACTGCCCAATTGACTTGTACATTTGCCCACTCTTACCCACTCCTGCCCACTCCAACGGTGATCCAACCACTGTTGCTCACTGCGCTGTCCACTGTCCAGTCTGTCCCACTGCACCCGCCGCGCGTTCCATTTCCAGGACCGCAGTTCCAGTTGTTCACTTCAGTTGTTCACAACTTCCAAGGAATCCACATCGGATCCATCGTGGACGTGAGCACCTTCGCTTCCATCTCGACGCTGGTCTTGTTCCCTTTGCCGGAAACAACACACAACATCGAAAAACACCATATCGACATTGTCGAAAGGGGTCAACAGCACCAACACCGTGCCTTTTCCATCGATTGTTGGCAGATTTCACTCGCTACTGGTTTGATTCCAACAAAACTTGATTTCCTGCCTCCCCGCCAACTCGTCCGAGTTCTCGTCACTTGCTCTCCTCCTCCCTCCTGTCGCTCCGTATAACCAACAGTCTTCTCACCACCACGCAAATCCCGACGACAATACCCGTTTCGTGCGTCGCTCTCAATCGCCAGACACGATCCGATACTGATACGTTACGAATTTCACATCCGCTTGATACCATACCGCTGTCGTTTGTGCAAATTAATCTCCGAGTTCCGATTACGAGTTGGGTGGTTCAGTACGATAATGTTGGATTTGTAAAAACCGAAACAAACAATCGACTACTTGGACTTTGATCGACTATCAACGTTAATTTTGAGTTGGGAATTTGGGAAACATAAAACGGATTAGAGTACGACGAAAACCACAAACCGCCGACGACATGAAACTTTGGTCAGCACGACCGCTTGCGGTCCTCGCATCACTCGCGACGCTGGTCGCCCCCTCTTTCGCTCGCGATAGGGAGCTACATTCAAACTCGCTCAACGCCTGCCAGGAAAACTCGGGCTTCACGGCCAGTCTCTTCGATGTCTCCTTCTTCCCCGACAACGGAACAGTCAACATCAACATGCTTGCCACCTCGTCCATCCAGGGCTACGTTGTTTTCGACATCCGTATCTTGGCCTACGGCTACCAAATCATGCACGAGGTTCTTGACCCGTGCAATATCGGCATTGGCCTGGGCGGTTTGTGCCCCATGAACGCGGGCAAGATGGGCAATCCCTTCAGACTGGAGCTCGGCCCGGAGGTCAAGGATAGAATTCCGGGAATCGCCTACACCTTCCCCGACTTGGATGCCACGGTTAAGGTCTATGTCAACATGACGGACGGAGAAATGGCTGGAGAAACTGTTGCCTGCATCGAGGCCAACGTCTCCAACGGCATGACTGGTAGGTTAGGGTTGCCCCCATAATATGCAGGAAAAGTGCTGACTCGGCCTTGTGTAGTCGATCTTATCGGCGTCAAATGGGCCACCTGGGCTGTTGTCTTCTTGGGCATCATGTCCTCTGTCCTGCTCTCTGGTCTCGGATACGCTAACGCTGCCTCCCATGTGGCTTCCAACACGCTGTCGCTCTATGGATACTTCCAGGCCCAGGCCATGATTGGTCTCTGCGGTGTCCATCTTCCTCCTGCTGTGCGAGCTTGGACCCAGGATTTCGTATGGAGTATGGGTATCATCAGAGTCCAGTTCATCCAGGATATCCTCACATGGTATCAGCGGGCTACTGGTGGTACCGCGTCCACCGTGCTTAACTCGCTCGAGACCGTGTCCGTCCAGGTCGAGAAGGTGAAGCGTGCGCTACCAGCCGAATACGTCGATCCCGCTATCAACCTTTTCAAACGGGCGACCGCTATGTTGCCTCGTGCCGCAGCTCATATCGGCAGCAGAATTGCAAAGCGAGCCAACGTCCAGACTTCTTTCGGCAGTTACATCGTCTACGGTATCCAGCGAGTTGCGTTCCGCGGTAAGATCGAGTCAACCAACTTGTTCATGACCAGTTTGACCTTCTTCTACATCTTTGTGGTGTTCACTGCAATCCTGGTCATTCTGTTCAAGGTCGGACTAGAGCTTTTTGCCAAGATGGGTTGGGTTAAAGGCGACGCCTTCTCCGATTTCCGCGCGGGTTGGATTACTGTTCTCAAGGGTGAGTTGCCTTTATCATCAAGGTTGATTTCCGTTTACTGACAATTCCGTTAGGCATCCTTTACAGAGTTGGACTTGTTGGGTTCCCGCAGGTCACCGTTATGTGCATGTGGGAGTTTACCCAAAATGACTCTCCTGCGGAAATGGCCTTGGCCGTCTTCTTCTTCTTTGGTCTCCTGGCTACCCTTCTTTGGGCGGCTTGGAGGGTTATTCGGATTGCCCGCCGTTCGATTGCCCTTCACAGGAATCCCGCCTACATCCTGTTCTCGGACCCTCAGGCCTTGAACAAGTGGGGTTTCCTGTATGTGCAGTTCCGCGCTTCAGGCTACTACTTCATCGTGCCTATCCTCTTCTACATCGTCATCAAGGGCATGTTCATTGCCTTTGCTCAGGCCAATGGCACCCTCCAGGCTATTGCGCTTCTTATCATTGAAGGTGGGGCGCTCATTACCGCTACCGTCATGCGCCCGTGGATGGACAAGAGCACCAACACCTTCAATATCTCCATTTGCGCCATGAACTTCCTCAACGCCATCCTCCTCTTCCTTTTGACGGACGTTTTCGACTTCCCGCCCTTGGTTATTGGTGTGGTGGGCGTGGTTCTCTGGATCGCCAACGCCGTTGTTTGTTTGATCCTCCTTCTCATGCTTATCATCACCACCTCGATGACGCTGTTCCACAACAACCCGGATACCCGCTACCAGTTCATGAACGACGACCGCACCTCTTTCATGAAGTCGAACCCGCAGCTCCACACTCAGTCGGAACTCGAGGCACTGGGTGTCACGGCGCGTGGCGAGAGCAAGCTTTATACCAAGTCTCCCTTGAGCTTTGAGGATGACGATTCGGAGGTATCGGGCCCCAGTAACCCGCTGAACCGTCCAGGGACGGCCGATAGCAACACTGGCAACCCGCATATCCACTCCAACAGGTATTCCGGGCGTTGGAGCAACGACCCGTCCCTCAGGAAGGATGAGCCGTTTGTGCGACATAGGCCGAGCGGAAGCATTCAGACGCCGAGTCCAATGACGGATTCGGCCTCGAGTCTGCCGGGAGGGCGGATTTCAGAAGAGAAACCGCACAACACAGCGAGGTACGTTTGATGGGAATGAATCATGTACCATGTTCAGTTAGCTAACTTGCGACAGTCCTTGGCAACGCGGTGCCGGATATGAATAAACCAACAGAACGACAAACACCAGCGAAGGAAACACCCCCAAAACCTCGTCCACAAGGTCCCCGGAATCTATACCCAATTTTGGCTACCTTATCCATATTCCCACCACTACCCTTTTTTCTTGTACATTTCTTTCTAATGACGGTACCGTAATGTCTAGCCATGCTATGAGCTAATTGTTGCGTTACGGTCTCGAACACACACGCACATCTTATCTTTTAATTACCATCTATCTCTAACGCACACTATTGTCGGTTTTATGATGTGGTAAAAGTGGGGTTGCTTTGCTTTGCTATATCGGTATCATGGGCAGCATGGGATGCTATGTGACTGGATGCCGACATGGGATCTTATCTTGTTTTTGGCGGTGGCGGCGACGGCGGGGAATGGATGGGTAGAAGAACGAAGTCCATTGATGTTGCGTTGATTGGTGTCATGGGAGGTTGAAGGTTGAGCGAAACCCTTTTCTATCCGGAACAGATATGAGAATAGACAGAAAAATGGAATGAAACAGTGTTATAATGCTTTGTTCTCCCACGTTCGGAGGTTCATGAAAGTGAGGTGGTTATGGTCGAGGTGGTGTAAGAACTCGCACATGTACTGACAAGCAGACAACGCAGGGGCAAGCGTCTCTGGTGGCTGTGATGCAACAGTGATTCCATTCCAAAGATCGAATATGATTCGCTGTGGTTATAAAAACGAACAAAAACAGGATGAAACAAGACATCAGCTGAAAGAGGTCGGGATGCCCCACTTTGGCGCTTTAGAGGTATCGTCACCAGTCCGGGGGATCGTCACTTCGTCACTGGTGATAGGGTTCAACAACGTTTCGTTTCCTTGGCCAGCACTGCCCCAATGCCCCTGTACCTGGAACTCCAGGTCTCTTGCGCGAGTTCCAGACCGCTCGCTGTTTGCCCTTGCCATATGTTGCGACGAAAGCGCGCGTCTACGCCACTTCTTGTAGCACGCGGGTACCTGTTTGGATATTGAGTGGCCCCCGGGGGACTGGAGTCAACTGGAGTCCTCAGCTAGGTTTAAACTTTATTTCAACTGCCGATACCGTCACCTTTTCGGTCCTTGATCTTACAACCTACCTGACCTTACGACCAGCCACCTTAATAACGAGACTACGCTGTAAATCCAGTCACCTACCAACACCTACGAGATCTACGAACATCTACGAAACTTCCTCTGGACACCTATCAACCGAATATCTCTCTCTACCTTTGTCTGCGACCTGCGACCTGCGATTACCTACGCCGTCGAATTCGACTTTGAACCACTGCACTACAAGAAGAAGTCAGGCAGACCTAGACAAGACAGCAAAATGGTCGCTACTACTACCACCAACGCGCAACCAACGATGGAGGCCTCCTCCCTTCCAGCGGCGCCCGCTGCTGCTGTTATTTCTGAACAGCCCGTAAGTCTTCCTCCCAATTCCCATTAGCATACCAGCACCACATCAACAGGCACCCTCACCTTCCCGTCGCACCGTACGCAAACCGAGGTGTTCCTCGCGATGAACCGAGCGTTAGAAGAAGAAAGCGCATTCGAAATATGCTAATTCCACGCAACAGAAATCAAACCCCATGCTCCCCACCGCCCAACCCCAATCCCAGTCCCCCTCCCAAACCCTCGACGTCCAGGACTCCGAAGAGCAGGAAGTGGGAGTGGGACTCAGAGGCGGCTGGATGACCATCGGCAAGCACTTCAACTGCTGCGGACTCAACTGCGGGTTTAGCAAGACCTTTTAGAGAGACTGCTGCATTACCGCCCCTACCGCCCTTATCGTGAAAGCTGCTGCTGATGCTTCCACTCGGTGCCGCGAAGCTTTCGATGCTTCATGTTGTTGGAGACCCGGTCCGGCTCTATGTTGTTGTGGCGAGGGCTGTGAAAGAGGCGATTGGAAGGGCGACTGGAAGTGGGATGCGAGGATGTGTGCGACGCCGATGGCGGGTGGGGTGTATACTATGGGGGGAGGGCTGATTTGAGATGGATGCACGCTTCCACGGTGCGGTTGACCGCTACGACAAGGTTCGGTTTGATTTGGCATTGACGAAGTTCGAGGGATGTGAATTGGTGGCGCACGACATGGTGGGATGGAGGATACATTACCTCTATGATTGGGGGCGCGCTGGGAAAACCGAAGGATACTACATGATGACTTGGACGAGCAAACGATGCGACGATGATGGATGGGAGGACTGCAACGAGGGAAAAGGATGTTTGGTGGTTTCCCTCTTTATGGTGTGGCTGCCATAATGGCTTATCTCTTTCCTGCTTTTGAAGCGGCACTTCTGGATGGATGGATGGATGGATGACGGAAGTTTGATATACCTTAGGACTGATGAATGACGAATTTTCAAAGATTTGAACAAATAACTTCGTCTTGACCTGGGCCAATGGAATGCTGTACGATGTTGGATCGCCTGGTGGCTCAAGAGAGGTGAGATACTGTCATGCTTTCCTCCTTCACTACCTATCCTAGATAACCTCATCGACAAACGATCCAACTCGACGATACCATCCTCCAACAACAACAAGTCCTCAGTCGGCTCCCACTTTCCATACCTGTTATTCAACCCAGTCAGTCAGTCTCTTAGGAGCGAGCACGCATACCTACCTACGACAGTGTCAGGCACCTGAACCAGCAAAAATACCAACCTTTCATCCCATCCCATCCCATCGCATCCCATCCAGGCACCTTCCCACTCCAACCCTCTAACAAGCAATATAAGCTCCCTAAACGGCACCTACTTTCACCAACAACCGCTCGGTCAGTCAAATGGCGCAACGGTCTAGTCTACCGTCGCAACACCTCAAACCTCCTCCTCCTCCGAAAAAAAGATACCTGTCGGTTCGGGCAACGATGATGTACATTCAAGTAACTTAACCCAAAGAGCAGTTCCACATCGTTAGACCGCGTTCTTGACTATCAAGGATCTGTTAGTATCTGCAGCGACAGAAGAAGGTAGGTAGGCAATTGCACAACTAATAAACAATAAAGGGTGTGTTTCGACGGTTAACCGATGTGTGCTGCTGCTTGATTGAGGATGGGTTGTTGGTCATTCTTTTCTTTTTCTTTTTTTTTTTTTTTTCTTTTTTTGGCATTAGGAGGGAAGAGAAGAGGTATTTTTTTGTACCTTTCTCGGAGACAGATGGAGGAGATGGATGGGGAGAGGGAGAGGAGGTCGCGGGTTCGAATGATGCTAGCGTGACCATTTCTTTTTTTCTACTTCTTTTTTTTTTTTTTTTTTCTCTCTCTCTGCGACTGCCGCTGCTGCTGCTGCTGTCGATGCCATGACAGACGGACGGACAGACACAGCTGGCTGGACCTAGGTGCCTGGCACTGACTGTCGCATACCTGCGGCTCTTAAGAGACTGAGTGAGTTGAATAACGGGTACTGTGTGTGGTATCAATGGAAAGTGGAAGCTGATTGAGGAGGGCTTGTCTTGGAGGATGTTATCGTCCAGTTCCTCCCTGTCTGTCAGTGCTGCCACGAGGTAGGAAAGGATTATTTGGATGAATGTCTATGGTGTTTTTAGTGAGGGAAGTGCGAGGCAGGTACTGATGGACTCGAAGTTCTATATCGAGGTGAAGTGGTTTCTTCTTCTTCTTTTAAGACGTGCTGGGGGTTCGAAACTATGGTACTCTTTGGGCATCGTCACATCCCAGTCGTTTCCGCTAATAAAACTTTAACGGCATCAACACCAGGACATACTGTGAAATGGAAACGCTAGATCGTCCTTCCAATGTTTAGTTCTACGTAATATCTGGGTTGGGCAATGCTTGTTGGTTCGGTTTTGCATGGGATGGAAAAAGATAAAAGATACCTGGTGGAAATTTTCAGCTGTATGTAGTTAATGTTTATGAATGTCAAGACGTTTCTCTGTACCACATTGCTCTTTGCCACCTAGGGGTTTCCACATGAACAAAAAGCCCATGTTGCCATTTGTTGTTCGTTAGTGGATCTGCGGTGATGAAGATAAGTCATTATCAAATCTCCTAGCGATGTAAGCGGTCAATCAGTTAGTGGACTAACGCAGCGGACATCAGTCACGTTGGAATATACTCTCTAGACACTATGCGATTACTGAGTAACGAGAGATGGACGAGACTTTTGTTAATAAAGGCTCTTCATAACGTTGGCCAACATCAATGACTCCGTTAAAGTTGTAGATTATATCATGGTGTTGACGTTTGGTCCATGACCGAGAAATACCGGCCAGCGTGACGGGGATGAATCTCGTTTCGCGCTTCTTATTCAAGCTTGAACTAGTGTGGCACGAAACGATCATCGGTTGAAGGTAACGGACACAACCTCAAACATTCCTCCTCCTAGCCCACCTCCCCAAAAGCTCCCGGCCCTCTAACCTCCACGTATCCCTCTCAACCACCAACCCTCCCTGCTCCTCAGTCTGCAGCACCAAATCCACACCTTCCTCACCATCACCACTCCCATACGCCGGCCACACTACCACCTCCTTCCTGTCCCTATTCTGATCCCCATTAGGCGTCCCGTCACTAACAAAGTTAAGCCAAAACTCCGTCATCACATCACTCAACCCCCAATACCCCTTCCACGGCCCCAAAAACTCTGGATGCTGAAAGACAAAAGCCAACTCCGTCGCGTGCGTGACTCCATCCGCCGCCGGAGCCAGCGCTCCGCATCTCGTCTCCCCCTTTCCAAACGATCCGGCAGCTTGTGGCTCGCAGGTGACGTTCACCTCGTTTGTTGCTGCCAACAGGCCTTGGTACTGCAAGTTAACCTGAGAAAGCCAAGGGCGGGTGTTGAACCGGTACACAAACGTGCTGTTGGGGCTGCTGCCGTGGTAGAAAGAGTAGTGTCGGGCATCGAACAAGCGGGGGGAGTGGTAAAAGACGTCGCCTAGTATGGCAGCGGCGCGTTTATATTGCTTGCCTCTTTTGCTCGTTTCTTGGAAGGTCGTGTTACCCGTGTCAAGCGGGATTCCCTTGGCCGGGTCGTCGGGGTAGAGGTCTAGGATTTGTTGGACCGTGGATTCGGGAAAGTTGAAGCCGGATTGGTTCCGCACCAAGGCAAAAATCTGTTCGTCGGTGGAAATTCCCCAGCGCGGCGCGTTGTCCGTGCCTTCATCCGAGTTAGTACCCAGCAAGTGCGGGATGTCGCTCGCAAAGCGGCCTTGGGCTAGGAGGAAGGAGGGGAAGGCGGGAAGCAGGTCGCCGTCGATGATGGGGTAGAAGCCCGGTCCGCCGTCGGTTATGAGCGTGTAAGGGCTCATGAGGGGGTAGAGATCCGGATAAGGGATGGTGCGTAGACAGGCGAGGGTGTCGATGGCTTCGGAGCAGTTGGCTCGCTGGACTAAGAGGTCGTAGATGGGCTGGTAGCGTTCGGTACCGTTGTACCAGGCTGTGGTGGCGGAGCCGGATTCTTGGATTGTTGCGTGGAAGAGCGGCTTGCCGGTGCCTTTCCCTTTCCCTTTCTCTTTTCCTTTCCCGTCACCCTTGCCTGGTGCACTGGCAGGACCCCCCAACCTCCCCCCATAAGCAACCACCAACTGACCAACGGCAAAACTCCCGCTGCTTTCGCCCCAGATCGTCACCCGTCCTGGATCCCCGCCGAAGCCGGCGATGTTCTCCTGCACCCACTCCAGCGCCTTGATCATATCCCTCAGCGCCAGGTTCGTGTTCCCACTACCCATGATTTCCTGAGAGAACAGCAGTCCCCACGAAGACTTGCGGTAGTTGATGCTAGCCGCCAGTATCGGCTTGCCCATCTCCACGGACCGCTGGACGATGAAACTCAGGTTGTAGCGCGGTAGACCGGAAGTGCCGAATTGGTAGGAGCCGCCGTGGATCCAGAGGACGACTGGTAGTGGCTTTTGCTCTCCTGATGCCCGGACGATGTTAATGGATAGGCAGTCCTCGGACATGCCGTGGAGAGTGTCGTTGTCGATTGGTGACGGGGGCGCATGATCGGGGCAGGCGGGGGAGTAGGTGGTTGCTGAGTGGGAGCCGGACCAGCTTGTGTTGAGGGATTGTGGAGGGCGGAAGCGGTTGGTGTCGGCGGTGGATTGGGCGTATGGAATGCCGAGAAAGAGGTCTTGAGAGAAGAAGGGGAGGTGAAGGCCGGTGTAAGTGCCGTTGAGAGTGTGGGCTTGGGGTGGTCCGGATGAGTTTGTGGTGGTCGTGGGGACGAGCGGGAGGTGAGAGGTGAGGATGATGGCGATAGCTGTCAGGGTGAGATGCCCGAGTGTGATCATCTTGACGGTAGTTTGCAGAGGTTGAGAGAGCTGCACTATTCCGTGTCCTCATTGAGATCGCGAGGTGTCGTCTTAAGAACCGAAGAGTAGTAAACAAGCTCGCTTTACTGATGATGTTGGCAACCAACAAGTCTGACATGCAGCGAAGGAAGGCATCACTGGTTCCTGATAGGAAGACCAAACAATGCAAGTACGAGAGTCCGAGGTCTCCATGTCGCATCGGAGGTTCATGTTACACTGCATCACTCGACGATCTCTTTTATCATTCCCCCCCTTTTCAAGCTCTCTCCCCCTCGCTCCCTCCGCCCTCTTGTTGGAAACTCAAGCAACATTCCCCCTACCTGCTTCCGATCCTTAACCGTGCTATCCCTTCACAAAAAACACAAATCCACCCGACCGCCAGGGCGCACGTAGACGTAATAACCATCCATATATCTCTGCGCATCCGCATAGGCCCACAAAATCCCCTTCCTAATATCCGTGCCCACGGGATAACCCGAGCTGGGTATAAATGCTCGAGCAGATATACTCGATATTCGCCCGCCCCGGCGGGGAGATGTTTCCTCAGCGCATCGGGGAAGCGGGCAGCCCGTCCAGAACAGCGCTGGAGACACACGTGCTCCCACCGCGTAGCCGATTGCTCAAAGATTGAGGATAGCCAACTGAACTGCTTCCGCCGCTGCGCCTACCGCCACCGACGCTGAGGACTCTTCTATCTGCTGGCAGCCTCGTCGCTGGCCTCGGCGCTGTCGTCCCTCTCGTCCTTGCTGCTGTTGCCCAGCTCTAAACAACGAGAGTGAATTGGTGTCAAAAATGGGTTATGGCTCGGGCGGTATAAAGATATCTAGGTCATTACTTGGTTAATGAGTAATGGTAACGAATAGGGTAGATGATGAGGGATAGATTAATGAATAACACTGAACTTACCATTATGGTTTTGCTTGATCTCATGAGAGTCAGTAAGGTGACATTATGTGCTGTTAGCATCTTGAGACCTTCAAGAACCCTTGTCAGACACACAAAGGGGGGTTGGAACAAAAGGTAAACAACAGTAAATTCATCTCCATGATATCATGACCTGCTTCCCTCTCCAACGCCTATCCGCGGAAACTCCCACGCCAGCAAAATGCTTCAATCGAAATGAAAAGCCATATGCGCGAATACCTACCTACCCATCCATTTCCCACTCCAAGCTCAAAACGCCCAAATACACATTAATCATTACAGCCACTAGGTAGTCAGCCACTCAAACCACCTTAATCCGCCAGGCGATAACTGACCAGCGTGTCAACCCGATGGTTCGTCGTGCTGAACCCCCTTAGCTGCACGCGCTCGCCGTTGACAATCTCTTTGGCGTCGCTGTCACCCCATTCGACGGGCACGTCGCTGTCGGCGTCGGCGTACACGAGCACGTTAAAGGTGCAGTCGCCGCTGAGCTGGGGCAGGAAGGTGACGGAGGCGGTGATCTGGCGGAATATGGCGGCGATCTCGGCTTGGATTTCGGCTTCGGTCTTGTCAAGTGAGGGTGCGGGAGCTGAGGCGGTGTTGGAGGCGGCAGCGTTTTCGTTGGGAGAATGATTTTGGTTGTCGTCGGTGGAAGAGGAACCGGGTTGGGATTTGGATTTGGATTGGGCGGCTTTGGAGAATATTTGGACCTGTAGGCCATAGATTAGCTGGATGTCAGTCTGAAGGAGGGGGACAGGGAGTACTGACATCAAACTGCCACCTCTCGACGTGCTCGCCGGTGTCCTTGTCCGTGATGACAATGACCAGCTTGGAGATCTTGCCGCCCACCATCCACTTGTCCAGCTGGGACATGATCTTCTTGATGTATGCGCGGACCTGGTCGTCGGCCGAGACGAGCATGTTCAGGCCATATTTCTTGACGGTCGTGAAGTCTTCGGCTGGGTAGACGCCTCGTTGGAAACTGGTTGCGACGGGTTAGTCAACGGGGTTCGGAGGTCGATCGAGAACGGCATGGTTGGCATACAGAATGGTATGGATGGAGTATTGAAACTGTCAAGATCGGGCCATTATTAGTTATGCGATCGCATCGACAGAGGAGTCAGGGAGCTGCGCAGGACTTACAAACTCGGCAACGAGCTTTGCGCTTCCCTTGAGCGACAGTCGGTGCACCTTGGACTTGTCCTTGTCCTTTTCCTTTTCGGGGGCCTTGGAAGACATTGTGTCGCTAGATTGGTCTAGTTTCTGTGTAGAATGAAGACGAAGGGGGATTGGTTCGGGCAGTCGGGGGATCGTGACGGTGTTGAAGAGGGACGGGCTGGCAATTGGAATCGGAGTTGGCGATGACAGGAAGATGGACCGGGGATGGCTGGTGGGATTGTTTACTTTGGGGCGTTTGCCCGTTGTCAGGGAGCTCCAGAGTCCAAACAGTGGACTTGGCGTGGACTTTTGGAGGGGCAGTGCCAAGGCCCGAAGTTTTACCGCTACAACCCGGCCCGGCAGGCATCTTGGTGTTGTGGTGTAGGATGTTGTCATCAACACCAAAACATACAACATCCATCACCTCTCTTCTTCAACTTTTCATATCGAGACTCAAAGTCACTTGGTCGAATGCTTTAACTTTGATACCATGAAGTCTTGCTTACTCGGATTAATATGTATCATGCGACAGGTCCCCTAGTGCACCCCGTACCTATGCCGGTTGCACGAAATCTCGTGTAGACGCTTGACACTCCAACTGACCATAACAGAACAAGGAGGCATCTTTGATTCTCAGATTGACTCAAACATCACCAACCCAGCAGCTACTCGGTTTTTTTTTTTTAGGAAAATGATACCATTTATATCCAACCATCTGAAATATATATCCAGCAGGCTTCGCTCAAACATACAAATACACCATCATCCTCTCAAGCTACTCCCCCAATGGAAGCCCTTCCTTACTCCTCCTTCTTACGACCAGTAAGGATGACATCCAAAGCGTCCTTAATCAACGGCCTCGCCCTCAACCTCTCCAACCAGCCGTGAACCAACGGGTACTTCTCCTCATCATACTCCTCCTTGCTCGCAAGGAGAGTGATAATGTGCTGCCAAGGCAAAAACGCAATATCGATATAGCTGAACTTGTTGCCCACAAACCACGGCTCCTCAGTACCGTACTGCTCCTTCTGCGTCTGCAAGTGGCCCTCCATGACAGAGGTCACGCGGTTCAACTCCTTGACATATCTCTCGACAGCGCTGGGCACCGGCTCCGGGTGGTATCTCTTGAACCACGCGACCTGGCCGTAGTAGGGGCCCTGGCCCGTGGTCTGGAAGTAGAGCCACTGGCGGGCGAGGTAGAAGTCGTTGGTGCCGGGGGCGAAGCTGAGCTTGTGCTCCTTGTCGTAGGTCTCGGTCAGGTACTCGAGGATCGCGCCGGACTCCCAGAGGGTGAGGCCCGTGTTGGGGTCCTGGATGGCGGGCAGGCGGCCGTTGGGGTTGACGTTCTTGACGAACTCGGGGCTCTTGGCTTCGGAGATTTGGATGTGGTCCAGGTCGATGGGAAGGCCGAGCTCGGCGAGGAGCATGTACACCTTGGGAGGGTTGGGGCCGGTGTGGCCGTAGAGCTTGATGGGCTTGAGGTCCGCCATTGTGATGGTGATGATGTTTTGGTGTTGAGTCGGTTGAAAGGTATGAAGGTGAGTGAAGATGTCTACAGAGAAAGGTAAAGCACTGAACAACGAGGATGGTCCTTGGACTTTATATCTGATGAGATTCGGCGTTAAGAGGTCTGCATCTATCTGTCCCCTTTGCATAACTCTACCTGGCTTCCGTAACACTCCAAACCGTTCGAAACACCGAACACGTGTACTCCCAGATCAAGCAGATCGTATTCCTCACCCAGGCACGGGCGGCTGCCATACCGTTCAGGTAGTTTCGTACACGTTTCGTACCCAACTTACATTGTGTTTACTTGGGGGTAAGCGATGGCTTGGGTGGAACCTTATGCCAACCCCTCTCCATCGCTTACCCCCAAGTATAAGCTTACATAATGGGTAATAATGGGTTATGGAGCCTCCCTTTGCTAGCTGACAAATGTTGAAGGTGGAAATAAGCTTCTGGCCTCGGTTCTAGCGTTCAAGATTGTGGAGAAGTGGTGAACGCCCCCCTGGTGTTTTGGTGTTTCACCCGGTGTTCGGAACACCACAACGCCGATGTCTTGGCATCTATGTTACTTCGGTGTTAACGACGACAGACCTCGCACTATAACTCCTGAGAGGTCGGACTCTTCGATTCATTAGAATCTTACAGAATGGTACTTGGTCATCAGACTTTGATGTTTACTAAACTCATTTCCGAGGCTTGTCAGATGTCATACCCTTTCCTCATCTTTCTGTCGCCAAGTGCTGACTAACGGTGATCGAGCGACGTCACCCAGGATGGATGGTCAATCTCTCTATCCTTACAGCTCACCGGACGCTAAAAAATCCGGATAGGGTGTTAGTGGTTTTCGCGGGCGGTCCCCATACAAAACCCCGCACGCACTATCCAAATCATAACGCACGGCCCGAAAGTGCACTTTTCGCCTGCAAAAGAATTGTTAGGCCTAACAGAGTTTCGCGCTTTTTCTGTTAGTGCACTCTTTGTCCCCAAACTTCGCGTTCGCTCCGGGAAGGGCCGCGGCAGGTTTCCTGCCGCCCCGAACACTAGCCTCCATTTACACCTCTATTTGTACCTCCATTTGCACTTCTATTTGGTTTTTCGTTTTCACTTTCGTTTAAAGCCATCTGCACCTCCATTTTCACCCTCATTTAGTTGGACTTTCATCTGAGGGTAAAGGTTTCTTTATTTACCTTCCAGCTGCAATCCATCCCAGAATCCAGCTCTACACGGGCCACAACCCTGGATCCAGCCTTACACCCTCAGGGAAGGGTCGAGGACAGCTTGCTGGCCTCCACGAACACTAGTGTCACACAACAGTAAAGTTGATCTCTAGATATTCTGACTAGATCCGATATGTTTATTCCTTTCTCTTTTTCAAATCCGCAATTTGGCTCTGAGGGTGCAGAATTGAGCACTCCTGCCGGGTCCAGCCAGTCAAATCGGGTGTCCGACTTCGACATCCCAAACTTGCAAGCCTGAGATATAACCCTATCGTAGCAGCCGCGAGTCTGACAGTAATTCCGTTAGTGCGCCAACATATTACAGGCCGGTAGACACCGGGTACACACTCCCTGACACTTCCAAGACACTCTTTGATTATAGAGCCACAGGAAATATACGGGACTTTTTTTGACAGGTAAAGTATGAGGTGTCTACTCTGCTATGTGGAAAAAGTCACATCGTGAAATGTTTCTCGGATCTCAGCTGTCATAGTGTACACGCTCATTTCCTCCGACATCTACATCCTCTGGGGGATTTCTGATCCTTGTGGAAGCATATGCGGTCCGTATAATCATTGCCTGATATCTTCCTTTCTTCCTGCCCCTTTACTTCATCAAGCATCATTTACACGCTCCCTACTATTGACGCGCTCCCGAACATCCTCTGTCATGTCTTACTTTACGATCTGCCATCGTCATCATCCATGGTATCTTCCTCCTTGGAAGCACTAAGACGTAGTAGCTTCGTTCTGAGCAATATCCTCCTTCGTCCTATTCTCTTTGACCCCCTTCTCGACTTCCTCTCCATCGACAGCCTCCTCCTCCTTCACCTCGTCAACACCCTCACTTTGAATATTCCCCATCTCTCTGTCATCCTCCTCCTCCCCAGGCTGCTCTGGGCTGGGCTCATCCTCCTCGCCTCCTCCCCCTTCAGCCTGGTCACTGTTGAGAAGAGTCGCCTGTGATGAATATCTAGGATACCACTCGTCAAAAGGGGTATCTCCCGCTCCATAGCCCTCTGGAATTGTCTTCATGGGCTGCTTTCCACCGGTAGTGGGGTGATGGGCTGTTGGTGAAGGTAGGTTTCCGTCGTCGTCGTCGTCGTCGCCGTTGTCGTTCTCTTCATTGTCTTCATCATCCTCCTCCTCCTCCTCTTCATTTTCATCATCGTCAACCTGTTCCTCACCATCGCCGTCCTCCTCCTCGCCGTCCTCCTCATCGCTGTCCTCCTCATCGCCGTCCTCCTCTTGTTCTTCATCTTCTGTGTCACCTCCTCCGTAAGCAATCGTCTCCCCAATCCATTCGTTCCAGCTCATCCGGTTCTCCAACTTCACGACTCTCTTATTCATATTCTCCTCCACCTCCTCGACCACCTCATTCCTATCATTCTCCTCCCTCTGGAACTTCTCATTCATATCGCTCTGCAACCACTCCAACCCCTCTTTCATATCCTCCTCCAATTTCTGGACCCTCTTATTCATACCCTGCTCATACCTCTTCAACCGTTGCTCCAGGAGTATAACCTTGACTTGCAGCTCCTGATCAAAATCCATTTCTCCCCCGTCGTCGGGCAATTCTTCTTCGCATTTGCTTTCGGTTTCCGTTTTTTTATCATCCTCCTCCGATTCAGATTCAGGACTGATGATCCTGACCCTCTTCGCCTCTCTTTTAGCCTTGTGGATTTTCTTATTCCCTTGCCGACTCATACTACTTCCTCCTTCGGTGTTTTCGATCGTATCTTCCTGGTTGCCCTCCTCCGACTGCAGGGGCATGATTCTCTCTACTGCGCGGAGGGTGGTATCCTCCACGCTTATAGAAGAACTTGCCGACTCGGTCGAAGGATTCGATTCACTAGAATCTTTGCGTTTTCTCTTCTTATCTTCTTCCTCCCCTTCCTCCTCATCGCCCTCACCCTCTTCATCACCCCCTCCATCATTCCCTCCATCATCCCCTCCATCATCCCCTCCATCTCCCCCGTCCTCCTCCTCCTCCTCTTCCTTCTCGCCCTCCCCCTCATCCCCCCCTTCCACTACCTCTCTCTCCTTCCTCCTCCTCTCCCTCCTCAACCCCGCCCCAATCAACAACCGACTCTTCTCACTCTCCACCTTCACCTTCCTATCAAGCGCCAACAACGCCCCCTTCAATGTTGTGTAATTCTCGCGCATCTGCTCAACGCCGCTGCTTACCGCCTCGAGTTGCTTTCTCAATTTCTTAATCTTTTTTTGGGAGGAGCGAAGGGCCGACTCGATGTCGAGTTGGTCTTCCAGGTCGCTGGAAAGCTGGGAGCGGAGGGCGGAGAGGCCGGAGGATGGGGATGAGAGGTTGTCCATTATGTCAAACGTTGGAAAGGTGGGTGGAAGTGGTGGTAATGTTTCAGCTGGGTTGGTAGCTCGTTGCCCTTTAGATTGACTTGTGAGTTAGGGCTGGGGAAGAGGAGAGGTAGACTGTCGGGCTTGGGGTGAGAACCGCCTTTTATCGTTGACGAATGGAAAACCCACCCCTTGGGATAGCATCCAATGGAACCTTCGATCAGGAAGAAAAAGACAGAACAACTCGCGGTGTCAAACACATCTTCAACTCAATGGAGTGGGTGCATTGTATGTTGATATATACCATATGCATAAGGCGTAATAAACATACAGATGGGGACAATGAGGTTGTGGTATAACAGGATAGAAGGTTTAGAAAGAAGAATAAAGCTTGCTTTTCTCCGTTACAACAACGCAACCAGCAACAAACCAGCCAAAAAAAAGTGGTTGTGGTGTTGAACATACAACAACAACAACAGGAAAGAAACAACAACCCACCAAAATCAATCCAAAACTCCGAAAGACTCCGCTAATGGATGATGTGATAATCCCTTAATGAACCCCGCCAAAAAAAGAGACGACAAACCCAACGACGCATGCATGGCCGACCTTTTCAAGGTTTGCGGCTCTTGGCGCAAAATCCACTTTTAGCTTTCTTCAACATACAACCCCCATTATCATCCTCCCAAGGTGGCTTGTCAGTAGGTGACAAATTTAGGCGTGGGCAGTCTCGAACTTGGCGCCGGTGCCAGCGAGGTTGGTGGGCATGGCCTGGGGGTTCTTGGTGCGGTAGTCCTTGATGGCGGCCTTGATGGCATCCTCAGCAAGCATGCTGCAGTGCAACTTGACAGGGGGGAGGCACTGTGGGTGTTGGGTGACACGGTTAGTTCAGAGTGCACGGGAGCATGGGAACATGGTACAGAAGAAAAGTCTAGACTGGACTGGACTGCTAGAGGGGACTTACGAGTTCCTTGGCAATCTCCGTGTTCTTAACCTTGGAGGCCTGCTCGAGGGTCATGCCGCGGACGAGCTCGGTGACGTAGCTGGAAGAGGCGCTGGAGGGAGTTAGTAAGCTGCGTTTGGAATGTCATGGTGACACTGAAGCCTTGGGAAGCCAATGTAACGAGATGTTGTCATTTTGTAGAATCGTAGGTACTGGATCCGAGTAGGTCGGTTCGACATGGAGCGTGGTGGATTGTCGCCATTCGTTTGTCGAAGGCGTTGAGAGAGGCACGGGGAGAGGTCGCTTATTCGTGTGGGTACGCGAGCAGCGCCGGAGCTTGGGTGTACCGGCTCGGAGGTTTTCGACTCTCCAATGCCAAGTCTCCCTGCTTATCCTGAATGGAAGTGTTGTAATTGGAACTGTAAATCGATAGAATTGTTTCGTTGTCGGTCGCGTTTCATATGATTGTTGTGCGGTGTCGATATCGTATCGCCGGTCTCCTTCGGATATTTTTCTTGGCTCCCATGGCTTCCCGAGGCTTCTGTGGTTATCAGTGGAAGGAGATGATACTCACATGGCAGAACCGCAGCCGAAAGTCTTGAACTTGACGTCGCTGATGACTCCAGTCTCGGGGTCGACCTTGATGTGAAGACGCATGACATCACCGCAGGCGGGGGCGCCGACGAGGCCTTCGCCGACAGACTTGTCCTTCTTGTCGAGGGTACCAACGTTGCGAGGGCGCGAGTAGTCTGATATTGAGACATGTCAGCATCTGTTTTTGTCTGGCAGTATCCCATATCCATGGGGAGATAGGGCGCGAATGAGTGGCCGAGGTGGGAATACTCACGGTCAAGGACCTTCTCGTGGTAAGACCTCCTGGCGGCGACGGCGAGGGCGGGCGCAATCTGGCGCGCAGCCGGGATGACGGTAGGGCGGACGGCGTTGGCGAGGACGCGGCCGGAAAGAGTACGAACGGATCTGGAAAACATGGTTGCGGATGTGTTGATTGTGATGTTTTGTTGATGACGGGTTTGTTTTGTTTTGTTTGGTTGTTTCCGTAGGATATCGGGAGTTGTGATGGCAAAGTGGAAGTGGCCGAGATAAAGAGGTTGGCGGACTTGGTTAAAAGTTGCCGGGATTTGCGGATTTGGCTGCGGATTTGCGGGTTTGCGGCACTTGGTCACCAAAAGTCGATGATGACAAGGGGGCGACTCGACTTGCCGCACTTGGGACACGAAAAGAGGGGTTGGCCAAAGCTCTGGCTAACAAAAGCGGGGCATCTTAAGCAGGCTACGGGTCAGGTCTGTGTTAGGTCAGTGACAAGACGCGCTGTCACTGACATGGGGGCGTCATTCCGACGTCGGCTTAGTCGGTTGGATAAAGAGCGCCAAGACAGTCTTGGGCTCCACAATACCGCGGAGATAAGATGATCAGATTACGGAACACCGAATCCACGACTCGCAATTTGGCCATTCTCTCAGAATTCTGGAAGATCACTTGGACCTCTTTTCCACGCGATGACAAATGGAAATACTTACAATAGTGTTCCCTTTGTGTCTTATTCAAGAATTATGACTTTCCATCTCTTTCTTTGCTTCATGGCACTGATGGTTATTGCGTATCAAAGCTCTGTGTTTTTGATGACAAACTGGAAAAGGACCCCTTCTTAACAAGCCCTATCTGACTTGCTACTGTATTACGTGCCACAATGTTAAGAGCTGCATAACAAATCGTCCACCACCGATAGGCAAGCACCAATCCCTGCTCAACCTTCCCCAGACTGCACATCATCCCTGCTGTCACAATCCATGAAACAGCGGGGTTCAAATGGAAGGCGGCAGCCGAGGGCGACAGGCGGGGAGGCCACTGTCACTGCGTGCCATGAGCCACGAGCCACTGAAGCGCGGTTGCCTGGGAGTGGTTGCTGTGCCTGCCGCGTAAAGTTACCCCACAACATCATACCTCACGCAGCTACAGCTTCCTCCTCCACGGTTCTTCCATCTTCTCTTCTGCCATACAACTCTGCGATAGACTTCATCCAACAATTCGATTCCTTCCTGGTGCTACACAATCTTCGAAATACCATCACGAAACCACCCAACATGTCGTGCCCCCACGTCGGGTCCGCAAGTAAGTCTTGTTTACTATTTGGAGCTCAGCTCAGCTTCTATTCCATCATGGAGCTCACAGCTCAGCTCTGAACAGTATGTATAGCTGACTCCCACTTTGACAGACCTCGCGAAGCCGTCGCCTACCGACAACGTCTATCGTGAGGATTGTACCCAATGCTTCGATTCTATTGTCCGTACTCTATCCTACTCTTCCCTCGCTATGCCTACTATGTCCAGCGTAACTAACCACCTCTCTGTGTATAGGACGACCCAGCTGGTCTGGATGTCTGCTTAAAGTGCTTTAACGGCGGCTGCGCTGGCGACCGGAACCACGCAAAGCTTCACGCCACCTCTCGAAACCACCCTCTCGTCCTCAACATTCGCCGAACCCGCAAGATCATCGAGCGCAATGAGCCTCCTCTTAAGATGTCCAAGCTCGCCATCGCGGCCGAAACCGAAAGCGATCGCTACGATACAACACTCACAGTCAAGTGCTTGGACTGTGGAATCGACAACTTGGACAAGGAAGATGCCACCATTGCCCCCGTCATCGACGCCGTCATGAAGGCCAACACGTTCTCGCGCAAGGAGGAGGTCAAGGCTTGGGAACAAGAGCTCACGACTTGCGAACACATCTTGACAATGCAACAAGGAGAGCCCCGCAAGATTGAATCTCAGCATCTTGGCCACTGCTCCAAGTGCGACCTCAACGAAAACCTTTGGTTGTGCTTGGAATGCGGAAACCTTGGCTGTGGCCGCGCCCAATTCGGTGGTGTTAGCGGAAACTCTCACGGTTTGGCTCACGCGACCGAGACCAAGCACGGCGTCGCTGTCAAGCTCGGCTCAATCACCCCCGAGGGAACGGCCGATGTATACTGCTACAACTGCGACGAAGAGCGTATCGATGATAACCTGGGCGCTCACTTGGCCAACTGGGGCATTATCCTTGCCGAGCGCGAAAAGACGGAAAAGAGTTTGACAGAGATGCAGATCGAGCAAAACTTGCGATGGGAGTTCTCCATGACTACTGAGGACGGCAAGGAGTTGACGCCTGTCTTTGGCCCTGGCTTGACAGGTCTCAAGAACCTTGGAAACAGTTGCTACCTTGCCAGTATCCTCCAGTGTCTGTACGACCTGCCCTCTTTCCAGCAACGGTATTACGGCGACAAGCTCGGCTCTCTACCCAGCGTATCAGATCCCGCCGAGGATCTCGAAACACAGCTTCGCAAGCTCGGTGACGGTCTACTCTCCGGCCGGTACTCCAAGTCAGACTCCGATGTCTTTGCCTCTGAGCACACTCCCAACGTCCCTCACCAAAAGGGTCTCCAGCCTTCCATGTTCAAGCACCTCATGGGTCGTGGCCATGAGGAGTTCTCGACCATGCGGCAGCAAGACGCCTTTGAGCTTTTGCAGCATTTGATCAAGCTCATTACCAGATCCAAGCACCCAGCAGAGCTCGGTGATCCTACCCAGCCCATGCGCTTCGTCATGGAGCAGCGTCTGCAGTGCCTCAACTGCAAGAAGGTCCGCTACAGTAGCAATGAGCAGGACAGCGTCTTCATTGATGTGCCCATGGAGAAGCTCCCACCCGAGGAGGAGGGTCAAGAGCCCAAGTACAAGCCTGTTACGCTCAAGCAGTGTCTTGATAATCTGACTGCCTCCGAGGTTGTCGAGCTGACCTGTGCGGGCTGCGGAAGCAAGGATGGGTTTACCAAGCGCCAAGGCTTCAAGACCTTCCCGGATGTCCTCGTTGTTAATGCTCGTAAGATGGCTGTTGTTAACTGGGTCCCCGTCAAGATTGATGTTCCCGTCATTGTTGATGACGAGCCCTTTGAGCTAGACGAATACCTTTCCAAGGGTCAGCAGCCTGACGAAGAAGCCTTGCCTGAAGATGAGTCGGCCAAGAGCAACGTTCCTGCATTTGTCCCTAACGCAGAGGCGCTTGCCATGCTCGAGGCCATGGGATTCCCCAGAGTCCGGGGCGAGAAGGCGCTACACGCCACGGGTAACTCTGATGCCAACGCTGCCATGGAGTGGCTGTTTGGTCACATGGACGACCCCGATATTGATGTGCCTTTGGACCTCAGCGGCAGCAGTGGTGGTGCGGCTTCGGGAGGTGCTGGCGCAGCTGACCCGGAGAAGTTGGCCATGCTTGAGTCGATGGGATTGTCTGGACCGAGGGCTGTGAAGGCACTGAAGGAGACGGGTGGTGATGTAGAAAGGGCCATCGAGTGGCTGTTCAGCCATCCTGATGATGATGGTGCGGATGCTGTTGAGGAGGCACCGGCTGCCAATGAGGGACCGAAGAAGGAGGCGGGCAGCAGTGAGTTGCCGGCCAAGTTCCAGTTGCAGTCGATTGTGTGCCACAAGGGAACGAGTATTCATGCTGGGTGAGTCTTTTACCATTTCAAACTTGGCACAGCAGTTTGCTAACCATGAACATGTAGACACTATGTCGCGTTCATCCGCAAGAAGCTCAGTGAGGACGAGACCTCATGGGTCCTCTTCAACGATGAGAAGGTAGTCAAGGTGGTGGATGTTGAGGAGATGAAGAAGACTGCTTATGTCTACTTCTTCAAGCGGGTGTAAATCACAGCAGGGGTTACATGCAGTTATTCAGTAGCGGGACAGGCGAGGAGTTGGTCCAAGTGGTATCGGAGTTGAGCGGGAATAAGGAGATGTGTACATGCTTACATTAACGAAGATACGAATTCAACGCATATGATATCTACCCTTGGCCTACCACCCTGCGTAAGGTAACACGCCTTGATCTTCAGGTGCCACTCCTGGGTACATATAAACAGCCAAGGCGAGTGATGTCGGGTGCAGCATCAAGACGATGTTCTACAGATCCTCTCGGGTCTTTTTCTCCTCTCTGTCCACTTGTCAAAGGGTTCAATGCTCCCGCATGGACGTACATACGCACAGGTTCGGATCGATGGAGGGACGGGACGGGAACGGGAAGGACCGAAGCACGCGTCAAGCATATTGCACGTGCCTTGAGACATCGCTCATTTACAAGTATTTCCAGGCTACTATCACTTCCACTGTCAGTCGTTGTTCTTCAACTTTTCCCAAACTTCCTTGTTCTTCGCTCAACCCACAGAAAGCCGATGATCCGCCAACGTGCCACATAAACCCATCAAGCCATGTCTTTTGCGACCAAGAACTCCTCCTCGTCTCGACCATTATGCTGAGCACCCGCGATCGAAGCAGTTCGTTCCAGAAATGAGCGTGGTGGTTAAGGACAACAACGTGCTGCCCTGACTAAAAATTGTTACGACATGCGCCGCCGATGCAGACGAATATGGCCTTTTGTTATCTCTTGACTTCACATCCGGTGAACCGGGCGGCACGATACAAAAAACCTAAACAGAATAACCACACAGCCCCAATCCTCAACGGCACCAACTTTGTTGAGTTCAGTATGAGAGTTCTTTTGACATGTGATAGTCGTTGAGCTCTCCAGGCAGCACCATTCACGTTTTAGTTTTTTTCTCAACGACTATCACATGTCAAAGAACACCGTCATGGTGTGGTTTTTGTTCCTGACATTGATAACTAGCACCAGTACTACCAGGCTCCCCCATCTCCCAAGACGAGGATAATCCCCGAGCAACAAAAGCTTCTCGCTTGCTTGTTTCCGTCCTGGTCCGGTCTCCACAAACTTCCGCAAAGTTCCATAAAAAGTGGACAAAAAAGTCGGGGAAGGCTAGGAAAGGTGGAGGCCCATGGGCTTGTCCATTTCTCCGTGACCCCGAGATTGTGGGCAAATTTGCTCTGCGCCTACGGAGCGCCTACGGAGGTCAAGCAGATTCGCAAGCAGAGAATGGAGATGGATAACGCAAAATTGGTGGATTTTGGAACACAGGTGAGATTCTAGACAATTCTTTTCCTTCTGTTTTCTCTATCAAGGGGAACTCCATTTCACCACAGGTCATCTACAGCGGCTGCAGCGCTTAATGCTCGCCTCATGCTTTTCAACAAGGCCAGACCTAGCGGTCCATCTGGAACAAAACTTACAAAAACATGATGGTTTTGTTGGCCGTTGGTTGCCTAACACGTGCCCAGATAACAAATCCTCAAATGAATGTAGTAACACTCGATAGAATGGAAGTCGAAAAACTCTGCAACTGAAACACCAAATTTCTCGGCCGAGACAAAATCCAAATCAAGACAAGTTCGAGACGGCAAGACACAACGGAAGTCCTTCTACTATCGGGGTCCGTCCGGGGAACCAGGAACGGACAACCGACCGACCGATCTGCCGTAGTGTACAGCTGAGGTAAAAGTGAAAAGCCGTTAGTATTGCAGTTGTCCCAGAGAAAAAGAATCGGAAACTGGCGAAAATGGAGGATGAGCGCACGAATTACCAGAAGCAGCGGGCTAGCACGAAGTTTGGTGCTCTGATAAGCCCCATGCGGAATAGCATCATCACATGCGTGAGCTGATGCTAACAATGCTGGCGATGTTGCGGAACGCGGTGATGGTATCAGCCCACCGGGGCACCGGGGGACATGGAGAGAATGGGCAGAATGGGTGACAAATCGCTTGTTGAAGACTTTTGGACTTGAAAGCCTTTCAGAATCGGATTCTGATATTTGATATGGTCAAGAGGAGATGGAGTTGACCAACTCACTGCCATTGACTTATAAACGGGTAAGACTGACGTATGGGGGGTAAAGCGAATCATGGCAACTAGCAGGGGTCGACTGCACCGTCTGCACGGCAACCTCGTGGGGAGCGGGATAATTGGACCAAAAGGGTCAAGAAACAGAAAAGCCCGTGGGGGAAAGCGCAAGAATTATGATGGGGTGAGAAACGAAAGATTACCCCACAGATTGCAAAAAGATTCGGGTCCAAAGATTCCACTTCCATTGGATGCCACGATGCACACCACAGAAAGAGGGAAGTGGAACCTAAGCTGAAGAAGAGCTAAACAGGGGTCGCTGCAGGGCACTCGCGAGGGTCGCTTCAGGCCTGCAAGCAGCACCACCTCATCCTGCATGCCGCACCCGACTGCACGGACAAATAAATGTTTGGGAACGCCCATCATCCGAACCTCATAAATACCTATTCTGCCTATCATCCCGTCTCGATCCTAATTCCATATCATCCGACTTTTACGACGACCACCCATTACCTAGCATTCTTATCCGCCTCTCTGGGAGACATTGACGGTGACAAGTCGCACTGCCAATCGACGACGACGACGACAACACCTGTCATCCATCACCGTCCACTGCATCCGGCTTGACGAGAATCCAGTGTCCGACTCAGTGCGACTTGCGACCTGCGACCTGCGACCTGCAACACCGGCCACCGATTGACGTCACAGGAAGCATATTCAGTCCCGTCCCGCCGTTGCAGCTCCCCGTGCCATGAGTACAACGGCCAAAGCGAGCGGCAGCTATGCCGCCAGGCCGCCCGAAGTTCTTCGTCCGCGCAGCCACGACCTCAGTGGTGAGACGACTTCGGCCAGTGACGGCGATGACCTCCTCAACGCCCTCGGCTACAAGGCCGAGTTGGCGCGCACCCGCTCAACGTGGCACGTCGCCTTCATGTCCTTCGTCCTCGCCTCGATCCCTTACGGGCTGGCCACCACCATATACTACCCGCTGCAGAACGGCGGGCCCGTTGTTGTCATCTGGGGCTGGGTCATTGTCAGTTCGATTATTCTCTGTGTTGCTGCTTCTCTCGGCGAAATCACCTCGGTTTACCCTACGGCTGGCGGTGTCTACTACCAGACTTTCATGATTGCCCCGGCGAAATTTCGGAGAGTGTCGGCCTACATTTGCGGATGGGCGTATGTTGTTGGCAACATCATCATTACTTTGGCTGTTAACTTTGGTACTGCTCTGTTTTTCGTCGCCTGTGTCAATGTCTTTCAAAAAGAGGACGGCAGCGATATTTGGCAGGCGGAAACGTACCAGATCTTCTTGGTGTTCTTGGCTATCACGTTGCTGTGTAACGCCATCTCGGCCCTGGGCAACAAGATCCTGCCTCTTTTGGATGTAAGTTTTGCCGTCCTTTGCATTGAAAAAAGTTTCTAACCTCAACCACAGACCTTCGCCATCGTCTGGACCTTCGTCGGACTCATCTGCATCCTTGTCACCATCCTCGTCGTCGCCAAGGAAGGCCGCCGCTCCGGCGCCTACGCCCTCGGCCACTTCGAGCCCACCTCAGGCTGGCCCAAGGGCTGGGCCTTTTGCGTCGGTCTCCTGCACGCCGGCTACGCCACCTCCTCCACTGGCATGATCATCTCCATGTGCGAGGAAGTCCAGCGCCCGGCCACCCAGGTGCCCAAGGCCATGGTCATCACCATCGTCATCAACGCCATCGGCGGCCTGGTCTTCATGATCCCGCTCATGTTCGTCCTCCCCGACATCGCCATGCTGGTGGCTCTGCCGTCCGGCCAGCCCGTCCCCACCATCCTCAAGTCCGCTGTCGGCTCTTCCGTCGGAGCCATTTGCTTGCTTATTCCCCTGATGGTCTTGGCTATCCTCTGCGGCACCGCCTGCACCACCGCCGCCTCCCGCTGCACCTGGGCGTTCGCTCGCGACGGTGCGATTCCCGGAGCCAAGTGGTGGAAGCAGGTGCATACTGGCTTGGACTTGCCGCTCAACGCGATGATGTTGTCCATGGTTATCCAGATCTTTCTGGGCGTCATTTACTTTGGTTCGTCGGCGGCTTTCAACGCCTTCAGTGGTGCTGGTGTCATTTGCCTGACCATCTCGTACGCGGTGCCGATTGCCGTGTCGATGATTGAGAAGCGGAAGCATGTCGTGGACGCCAAGTTCCCGTTGGGCAAGTTGGGGTGGTTTTGCAATATTGTTGCTCTTGGTAAGTTTTCCTCCCTTTAAGCGCCCCTTTTTATCTGGGCGATAACTAACTCCCGTGAAAAATAGCCTGGTCCTTCTTCGCAGTCCCCCTCTTCTGCATGCCCGCCTACCTCCCCGTCACCGCCGGCACCGTCAACTACGCCCCCGTCGTCTTCGTCGGCTTCACCTCCATTTCTCTGGCGTGGTACATCACCTGGGGCCACAAGAACTATGCCGGTCCGCCTACGGAGCAGATTGGCGAGGATGTCGCGCCCACGACTTCTTCCTCCACAATTCCTGGCGACGTCAAGAAGCCGGTGCCGGTAGAGGGATCCTTGGGGAAGAAGGATTGAGGTGGATAATGATTCTTGGATATGAAAGTGAGATGGTAATGTTAATGATTGGGATAGGTATACTTATGAAGTATTTTTATGGTGCATGAGGGTATAGTGGTGGTGAGGTGTTTGGTGAGGCATGGAAGGTTGGGTTGGTTGGTGTTGGAGAACGTTGGATATCCGTGAATCACACTCAGCACTGGACGGCTACTTGGATGATGTGAGAGAGGTAAAAGGAGAGAAGAGAGAGGTTAGAGTTGGAAAAGTAGGTAGATAGATACCCCATTTAGAAATGGCAAATGTGAATGAGCATATGGTTGAAGCTTGTGCCCCCGTCTGGCTACGTTTTTCGGCCCATGGGTGATAGTGCGCGAAAGGGGACCGGACCGGGCATGACGGAAAAACATGGAAGCTGGCGCTCTCGACGATGGAGAAAAACAACAGCACCACGACATCACAGAAATTACTTGCGTTCGGGTCATCGACGGCGGCTTACTTGACAACATATCTCGATTAACTAAAAGTCTCATCCCATCTGTCGTTGCGCGGTAATTCCACAGTGTCTCAAGGGTGTGTGTGCGACTACCGAGTTGAGCCAGGGGAAGTGGAAGCTCTGTTAGTGCCCTAACAGACAACGGTGATAAATCTGCTGCATCTGCGATGATGCTAGATCTCAACTATCACTGCCCAAGAAGGAAACCAGAAAGATCGGGGCGAAGAAGGCGATTGTTTGGCACGAAACTGTTAAGAGCGATGCTTCCAGGGCAACAGGCAGATATGGAAAGCGATGACGTGATGTTGAGGAGCAGCCGGTAAGATGAGGTGAAAGAAGGACGGGAGGATCAGGGGCAGGAGGGTGGAGGAAGACGGGAGGTGAAAAGGAGGGAAGGAAGAGAGGACAAGGGGTGGAACTAGAAGCTGCGGCCGAGGGAAGGCAACCAATGCAGGGAGATGACTAGGTATCTCTACTTACTTTTCATGCCCTTTTCTTTCCACACAGATCGAGAGAAATAGTACAAGTGTAGAGGTAGGTAGTGTGCAAAAAAAAAGACCAAAAACAAAAACAAAAAGCTCAGCGGCCCATGAGCAGCAGGATTCGAACCCGTCCACTCAAGACACGCCTACGAAAACTGTACCACCGTTACCAACGCAACGAGCAATGTTTATCTGGCTCCGCCACATACCGCTTGACCACGAGGGAACGTTTAAGGTATTAGCGAGGGAACTTGAAGTTACTGAGGGGTGCTGAAGCGGGACCTTATAAGTATAAGGCCCAAGTGGAAGGTCCAGGGGCAGCGCCTGGGCTACTACGGGACGGGATAGTGAGTGCACGCTTGCCGGTGGGTGCCGGACTATCGGTACTGGTGCCGGTGCTGATACAGCTGGTAGGTAGGTAAGGAACGCGGCAACCGACGAGAGTGTTTGACATCCATCACCTCAGTGTATCATGATTTCAACTTCGTTTTCCTCGGTTCCAAGACGGGAGGTTCTTCGTGGTGAACGAGCCGGGCACACATTGGCAGACAGGACGGGATGGGATAGTGTATGGAGTGCCACCTGCCAATCTCGAGACCGTACCTTCCACCATAGTGAGCTACCCGGAGCCACATCGATTGATCATGTGTCCAAGTTTTGGGTCCTTCCTTCCTCGTTCCAAGACAAGCTCTTGAAGTCCAGAGGTACTTACCTACCTAAAGTTCAGTTACGAAAAACTCATCCCAAGACACCTGTGACACTGGGAAAGTGCAACCCACCCAGCCCACGTCTTTCATGTACTCGCCTGATACTTTTTCAGACCTGGCCTGGCAGCCTCAAGAAAGATGCTTCTCACCTCCCACCAAATCACTCATCAAGCAGTTCTCTCTCATAACAGAATGAACCGGACAGCGCAGTGTCGCCTCGCTCGACCGACCATGGAAGTTCGAAGGTTCGGGATGGACTATGGTCCATCTGTTTCCCCGGTAAGTTTCTTCCCGGATCTTCCATTCTATCTTCCCGTCTCGAGTCTCCTCAACATATGGTTTATGTACACTTCGTGGGGTTTTCCTTGACGTGCTTCCAGCATGATGACGGCCTTCGTTGGCATCGTTCTTTGGACTGGCCCATCGAGGGCCAAAGCCAACAAGAATCTTTCGGCCACATGCGACGGGATCCATCTTACAACTTTCTCTTCGCATACTACCAGAGATGTTGTTCGTCAATCATTCGTCCCTGTGCTTGATCGGATGCCGGAACGCTATTTCGATCGATTCCACGCCGCTGGCCGGCAGTCAGTCTAGCCGAGCAAACCGGCAATACCTAGGTCGAGGAGATTCATATGCCAGAGGCCGCATTGTACGTTTCGTAAGCCAAGGTTGTTTGGAGACGCTGCCGTCGGTATGGACAAACGGATGTTTGTTCATGTGCACACAGATCGATATTGCCGTTTGCACGGCCGCTCGGGTCGGATTCATGGCCTGCTAGAGGCCCGTTATTCATTGGCCTCGTGAGTGATGGTCCGTTTTCGCCCAAAGATGAGCAGGTATGTATGGCTACCTGAAGTGTCCGTTTAGCAGCTCCGTCCTTAAGTTGTGCTGGATATTAACCAGTGTCACCGCCCCTTTCATTTTCCTCGTTAATCGCCAAAGCATCAGTCCCGATTGACCACAGGATCCAACGACATGATGGCAGGAAACCTTACGCGCCTTTGGTGGAGCCCACTCGATACTGGAATTCGTGGGCTGTTAGATAGGGATCTCCAGCTGTAAGTCAAATCTCATATTCCTTCCTAAATGCCCGCTCGCACGAAGGCGTGTGTTAACAACGTCCTTTCACCTTAAAGCGTATGCTCCCCTCTTCTCGTCAAATTCCTCATTGGCCCTTCAAAAAGAGAATACCATCTCAGCAAGTCTCTCATCGCCAGCCTATCCGACCCCCTTCATGGCATCCTTTCTGAACATAAAAATTCCGGCCGTGGAGGTGTGAACGCCAAGCCGGTCGACTGGAGCAACTTCATCGACGAAGACATTTTTAACCTGTTTGTGCAATACGCATACACGGGTGATTACAAAATCCAGATTATGTCTTTCCCAGAACAAGATATCCTGCGCAAACACCAAAGATACAGCGAAGCCAGGAGAATAAACCAAGATGCCTTTTGGATTTACGAGAGCAGCCCCTTTGTGCAGACACCAAGCCCTGCATCAGTGTATCGACAATATGCTCAGATCTGGGCTTTCGCCAAGTTCCACAAGATTCAATGGCTCGTGGTTGTAGCCTACAAACACTTACGGACCGCCTTCCAAGTACTGATGCGGCGTTCTACCCCTGGCGACTGTCTTGGCCTAGAAGAAAAGATATGCCGTGAGGTAGTGGACGTGATTGGGTTTATCTACCATCAGGGACGCCGGTTCTGGGATGAAGAGATACACCCGGACGCACATGAAGGGATGAGATCGATGATTGCGTGCTTTGCTCGCAAATATCTTTGCGACTATGATATACATACGATGGCTGGGAGCCGAAACTTGAAGATGTGGACAAGCTTGCTGGAGAAGGAGCCGAGGATCGCGGTTGATATGGTTACTCATAACGCGAAAACTATACCATGGTGTTGATGGTGAACAGCACAGGTGCGTCGATGGTCTCTGACCCGATGTGTTCACTGTTGTGTGGTAATCCAGAGCTGGGCCGGAGTCGTGGATAGGTAGACTCTTTAGTTTGTTTCCGACTCAGTCTTCTGAAGAATCAAGAATAAACGGCAAATATCGTGCTACGATTGTTTCCTTGAAGACATCAGTGCTTTATTTCTCTTGCGCTTTTAACAATATGACAGACATGAACCCTAGGTATTCTCACCGATTGGACCGCCGCAAATTCACAGTTCAAAGCCCGCCATTTTTTCCTCTCTCCCTCCCGAACTCAAGAACCGTCCATAAGTCCAACCCGAGAACTCCATGTAAGCTAAGTCAGACCCCCAACACCATCCCCTCACATAAAACTATAATAAACCGTCACCGCCGTCGTATACACCATGCAAACCATTCCCAGAACCATCATCACCACATCCCCCACCTTGGCCCACCTCCCGGTCGCCACGCCCTTATAATGCAGATACGCCGGATACACATACACCAGCGGCACGCACGCCGTGCTCCCGATCAACGCAACAAACTTATCCAGATTGCCCGTTCCCAACACCGACACCACTCCACAAAGCACCAACAGCCCCAACCGGAACATATTCTTGATCCACTTGGTCCTCAGACTCCTCTTTCCCGACCGATGCGGCCCAAAGACTTTGCCCTCGATGATCCTCAGCGCCGGGAACAGCTGCACGGGCGTGCCCACCAGCACAGCGACCGAGTAGAGGAACTGCACAGCATTGACCAACTTGCTGTCCTGCGGGAAGTTGTTGATGATCTCTATTTGCGTATCCGTCCCAAATGTCGCGTAGGAGAGTGCACCAACGCTCGTAAACACCACGGTGATGATCACCATCACCACAGCCAGCAACCACTCAAACCGCTGCGGCTGCGCCATGGAGCTCTGGATCGGCAGGATCAAGCCGATTCCCTCAAAGGTAAAGATGGCGGAGCCGATCATCAGTGTATAACGTTCGGGGTTGAACAGGACTACGGACTTGTGGATTCCGTTCGAGGCTAGAGAGCGGAAGTCGAATTGGTAGATGTAGCTGACGCCGATGAGGATGCATGCGTCTGCGAGCAGAGCGGCGGGACCGAGCTTGGAGATGTTGCGGATCCAGGCGAGCGGGACGAGGAGGGCTACTTGGATGGCGATTAGTGCTACCGAAGATAATGGCGCTTGGGAGCCAGACGTGACGGCGTTGAGGAAGGACGTCAAGTTCTCGGCTACGAAAACGATGCCTGCACACACAAAGCCGAGTTGCGAAAGGGTGATGGAGGCCAGGATTAAGGTACGCATGCGCTCGCCCGCGATGGCGGCGCCGATCTCGCCGTAGCCGCCGCCGTGGTGGTGTGTGCACTGCAACAAAAGGTGGAAGGCGATCATGGTTACCGCCGAGACGAAAACCATGGCGAGAGAGGAGAACAAAAGGCCGCCGTTGGCAAAGGCTTTGGGGAGGAACATGATGCCGGTGCCGACGAAGGCTTTAATCAGCGTGAAGAAGGTCTTGGTGGTGCCGGCCGTGTGGGGGCGGGCTTTGGGGACTCGAATACTACGGGTAGAGGGGCGCCGGTGGCCGAGGAGAGCCGTGGTTTCGCCTATGCGGGCTTCTTCCTCTTCCTCTTCGATGGCTTCTTCGTCGGAATCGGCGAGGTCTTCGCCGGCGAAGCTGCCGTAGAGGTCGAGGAACTCGACGAAGTTGCGGGTGATGGGCATGCGGGCGGCTAGGAAGTCGTTGCCGCCGTGTTTCTGGTGTAAGAAGGCGCGGCGGGCGCCGCCGGGAGCGAGCTGGTCGGCTACGGTCATTGGCACATCGGGGTTTTGCTCGAATTCTCGCGGAGTGTGGAAGGTGTTGGCTCGTCGGTGGAGCTGTTGTATTTTGGCTGAGGCGTCGATCTTGAAGAGGTCGCGGTGGATGTCTCCTCCTTGGAGTTTTAGGGAGGAGGCGGCGGTGCTCTCTACTCCGTCTGGGGTTGGTGTTGTCGAGCGAGTCCGTGTAGAGGAGGACCCCTCGCCGCCGCCGGTTGAGACCGTGTTGGTCTGTGACTGTGTTGTCGCTTCATAGGGCCCATCTTGGGGGTTTTGGGCTTGGCTGTTGTGTTCGGCGTCGAATTCGGCGGTGTAGCCAGCGGGCAGATGTTCGGCGACGACTTGTGCCTCTGCTTCGCGGCGTTCTTGGGAGGTCCACGAGTTGACAGACCTGACGGATTTGTGTGACATTGTAAGTGAGTGTGTTCGGATGTCTCTGTTAACGATGAGGTTATGACCGCTGATCGGTTGAGACAAGACCTGCCCGCAGGTCAATCATGGATACCACCGAGACGGAAATATGGATGGAATGGATGGTGGGAAAGAGTGGTGAAAGGTTGAAAAAGCCTGTGTTTCCCCATTCAGACAAGAAATCTGATGTGTCCAACCAAAGACGGGACGCGGGGATCAGTCGATCGTGGGGTAATGTACGGTTAATGGCGGGATGACGTCATTTGAACCTGAAGTGGTCTGTTGGTGGTCTTTGTTTACTTTTTAGAAGGTGTCCCTTTGCATCCAAGTTTCAGTCTGTCGGAGGAAGCATCCTTTTAAATGTGAGATAAATCCAACAGAGAGATCTCGATCCGATTCATCAAGACAAGATGAGGAATGCCACTTGACCCTGAGCACGGCCGGTTGTTGGCGGCTTAGGTCACTGATCCCGGTTTCGTCCAGTGAATTGCAGTGGATAACAGCAACCAACAATGTAGAGGCGCATGCACTCAATCAGAAGTATCTTTCCGCATGCACTTGTGTATGAAAATACTTTGAGTGAAGGTCTATCACAGCAAGAATTGTTAGGTGAAGTTGAGAGTTACCACGGCCTTTGCTTGGCCAATTCCTTTGTACTTCTGCCATTTGCATTCGCCATGTCCCTTCCTCTTCCCACACCAAACATCCCACTCCAACAACAATGTCACCAATCGTTCCTCCAAACATGAAGCTCACGGCATGTCTTCCAAAATAACAAGCACACAGCAAAGCCGTCTTCTTTTGAATGGCCGCCTCTGAGCCATGCATATCTGCTACCATGTCTTCACGCCAAACCCAAAGTACGGGGCAGAAAAACTAGAGTCCTTTCGAGATGGATGGACCACTGGCACCGGCTAGGCCGTAACCATATGGCCATATTGCCAGGTGGACGCAGGGAGAGAGGCGGGAATCGAGAATAGAGGGGCAGGATCTGGCCAACGTCGATATCCATTCAGCCGGGATCATGAATTTGGGACACTTCAGCAATCTATGGTCTATAAGAGAGAAAAGAATAGTAAGTGCTTCTCGATGGCGTGTGAATGGGGAGAGTGTTTTAACGTAATCCTAATTTATCATTATCCTGGTTCATTTAGATCCATTGATGTTATTTTCCATATGCTAGTAAAAAAAAGGGGGGGGAAAAACATGGTCTACATCCCATGATCCCAAAACTAATACAATCGTGTGCAAGCATGTGGACGTGAGTGACTGCGCAGGATTGAGGTGGGAGTAAACATCATCTCCATAGCATATGAAATCACGTTGTCCAAAATTTGTTCGATGTCTGACTAGAGAACCGCAAGCGGAGATGCGTGGCCTGGAGATAGACAATCCCATCCTGGAAAAGACTTCTATTTAGCTTACGCCCCGCTCACCCCTCTTCCCCCATCTCCATCCCCATCGCCACGTCTTGTTCGCACCAGATGGCACCTGGCGTAGGCATGCTTTTACCGAGTATCCAAGGACATGCGGTAACGAGGTTTTCCACTGGGGGCTGGAGTTCAAACCACACCCAAGCCTTAATGAGCCTAGAAGACCTTAGGTTCCTTCTTATCACCGTGCTTCATGCCATTTCAGGTATCTTTAGAAGAACATCGCCATTGTGATTGCTCTGGCATTGTCTAGTAGGTATCCCATCGCCATGGGTAGAGTTCGCGTCATTGAAGTGATGAAAGGGTTCCTATTGAGGAAGTAGAGTGCTAGAGTCTTGTTGCGCTGATGTTTGAGGATGTTGTAGGCTTACATCGGAAGTTCAAGCAATGCGTGGTGAGTTCTTCGTGTTGCTTTTGTTAGTTGTCTTGTCGACCGATCCAAAGGCGGCAAGTAGGAAGGCATCGAAATCATGTTATCACTCTATCAGTGACACAATCTAATCTGCAGTATTGCAGTTAAGGAAACATCTCATTGAAGAAGGACAACTACTATGAACTTCCCTTTCAGCAACTCCAAAAACAGAAACCATCCAGATGCTCGTCGTCTTTGACGAACAGTATTGACTGACTCTTTTAATGGAAGCAGATGCCAATGTTTCCTAGCTCATAAACACACGTCTTAGGATTTAACTGCTCAAGTGCGATCTAAAAGAAACTCCACCAAAGCTGATGGGTTTCAGGGACCAAGATGGCTCCAGATGGTGCTAGAGCTCCTGGCATTATCAACATGAACTTGAAGCAAAAGGTCGCGTTCTTCAAGTGGACAGCGATTCGGAAAGAGTCATCAATGACAACAACGAGCTGAACAACGGTACCTTAAGTTGTGAGTTATTTGACTATTCCACCGCTTGTCAGTCCTTGTCTCTACAGATCAAAGTCCAGCGACTATCAGTGATCAAGAAGACAGGACACATATTAAATATAAGAACCATAGGTTCTGACCACGAGGAGTTTCTGGTTAGATACCGTATCATCATCCCGTCATCAATCTTCCCAGAGACATCACCTCCAGTCTTGGTTAACCATCGCTCAAAGTCCTGCGCCAGAGAGATACAAGCCATGGCTCCAACCAGTTCACGCAAGAAGCAGACACTCGCACTGCACAAGCCGATAAAGCGGCCCGTCGCCTCCGCCCCCAGACTAGAAAGGCCCCCAAATGAGCTACCTACCTCCAGTAGCAAAGCGCCAAAATCTGCTTCCGCCCCTTTAAGAACTGCGCAAGCTTCCCCAGGTCTCAGTTCCCGCAATGCAGCTTCGGCGTTGGCTTCTACTTCCAGCAAGCCCAGGGGCATACTTTCCAAGTCAGGCCCAAATACCTCACTAAGAAAGGATGTCTCCGTGCGAAAGACAAAGAAAACGGATGCTAGAAAGCTTGCTGCTCTTTCTGCAGAGAGATCCAACTCACAATTGCCGATGGATATGCCCCTGTCTACTGAACAGCCGGCTTCCGTACCGTTTCCCAGAGGTAGCCGCTCAAGAAAAGCGAAGGAGTCCCAGCTTTCAGGGCCAAAGCTAGCAGCAATGATGAGGGAAGCAGAGAAGACTAGACGGAGGAGCAACTCAGTGGATTTGGGGCGGGGGCGGGAGGAGGAAGTGGAGATGGAGATGGTTGATGAAGGTGAAGGGGAAGAGGAGCAAAATCAGCACCAAAAGAAGCTGGAAGGGCGGAAGCTCCCGCAGAAGCGGCCAATAAAGGAGAGAAATGAAGAGCGGGAAATGGAAGAGGAAGAGGAAGAGGAAGAGATTAGGGAACGACGAAAGAGACAGAAGGAGACGGAGAAGGAGGAGGTGGTGGAGGAGGAGGAGGAGGAGGAAGCGGGACCGGAAGAAGCTACTGATGACGTTGATGATCTCGACATAGAAAATGGGAGTGTCCAGACTGATCGAGAGGGAGATGTTCCGATGGAGGATAACGACGACGACGAGGATGGACAGGAAGAGCTCGATGACGAGATCGATAGTCTTGACATGGATGATGGGAGTGTCCAAATGGATCGGGAAGGAAATGTTACGATGCATGATGTGGACAACGATTACCAAACGCTGGATGGCTCACCTCAGGAGGATGTGGAGCTTGAAGAAAGTTGGGAGAATGTGGAGGAGGATGGCGAAGATACGGATATGATTCCCGAAAGTGAGAGGGGAGAAGAAGACGGCGATGGCGGTCAGTCGGGTGTTGAGGAAGGGGGCGATGCGGAGTGGGATGGACTCAAGTCGCCAGGGAGTGCAATTGAGGATAATGAGGAGGATGAGGAAGAGGAGGAAGAGTATGAGCCAGAAGATATTGAACGAGAATGGGCAGGTGGCGAGGCAGGAGGTGAAGAGGAAGAAGAGAATGAGGAGGAAGGAGAGGATGAGGAGGAAGGAGAGGATGAAGACGAGAGTGAAGAGTTGGAGGATGAGGAAGGGACTACTGGAGATTCTGCGGATGCAAATGTAGGTGCAGACACAGATCCACCTGCACCTGCAGAAGAACACGCCGAGCAGGAAGTCACGTTAATCGATGAGGAAGGAAACAACGACTCCACGACGGAAACCCTGCCATCGGCCGATGAAGAAGAGAACGCTGGAATCTACAACACAGTCAAGGAGTTGATTCAAAACATTCCATCAAAGCACTTCGTCTACTGCAGAACGCTCGACCAGCCGAACGACATACAACATGTGGCCTTCAAGGTTTACGACACTGACGGGAAGGAGTACGACTTCGACACGCGGAACTTGCGGGACGACCAAGAAGCCCTTGGCAGGCTCCTTAGTGTGGCACAGGGGATCTACAAGAAGGACTACGGTTGGGAGTATGCCAACCTAAAGCGGGACTGTACCTTCTTTATGAGTGCAAGGAGGGAAGAGAAGACGACCAAGGCAAAGCCCAAGACCAAAAAGAAAGCCACGAAAGGAAAGCCCAAGACACAAGGGTCAAAACAGGAACAAGCGCCAACATACAAAGGCCATATCACGGTTGTTGATGGTGGTGGTTTTGACGACGATGATTGTGATGATGGCGGTGATGAAGGCGGGCAATGGGACAAGTATATCCAGAGGCTGGCGGAAGAGGCCTTAGATGTTCTTGGGACGATACCTAAAGTCAGGTTCAAACCAGAGCTGGAGTATATGTGGGTATGGGGGGAAAAAACTTTGTTTCCGAACTACGACTTGTAAGTTCCCTTATCCGACACATTCGCTTTATGGACATAACTAATCGGGTAAACCATCACCAGCCCTAAACCCGAGGAAGACAAGTATCTTGCCGGTAGACTGATGGTCATTCTAGCCGGTCTCGATTACGAAGGCGGCGAGTTTGCGTTCAGTTGCGAGAACAGGTGCCATTACTTTGATCCAAAGGCGGAGCCATGCCTCATTGCTACGTGAGTGTCCTGAACATTCGTTTTTCATTGATGTGTACTAACCAAGTACATGCAGATTAAGCGGCGGTAGCGCCTACGTCGACGCACATCCTCTGACCTCCGGCTACCGCATCGGTTTAGTCTACCAACTACGTTTTCCCATAGTCAAAATGGCAGATCAAAATACGGCCGTGAACGCAGTCAATATTCTCAACGATTACGAGAAGGAATTCCTCGACGGACTCACCACATGGCGCAACAGAGTCCGGAACGCTGACGACGACAAGCCGAATGGCATCCACCGGACGGTATATTACATCCTGAAGAAACAGTTATCTGGCACAAAGGACTTCGACCCGTCCGCAGACCTGATTCCGGCGCAGAAGCTTCAGCTGGCCTGGCTTTACAAACTTTGTTGCCAAATGCCTGGGAAACGCATTGGTGATGAGGTCTATAACTGGCAGCTACATGTTGATCTGGCGGTACTCTCTTGCAGAACGGTTAAGCGGAAGGATAAGGGTGGGGCGATTTCTCTGCGTCCGGGATTTGAAGTTGGATGGACGGCAGATGCGGATATTGAAACAGATGATTGGAATCGCAATCAGGGAGAGGCAGGAATGGAGGTGAAGGAAGAGGCAATCATCAACTTCGGTGACCCCGGACTTGGGTCAAGTGGTCTCGATGAGTATCTGGTAAGCCGAACGTATCTCGAGGATTCAGGATGCCTTGTCATTTCTTGACCGAGTTGCTAACCCGTACTATTTTCTTATCCGCAGTGCATCAGGCTCAACACGCCTAGTGACGGCTGACCGAGTCAGTCAGTCGGTCGGTCAGAAAGGAGCAGTTTACTCCAGAGTTTAGGCCTCACTGTCTCAAACTGAGACACATCTGCAGTCCAATGCCGTTCTCCATCTTCACAATCCTCCCACCACACCCACTCCGCTAAGATCGTCATCCCACACCCACACACCCAAAAACGGTGCATTTCTCTCCGTGCGTGTGGCGCTTTTCCACATTACGACCCTACAATCTCTCCCTGTTTTTCGCTAATCAACCAAACCCATGGTTTCCGGGTCGGAATTTCCTGGGGATGGTCATGCTTTTTCGGTGTGGCATGGAACAATGGAAGGAAATGCCGAAGTCCAGGGCCAGAGTCTGGTAGGAGACTGGGGAACCAACACGGATTGTGAACCACACCGGCAGCACACAGATGTTCGCATGTCCCATGGTTCGCGTGGGCACGGTGCTTCGATGTGCGATGGAAGCCATGTGCTCGGATATTTCGGGGGAGGCGTCCAAGCACAAAGCACGGCGGGCGTTGTTACACGACATGCTACGGGCGGATAGGGGTTTGATAGGTAAGGTAGGAAAGTGGTGGGAGGGCACTGTTTGGTTAATGGTTGGCAAGCCGAATTCAGGGTGCTGCCGGGGTGGTTTATTGGCTAAAATAACATGAGAAGTTCAAGACAATGAGTCAATGACGACGTCCAGTCAGGTGTGTACTGTAGGAGATCTAATCACATCACAGTGTGCTAGTGGCTTGATATGTAAGATGGGAGTCGGGGAGTTGGTACTTTCTCCGAGGGCGATGATTCCCTTTGTTCAGTCCAACCGGACAAGTGGAAGAAATATGGTAGGTTCGTGACAGGCTTTTTATCTTGTTTGTCTTGATCAACAACAACCCGCCTCCAATTACCGTGGTTACATGGGCTGTATCCCCCAGTGTCCCCTTCATCCACATCCTCGGGTGTGGTACCCATCAAAGTTGCAGCTAAATCCAATGCGATCCAATGTGATGGGTCGCACAGACTTTTGACTGACAAGGGTGAAAGACGGGCTTTGGCGTCGGGCCAACTGGGATGTTATTGCCTTGGTCCAACCACGTGGTGCATGTCGGTGGAACAGTACCTGTCTTCCATGTTCCCGGTCGCCTTCTTTCGCAGACCGAGGGAATTACGGAATGGAACCCTTGTTCGTCGTGGTTTTGGTTATGCCATTGGGAACCGAACAAACCGTGGGTTTGGTTGGCGCGTTCAAAGAGCCGACGATGGTCGATGGGGGCTTGATATCTGAACACTAGCACTGTACGGTACAAATCCAACATGGATCAAGGTGCTTTGTTCCGCTTCATCCTTCTGTCCTTGTTGGTGGCTCTGCCATAGGACAATGATACCGATGAAATTGCACCTCCGACTAGCGTGATCAACATCTTTCAGTACTTGATAACGTCCTTCCCGTGTTGAAGACTTCGTGGCTGCCGGGCCTCATTGTTGTTCTCCAAATTTTGCTGTGTAAAAACTCGTTCACTCTGTTGGTGGCTTATCAGATCCTGCCGCTTCAAAGTCTTTCATTGTTGACAGTTGGACCGAGTGAACAACCTGACGAACCTTTGATCCCCAACGAACCTTGACTTCCGCTATCTGTTCACCCAACAGTCGTCGAGTTCACCATGGCGACCTTGGATGGTGAAGGGCTACATAAGCCCCAAGACATCATGATGTCTCCGTGGGCTGTTCAACGATACGACGAGCCCGGAGGCCACAACCTTCCCACGACTTTCGATATCGACTATCAGAACTTGTCCCTATTACTCCAAGAAGCAGCCATATTATACCCACAGTGCGCAAAACCGAAGCTCTACCCTACCACTCAGCCCTACATTCCAGTCCCCGTTACCACGCCCGTGGTCCCGGTATCGTTGCGATCTGGATCTGTCACAGTGGGAGTGGTGACGAAGGACCCCTATTCGGAAGGAAACCGATCGGGCCAGGGCCCCAACCACACCACCGATTACCGAGAATACGACACATCATCGGCTGTACCCCTGAGGCAAGGAAGACACAATAACAAACTTCCGCTTTCGGATGCCTGTTGTGGGACGGCCGTCAACATGGGTAGTAGCCGTCAGGAACCTTCAACCGAGTCTTTGTGGACCGGGATCAAACCCGCTGTGCTCCTCAACGGGACATGGACCAAACCACGTCATGTCAACAAGGATGGCCATATCTTCAGGAAATTGGAGTTTGAAGTGCCATTAGACCATCATCATCATCACAGCTCGCAGAAAGATGCCCTGAAACTGCATGCAGAACTTGTAGACAGCTTTCCCGACCCCAAGCCCACCACTCCAGATGTTCTCAGTAGTCCAATATCCCCCCAAAAGCCCATCATCCTCTACCTCTGCGGCGGTCCCGGAGACGGAAATCCCTCCGACAGGGTCCCCGAGCTGAACAAGTTCTGTATAGACAGAGGCTACCAAGTCCTCTACGTCCACTACCGAGGAACCGGCCTCAGCCCCTTATTCTCCGACTCAGCAGCCAAGAACAAGGTCATGCGAATGTCGGATCAAGACAAAGCCAACTACCTCGCCAAGTTCCGACAGGACAACATCGTTCGCGATCTCGAAGCTATCCGACTGTGTCTCGAAAAAGAACTTCCTACCAAAATCAAGTGGACACTCCTAGGCCAGTCTTTCGGCGGATGGGTCGCCACCACCTACCTCTCCTTCCTACCGCAATCCCTAGAAGCCGTATACATCAGCGCCGGAATGCCACCACTAGGCAAGACGCCACGGGAGGTATACGAGAAGACCTATTCCCACATCGTCAAGCGGAACGAGGACTACTTCAATGAGTACTTCCCGGAAGATCAAGAGCATGTTAGGACTATCGTCGAGCATTTGCGAGGTAAAGCGCCGATGCAGAAGGGGGTCGACGGACAGCCGTTCAGAGGGTACGAACTTTATGGAGAGAATGGAGAGCGGAAAGGGTGTTATCTGACTTACCAGACTTTCATGACGCTGGGGAGGACGTTCGGGTCTGCGCCTGTTGTTCGCAGGGACCGGGATATGGACGAAGAAGAATACGAACGGCCATCCCTCGCCAGTTCCATCGGTGCTCTCACCATTAACCCCAGCAAGAGCTCTTTGGCATCCAGCACCACCCATATTTCAGGCACACCACCACTTAGCGCCTCGTACCGATCTTCCTCCACCAGCTTCACATCCCTCTCATCCCTTCCAGATACCTCCCTAACACCAGAAATCCCACTCCCCTACCAAAAACTCCACAACCTAATAACACGCCTCATCTCCGACCTCAACTCATCCAAGGGAATCTCCAGCGCAACACTAACCATCTACACCCACCTCGAATCCTTCGCCCTCCACCGCCGCCCTCTCTACGCCCTCCTGCACGAAGCCATCTACTGCTCCTCCACTTGCCCTCTCACCCGCCAAGCATCGAACTGGGCCGCAACCGAAGTCGCGCTTTTCCATCCATCGGGTGGGTTTTCGTGGCTTAACACTTCCTCTTCCCCTTCCTCATCTTCTACCACTATCCCATCAAAGAGGAAGGGGGATAAGGAGAAGATGTACTTCACAGGCGAAACCCTCCACCCCTCCCCCACTCTCTCCTCTCTCGGCGGTTCGGCTATCGTGCCCTTTCTGGGTGCAGCCGATATTTTGGCGCGGAAGGGGGATTGGCCTGCTTTGTATGACCTTTCTTCCTTGAACAAGAACAGGGAAAGGGGGGTAAAGGTGAGGGCGGTGGCGTACCAAGAGGATATGTACGTCGATTTGGAGCTGTCGAAGCAAGCGGCGGGGATGATTGGGGGGTGTGAGTTGGTTGTTTGTCCTTTTAGGGAGTGGGGGCATGGGAGTATTAAGGAAACGGACAAAACGGGGAGGGTGTTGGGGTGGTTGTTTGATGGGTTTAATTAAGGGGGTATGAGGGCGTTTGAGGTAGGGAGGATGAGTGACTGGAGGAGAGCGGAGGATGTTGAGAAGAGAGAGAGAGAGGTGATAGCCGGGTGGAAGGTGGAAATGCCACGTTACGGGTACCTAGGTATGAGCTGAGCTTGGGCGGGGTGGTGGAGTGGAAGTTGCGGAAGGAAGGGAAGGAAGGAAGGACACGAGGGGACGGGGGTTTCAGTGCTTACTGCGTAGATGGGAAGGCGGCGACGGCGTTTGGAGGGTTTTTGGGGCATTGAACGGTGAATTTCTGGGTTGATTGTGGAGTGTTCGCATATGGTATTCTGGTGTTGAATCTCCTTTTGGGACTGTCTTTCTCGTGCTGGATTAGAGGAAGAGTGCTTCGTTCAGGGCTCAAGTTGTTTTTCCCCATCTTGGCAGGTAGATCATAATTGGAAGGCGAGTAAGATGCGATCCTATCATCACAACAGCCGCCCCTATGGAGTAATTGTTAGTGGTCTAACAGCCTTAGCAAGTGCCAAGGGCCATCGTCAGACACTGTGGGCCTATCACCGAGCAAGACGTGAACTTAACGAGAACAAATAAAACCATTGAAAAAAAGCAATTGCGTTGACTATCCAGCCCCAGTTCCTATCCATTCGGGGAGGCTTCTATCGTATGGCAGGACGAAGACACTGTCACCTCTAGGTAATATCCCACGAAGTGAGTAGAGGCTCCATTCCTTCATCCCGTCCACACGACGATAACCTAGCCGGACCAGCCGGCCCTGCCGTGTCAAAATCGTCTCCAAATACCTTCAGACGAACACTTTCCGGTGTTCTCGACGGTTCCGCCGTACGCAGAACGATCAGGCAGTACTTGTATCCGAGCCTTCCCCGGCTAAGTGGATCTCCAGACCCAGTTTGAATCGTCCTTGTTAGAGTCGAGTTTGACCCACGTTCCACTTCCAACATCAAAATGGAGATCTTTGAGCTTTTCGTACTCTTCCTTCGTATCTATTCATGGCGGAGGGCAGACACACAACTTGTCAGTATTGTCACCAGCAAGTGGGCGGGAGGGATATGACTCAAGGAACAAGAAACTCACATTCCCGTTGCTCCTTCGTGATATTCTTATCCTCAGAAATCCACACCGACGACATAGTATCACACTCCACAAGGCAAACCGACGCATCTTCTACCGGGACACCGGTGTTGCAACCCTCCACTTTAACCTTGAACTTCATCTTAATGGGCGGGCCATGGAAGTTTTGGGGATTAAAAATCTGCACATCCTGAAAAACAAAATAGAAAGGATGAGCATTGTAGCCTGTGGGCACGGGGTACGGAGCTACTTCCTGTAGGCCCTGGTTTAAGATGCAGGGCCCGATTTGGTCGCATTGCTGGCTGTCGTCCCTCTTGCGATGCGCCTTCCATTCTCCCGCTGCCATGAGAGTGTCCTCGAGAATGTCATCTTCGTCTGGCTTTGCCCTAAGTAGAGTGAGGATGCCTTGGATTCCATGCCAACGCAACGGCGCTGGGTCAAGCTTGACAACCACGTGGCCGATCTTGCCGTCGAGGCTGACTACAGATGGCGGAGGGAAATAGACCGTGAGTTTGCATTGGGTTGCTGCATTGGGGGTGTCGGACACAAGGTCGTGGCCGCGCAATAGACGCGGTGAGACATCATCCGCGTCGCTAGCTGAGTTGGAATCGTCGCGACGGAGACGACCGGGCGCCATTTTGGCAGAGTTGTTGGCTTATGTGGTACGAGTAGTTTCAACTGAGGTTGAGCAAAAATGGGTAAAGATTGCTGAGATTCAAAGTTGTGATGAAGCTGATATCGATTCAAGGAATGAACGGCGGCATCTTGTCGATTTATACCTCCAACCAAGTCGAAGAATGAGCCATGGCGCCGGTCAACTTAACGAACCGCCGCATCTCTTGTGTTGAAGCCAACACCACGTTGGCTCTCTTGATGCCATCACTCCTGATCAAACATCTGCTTTGACCAAAGGTGGATTCGCCGGAAGATTCAGTCGATGGCCCCATCACGGCGTCACGATTCTTTCTCCATGGTGGAGCCCTGAGTCTTTCCAACCGCACATGACCGGTGTTTCTTTTGGATTCTGCTCCAACATCTATCTACTTACAGTGTTAGATACACGTATAAGTCGAAAGGGTTGAGGTTGGTTTCGGTAGAGTACTCACCAAGCGCTTTGTGTATCCATCTCCGGATCTGTGTAATGACCCATCTCAAAGTGTTGAGCATCATCCAACGCCAACAACCAAGGCATTATATCCATTCATGTTTACCAGTGGGGTGGATTCGCGTGATATAGTTGGTGAGGCCTCGGGCATCGGAAAGACGGCTTTAAGACCTGGTACGGCGTTACTATATGTCGATGGTCGATACTCTTGCTTGGCAAATCTCCATTGTCGTTGATGGACGTACGCTGTGAGGTCTGCTTGTTGGTTAGAACCCAAAAATGGCTCATCCTTTGTCGGATTCTTTATTGGAAGCCCTATGCATAGGAACCGGTTCCAACGTACACCTGTTGGTTGTGGCATATGAATCAAGACGATAGGGGGCACAGCGCTGGCAGATTCCTTTGTTAAGTTGCGGCGTGGTGCAATGAAGAAACGCACTTCGTGGAGATCATTCACCTTGGATTTGAGAAGCCATGATGGAACTCGAGTGATGAGTGATAAGAAAGGAAAAACGCACGAGCTTTTTGAGGAGTGACTGAGGAGCGACCGCTTGGCCTGGTCAGAAATAGAAAGTAGGCCTGCGTTCCGGGACCTGGATGAGATGTGTCCTTATCAGATGCTGCGCAGAACTGGCGCTATTGCAGTTAGTGCAATAACGGTCTTCCGGTTTGGATAAGCCAACCGGGCAACTGCCACCCACCCAAATCCAAATAGGTATTTTCCAAGATGAGTGTTACCGTTAGGATATTGTGATCAACCCAGCATTTTTGCTGAACTATTCGGGGTAACGTAAATGGCATGTGATTTTTTCTTCCTCCACCACACAACCTATCATCCCTTTACCACCCACTGGTTTCTCGTTGTTTTGGAAGGGACATAAAGGACATGCATGACATGACCGCACAAAGTGATTGACGCGCTGCTCATGCATCCTTCTTCTGTTCATTACACCGATCATCTGGATTCTGGACAGACTCACTCCTAACTTATCAGCCCTCACTCACCAACCCTCACACCCCCCGGCAACTCCCCCCCCTCCAAAACCCCCTTCCACTCCCCCTCCACCTTCTGCTCCAACCCCTCAATCTGATTCTGCACCTCATTACTCTGCAAAAACTCCCTGAAAGAGCCACACCTCTCGATCCGTCCCCCCGTCTCGTTCCCACAGCTGGGGTCTCTAATCGCTTTCTGCAACAAATCCACATCCCACCCGTTGAAAAAATCCGCATGGTATCCGTACCCTGTCTTGTCGCCGTTGGAGAAGACAAACGGCTGATCGCCGGGGGTGCGGAGGTGGTTGAAGGCGTCTACCGCCCACGTCATTTCGTACAGCAACGCCGGGATGCGGTAGCGGTGGGTGGGCGGGCAGGTGCCGGTGTCGAGGCGGGAGGGGTATGTGACGTGGGTGTTGTTGTACGCGCTCGCTGTTCCTGTTGAATTTGAATTTGAATTTGAATTGGGGGAGGAAGAAGAAGAAGAAGAGAAAGTGCCGAGTCCGACACCGTCCCAGCAAGATGGGAAGCGAATGCGGATTTGCAAGCCGCCGTCGCAAGTGCGGTTGGGAAAGCCGGAGAAGGGGGGCAGGCCGGGTTCGTTGTTGGTGAGGAGGCAGATGAACTCGACTGCTCCGTCTTCAACCCTAGAAGAGTTGAAGGCGCGGCGGGTAGTGTCGCCCGCGATCATCTTGAACCCCTTGGGGAACGCCAGCAGCTCTTGGCCGGCGCAGTAATCGGTCCAGTCCATGCGTTCTTGGTAGTAGACGTTGATGCCGCCCACCTGCTCGACGGCGGTGAAAGTGTGGTTTTTCTTGTCGTGGAAATAAACGGTGGGAACCCAGTAGTTGGATAGATCTTTGGACACGGAGCAGGTGGTGCGGTTGGAGGTTTGGGTTTTGTTGTAGTCTAGGTCGAAATCGAAGGCGGAACCGCCCATTACTGTGTGTAAGTGCTGAGAGGGGCGGCCGGGGGAGACGATGGGGTCGAGACGGTCGACGGTGATGGGCTTACCGCAGCCCATGACGAAGAAGGCTTGGGAGGTAGGTTGGGGTTTGATACAGTCAGTGGGTTGCTGGGCGGATGTGGCAGTGAACAGGCATGTTAGCCAGACGACGAGGCTGGTGAGGAGGATCATCTTGGACTGTTGAACTGGGTTGGTATAAGGAGTGGATGTGAGTGAGTGTCTAGGAAGATGGTTCCGTTGCGAGGGGAGAAGAAAGAAGGTGGGAGTTAAGTAAACTCGGCTGGAGGTTGAGAGAGATAGATATCAGCGAGGGCGACGGGAAGAAAGAAGTCTTTTAGCTGAACGTAGTACCCCCGAGACATTAGACATGAAACAATGGAAGGAACAGCATGCATCACGGTTAGACACCTCCAACACTATGAAACGGTGTGGCTTGACGTTGGGTATGTTGGTAGCCATGATGTTTGTGTGCAATATATAACCCGATTGTCGTCGGACCACACGGCAGTGATCCGCGGAGACCAACATCCAACGATCCGGGCCAGTCAATGACAAGAATCGAAGACAGGATTCATTTAAACCACTGACCCATGTCCTTTTTTTCACAGACATTGATCGACCAACCGACCAACAGTCGAGCAAAGAAGGCAGTGGCATCGCATCGTATCGCATCGCATAATCGCAAGTCGGGATTGAAGAGGTGAAACCGTCGTCCGTCAACGCCATTGTTTGTCCATCATATCGCATTTCTCTGTGCCGTCGCTGTTTCATGACTGGCTCGTCGGCGCAACCAAACACACCCGTTCATTTTGTTCGTCTATCCCATATCATACAAGAGTCTGTCGTGTGGACTGTGATCCATGAATCCGCATTCGCTTCCGCCATCTGGGGCACTCGGGCTCGTGGGTATTAGAGTAGTACAGCGGGTCGAACTCGGAGTCGGAGTCTAAGTCGGTGTCGCGTGGAGGAGAGGCGACGGAGTGTGCATTTATTGCCTGTATGGTCATCGACGGTTAGGATACACATTGACCCGACAGAACCACGAGAGTCTGGGGTATACGAACACAACAAGGACCTCGCCCCAGGAGCTGGAGAGGAAAGCGACGGTAGCCTAAGGTTGGAGAGATGTGTTAGTATTATCAGGCTATAAATGAAAGACTTTGGACCATGGACCGGACGGGACCGGGGGGCCGGGGCCGGGTTGAGGAGGACACTCACGCCGAAGAAGGCGATGCTGCGGACGACGGAAGCGTTCTCAGCAGAGGTGAGGGAATCGTAAGTGGAGCGAATGAAGCCCTTGGACTTGCGGCTGCCACCGGGGCGCTCGATGTATCTGGCGGAAGGCATGGTGATTGAGTGTCTGGGAGTTGTCGCGATAACGGGCTATCGGTTGATGGAGTTGGAAACTGAGGGACCGTGACGCCGTGACGGGACTCGCAATCGCGGACTGGAACGTCGAATGGAAATTTTGGACTTCCAGGCAGGCAGAGGTAGAGTGACAAGGATGGCACGTGCCACTGCTCTTCTTATCCGAGGATGCTTGGCACCGTCATTGGCTGTTATCACTTACACAGAGCTTCACCAGAAAAGCCATCTTTTCAGCATGAACAATGATGGCTTGGAACTCATGGATTAGTATGATTGTCCCAAGGTTAATCTTCTCATGTCAAGCAACGACCGTGATGTGGAAAGGATTTAACCTTCAGTCACCGGTGTTGACTGGCTCCCCTTGCAGTGCTCCCGGCGGGCAGGCAAGCCCGGCCGTAGCCCTGTAAGCTGTGGAGCTTCAGTGCAGGCCCCACCCCCCCCCGCCATTTGTCGGGGCTGGATCCATTCGTCATGTCATCCATTGTCATGTGCATCTGCCACTGAACCCTCAACTTCTCACCACTGTCACCTTCTACCATCGCAACTCTTACTGTCGCATACCATCCCAATAATTATCATCCCACCTTGTCCTTCCGACGCCTACTTTAATTTCTTCGCATCGCCAATTGTCTCCGATACGTCGTACACTAATGGCTGAAAACGAAAACCCCAGCTCCCCGACAGCGCCAGCTCCCGGGGGCTTTGTGCCTACCGCGATCCCTTCACATTCGTTACCATCCCCAGCGCCCAGTTCAGCATCAGCGGCCGCCGTCTCAAACCTTCCACATCCACGCCGAACTTCTCTTCGCCCCGGATCCATCAAGGAGGATAAAGTCCGCAACTATGTTTCCGACAAAATGCTACACATCAGTCGCCGATACGTCAAGCACTTTGCGATCCCCGATCCCAGCGACGAAATCACCGGCTACAAGTCCATGGCTGAATTGTGCAAAGACGTGGACGACGTTATAAATATCCTCTGGTTATCCGGTACTCGTAAGTGCAACACTTACACAGCCTTATTGCCGATGCATTATTATCAGGCACTAACTTTCCTTTAGCCAGCCTACAAATTCCCTACCTCCTTAACATCGCGAGCGAGTTGACCACCTGGCTCGAGGGCTTCCCTCCTTCTCCTACAGCCACATTCTCGCTACTACGAAAACTCGACCACTGCTTCGCCAGCCTACTGTTCGGCTACGACATCGACACCAAAGAGACACTACCGGGCTTCGAAAACGGCCTCAGAGCCGGCCTGTCCCGGACAGACATGATCCGCTGCAAGAGCGTGCTTGAGCGCACTCGTGTGTTGGTAGTCGAGGTCATGTCGAAAGAGCCAGCCGACGAGGATCTAGACGGCGATACTGGGGGTCAGGGTATCCAGACCCCAAAGCCAGACGACGATACAGACGACATGAACGATTTCGATGATGACGATGATGACGAAGACGAGCTGTTGCACATGAATGTTGCCACGGTGTATGAGAACACACTTGTCAAGCTGGGAGAAATCCTGGAAGATGGAGGTGGCGTGACGACGATTCCCATGTCTGTGGACTGAGTAGACATTTGGTAACCGTTTACCATACTCCGATCCTTCCAGAGATGGAGAGGCGCCACTGTCATCAATCGCATCTTGTCGCCCCGGCTAACAAAGGATCTTAATGAGGTCTTTGCCGAGCCTGCGCGCACAAAAGAAGGGATGACTGCTGACAACAAATACCCGAATTGTTCACTGAAAGACTGAGGCGGATCTTGCCACTTTGCTAGCGGACGGATGAGTGACTCACCACCTCAATCTCCCCAACCGCTACGATGCTCATCGCAGATTATCATGAACCGTGTTGATGGTTTCAGAGATCCAAATCGAATTGGTAAGTAATCATCATGCCTCGACTGGCAGTCTGGGCTGTTGTTAACCCGAGCTCGCTCTTTAAAGATCCCTTTGCAGAGAAGACTGCGCCATATGTAGAAGGTCGCGGCTGCTGCCTGATTTTTGAAAGCTGTTGGCTTGGATGTTTTGGTTACTCTACATTAGTCTAGCTGACGCGCTGGCCGAGATGTCCAAAGAGGTTCTCACTGAGATGCGATTGGATTGTAGACTCATTGACGACTAGTGACAACAGACACTGGGTCGGCCATGGCCTCTATCTTCAGGTATACTCCTCCGAAGCATGGGACGCTATCCTCCCAGTCGTTTCTATACAACAAGTACGCTTTGAGTTGTAGATATGCAAAGTCTGGTGAACAACCTGGAATCATCTCGATTTCACAAGACCCCTAGCTGTACAAGCTGTAAGGCGTGCATGACTTGTCCCGTAGAGAGATTAGCCGGTGGGGCGATTTACACGCATCCAATCCCACCGTGAATGCAGGGGAAAGCTCCAGGGCGGGGGAGGTGGCCGAGACCTCGATCTCTCCCGGTTCTCTCCCCAAGTGAGGTGGAGGGGGGCAAGCAAGCCCGGACACCTTGAGGGACACAAGAAGTCAAGAACATTCATGGCAAGAACCGAAGGGGGCAAGATGAACCAGCCTCGGGCAATCATCATAGGTCTGAGTAGAAGGGACGGGGTTACATGTGCGACTCTGAAGACACCACCACGACACACCAGCAACAACGAACACCGGGAGCAAAGAACAGCCGGCGGGAACAATCACGGTTGTAGGCCGAAGATTCCAGCACGCAATATTGGTAATTGGATGGCGAGAGAGCACAATGAAGGGTTGCCTCCCCCGTTGACTTCCATCTTCGATATGTTTCTCCCACCCCTCTTGGCATTTCTGGCGCTCAAGTTCGAGCAACGCGATTTTCATGTACTAGCTAACGCGACTTCACATGACTCCCATCTCTACCAGCCATAAATCCAGGCCTTGATTCTATTCCCGTTCAACTTGCAAGCCCTCAAGGTTCTCACCGCCGTGGTTGCCTGGAGAGGGTCGTGAGGTTCGTCAAGATTCCATGTTAACCAAAATGGAAAGGGCAGAATACTCCGAGGCGAGTTACATTTCCCACCTGCCAATCAGAGGAAGGGAAACAACAATCAATGCAGATTGCGTTCATGCAGCTGTACCACCTTTTCTATCCGTTTCTATCCATCCTGCTTGCCTCCAGTTGCAGTTGCCATCCCTTGTGTTTGCTGTGCGGGGTCGAGCAATCTTCCATTTTCAAGTTGTCAATACAAGTACAGTACACTTCCAAGCATCTCTTTGAGATGGATCAAGCGGCCAGGAAAGAAAAGGGATTTTGAAGGGGTTGAAGATGCCCAACATCTTCCCGATATGATCGTCGTCTGGAGTGTTCACAAAAAAAAAGAACAACAATTTGGATGGCATCAGCCGAAGCCAAGGGCGAGATAGATCTGAGTATGTTGTAAGTACGTTACCTTACGTACTTACAGTACGAGGTATCCCGTCCCTGGGGGTTCACCGCGATGGAAGCCGGGGATGGATGGAGCAACCGAATCATGATCCGAGAAGCTCACACTCCAGAGACAGGCGCAGTGATGGGGGACAAGCGGGGGGCGGGGTAGAATAATTCCTTTGTGTTCCTTCTCTGCGATTTCATGTCAACCTCGCCTTCCCACCCACCCTCCACCACCAAACCCCTCGCTTTGGTACTAATACCGGAGCTTCCTCTCTCCGATATCATCTGTCTTCTGTCTTCTGTTTCTTCTCTATTCCCATCCCCGTTCATCTCACCTCCTCGTCTGTTCAGCTCCCACGTCAGCAAAGAGCTTCAACTTGGAATTGATATCCTGTCTCGAAAGATCAAAACACAACATGGGATCGACCAACATGTCCGAGTGCCCCGTCCGCAAGTCCAACATCGGTGGTGGTGGCACCAGGAACTACGACTGGTGGCCCGGCCAGCTTAGGCTCAACATCCTCCGCCAACATACCCCCGTCACCAACCCCCTCGACAAAGACTTCGACTATGCCGCTGCCTTCAAGAGCCTCGACTATGAAGGCCTCAAGAAGGACCTCACTGACCTCATGACCGACTCGAAAGACTGGTGGCCTGCTGATTTCGGCCACTATGGCGGTCTCTTCATCCGCATGGCATGGCACAGCGCCGGTACCTACCGTGTCACGGATGGCCGTGGAGGCGGTGGTGAGGGTCAGCAGCGCTTTGCTCCTCTCAACAGCTGGCCCGACAACGTCTCTCTCGACAAGGCCCGTCGTCTCCTGTGGCCCATCAAGCAAAAGTACGGCAACAAGATCTCGTGGGCCGACTTGCTCCTTCTTACCGGCAACGTGGCCCTCGAGTCCATGGGCTTCAAGACCTTTGGCTTTGCCGGTGGCCGTCCCGACACCTGGGAGGCTGACGAGTCTACATACTGGGGTTCCGAGACTACATGGCTGGGCAACGAGGACCGTTACGCCGAGGGTCAGGAAGGCCACAAGGGACATGGTGTCGTCCAAGGTGACGAGTCCAAGAAACAGCACAAGGACATCCACAACCGTGACCTGCAGGAACCCCTTGCCTCCGCCCACATGGGCCTCATCTACGTCAACCCCGAAGGCCCTGACGGCATTCCCGACCCCGTTGGCTCAGCCAAGGATATCCGTGTCACCTTTGGCCGCATGGCTATGAACGACGAAGAGACTGTCGCTCTGATTGCTGGTGGTCATACCTTTGGCAAGACCCACGGTGCTGGTCCCACTCATCACGTCGGCAAGGAGCCCGAGGCCGCTCCCATCGAGCAACAAGGTCTCGGCTGGGCCAACAGCTTTGGTCAGGGCAAGGGTCCCGACACCATCACCAGTGGTCTTGAAGTCACTTGGACACCGACTCCTACCAAGTGGGGCATGGGCTACCTTGAATACCTCTACAAGTTTGACTGGGAGCCGACAAAGAGCCCTGCTGGTGCCAACCAGTGGGTGGCCAAGAACGCCGAGCCCAGCATCCCAGATGCCTACGACCCCAACAAGAAGAAGCTCCCGACCATGTTGACGAGCGATATAGCCCTGCGCATGGATCCCGCCTATGACAAGATCTGCCGCGATTTCCTCGCTAACCCAGACAAGTTCGCCGATGCTTTTGCCCGCGCTTGGTTCAAGCTTCTTCACCGTGACATGGGCCCGCGTACTCGCTGGATCGGTCCCGAGGTCCCCTCTGAGGTCCTACCTTGGGAAGACTACATCCCTCCCGTAGACTACCAGGTCATTGATGATAACGATATCACGGCCTTGAAGAAGGAGATTCTGGCCACCGGTGTCGCTCCAAAGAAGCTGATCTTCGTTGCCTGGTCCTCAGCCTCCACCTTCCGTGGCTCTGACAAGCGCGGTGGTGCCAATGGAGCCCGTATCCGTCTCGCTCCCCAAAACGAGTGGAAGGTCAACGATCCTTCTACGCTCCGCGAAGTCATTTCTGCTCTCGAGTCTGTGCAGCAAAAGTTCAACGACAGTTCCAGCGGCAAGAAGGTCTCCTTGGCTGATCTCATTGTCCTCGGTGGTGTCGCCGCCCTTGAGCAGGCTTCTGGCTTGATGGTCCCTTTCACCCCAGGCCGCAACGACGCCACTCAGGAGCAAACCGATGTGCACTCGTTCACTCACCTCGAGCCTTACGCCGACGGCTTCCGCAACTACGGCAAGGGCACCCAGCGCGTACGCACTGAGCAGTTCCTCATTGACCGTGCCTCGCTGCTCACTCTCTCGGCCCCTGAGCTCACTGCCCTCATTGGTGGTCTCCGTGTGCTAGAGGCCAACTATGATGGCGGATCCCACGGTGTGTTGACCAAGACTCCCGGCAAGCTTACCAACGACTTCTTTGTCAACCTGTTGGACACCAACACGGCATGGAAGGCTGCGGATAACGAGGGCGAGGTTTTCATCGGCTACGACCGCAAGACACACGACAAGAAGTGGACTGCCACCAGGGCGGACCTCATCTTTGGATCACACGCTGAGCTTCGTGCGCTTGCGGAGGTGTATGCTGCGGTGGACGGCGAGGAGAAGTTCAAGCGCGACTTTGTGGCGGCTTGGCACAAGGTGATGAACCTGGATCGGTTCGACCTGAAGCAGGAGGGGCGGGGCCAGAATGCTCCTAAGCTTTAGGAGGCTGATCGGGTACTGCTGTACAGCAGAGAGCTGCGTTGGCGGATTGCTTGGATGGAGGCTAGTCGGGCGGATAATTGGGCTCGTTGGGTTCAAAGACACCATTACAAAAAGTCCTTGTTGTGGTTCAAAAAGGCGCTGGAGGACCTTGAGAAGTGGAGGGATTTGGGTGCGCTGCCGCGTCCGGAGGATCCAGAGAAGGCTGTCTTGAGAGAAGGGAAATAAAAGACACGAGCAAGTCGATGCCGAAACTGCATTGTTTGAAATGAGTTGAAATGCCATTGATACGAGCAAAGTTAGAGATCGGTCTGTCCAGATGAGCGGTGTGATTAACAGAATAAGTATGCATGAGCACCGCGTTAATTCTTTGTGCCGTCGTCATGTCCTCCTCTCGATGCACTTATTCCTAGATTCCTGTGTTTGGTGTTTCTTGGATTCGGACGTCGGTTGTTGGTTCGTGTGTAAAAGATAGCCGTTACTGTGTTAACTCGGGTGCAGCTAATTTTGCAGGCCATCTGATAAGACCCCATCTTATTCAGTCCCACTAATACAGGCCTGTGCGTGCTTCCTCTTATCGACTACCGGTAGGTCAAACGGCCACTCCTTTATTACTCCTCACAGACTTCCTCTCTGATCACTGTTCAGTCATTCAAAATGACCACTTTCAACACCTCAGACCGGAGGAAATCTGTTTCACCGCGACGGCAAGACTCCACAAAATCCTGGAATATTTGGAAGACTATTTTGGAAGTTGAAGGAACCTAGCTTACTTAGCTTTTCTGTGGGAAATCCATATTCGAATGGGCGCGGGTCATGGTGATGGTGAAGGTCATTTATTGTTAGGATGAGATGAACAGGTTTGTTGTGACTTACCTTATTCATTGACGTTGAGACCTTGACTGAGCCAGCCTTGGTTTCGTCCGTCCGTTCGTTCGTTCGTTCGTTCGTTCATTCTCGCTGGACGGCGGACGCCGGTACGAGAAATTGTCAGGACGGGACGGGAGATCGCGCGGTTCGAGGACTGTCGCTTGTATTGTACCCATCCATGTAGGCGCTTTGGGATTATGAACCTGAACCTTCACCTGTGGGCTGTGTGTGAGCCAGTTCATCATCCGAGACGAGACGAGACTCTTTTTGTGCTGATGTCTCCCGTCCTGACTTTGTTAGTCCGAGCCATGCTGACTTTGTTAGTCCGAGCCATGCTGACTTTGTTATTGTGCCGGCGCGTGGCTCAAAGTGCTTTTCTTTGTACCAACGCCAGACACTGGACCTTGTCTTTGTTCTTTCTACCAATACTGACCTGCGTATTCACTCACCACTTTCAAACCCGAACCACTTCCTTTCCATAATTGCGTAGGCAGGTTATTGATTGACAAAGGATACCGTCCAAAATGACCAAAAAAATATTATTTCATTTGCCACCACAAAGTCCTATCTATAAAGGAGTGAGGTCCAACTGACTCTTCCCCGAACTCCCATTCTGTTTTTCTCACTCTTCCTGCAAACCCAGGCAGTTCTCCAGAACAAACCCCTTTGCCCAGAAAGCTTTCCCCATCTCTCAGCAACTACGTAAAGAACAACAACTAAGGCACAACAAAATGCCCAGCCACCGCACCCATCTCAAAAGAGAGCGGGACCCGGACAGCCCTCCCCCCGACAACGACGACTACCATCACCGTCATCACGAGCGGTCCAGATCCCCTCGCAGATCCCCCCCGCGAGATTACCATGTCCCGCCACACTCGGACAATTATTCCCGCGTGCTCGACGGGCCCAAGGGCAAGGTCAAGCGCGAAGAAGGAGAAGAAAAGGACGTCTTGGTCCGCAAGCGCGTCAAGGAAGGCGAGCACTCTCCCCAGCGTGATGTTCCGGCCTGGTTGATGTGGGCCGCCGGCGCCGCGTTAGTCAGGGAAGACCGCAAGAAGCACAAGTACAGCGTGGAGAAGCGCGGCACTAGCAAGGACAAGGGCAAGGGCAAGAACCGAGACGATGATGATGGATATCATGCCGTGGAGCTCCAGACCGGGAACAGAGCGTATATCGAGCGATTGGACGCCAAGATGGAGGAGATATCGAAGCTACCGTATGACGTCCAGGAAGCGATGGAGCGCGAGGAGGAAAGAAGGCATCGTGATGTGCTCAATTCGAGCTTTAGGGAACGGTACCCTGGGCGTCTTCCAAAACCGGACTACCTCAACGATGAGTACGAGAGCGTCTATGAACGCTACATGCGCTCCATGCGTGGGAATCCTTAGGCGGGATCCACCCAGAGTCAGAGTAATGTACAACATAAGACGATGAAGGAGACGGAATTGGAGAGGCAGGCGAGGAGGGAAAGAGAGAGTTGGGACAGGTTTAGAAGGGATAGGAAGGAAGAGGGGATACAGGGAGGTGGAAGTGATTGGGAAAGGGGGAATGAGATTATCATCAATGGAGAAAGGTACGTTAAACAGGAAAAAGGGAATTCTTACTCACACAGAAAACCACCTGGTCCAACTCCTCCTTCTGCTGCCGCTGAGATTGCAGCCGGTGATGATCGAGGACGGATGTCGCAAATACTGGGTGATCTGTTAGAAGAAGTGAGGGCAAGACTGCCACTGAGAAACAACCCGGCTACTGATAACCAAGAGCCTGAGCGAAAGGTGAAGACAGAAGAAGAGGGAGTGAAAATAAAGAGCCAGCCAGCACCAGTACCCTTGTGGAAATCATTCCTGGGACTGAACTTGGGGAACGGCTCCGTTCCGCCGCCGCCGCCTTCTAGTCACTCCCGTTCTGCCAGCGGTTCCAATCGCGGACAAACGTTGCCGAAGAGAAAATATCCGAAGAAGAACACGGCCGAGATCATAGCGGACGTTAACGGATGGCCAAGTCCATCTCGTCAAGCATATCAAGAAAGATGTTCTTGGAGAAGCGAACGGCCTTCAGGGGTCGAATTTGCTTCGCCTTCTGCTGTACCAACCCCCACTCGCCCCAAGGCTTCATATCCTCGATCCTATCCTCCTCCTCCAACGGTCGTGACCATTCCCGAGTCGGAATCCAGCAGCTATCATGCTCCAGAGTCGAAGAATGGGGATCCTGCCCATCGCGTATACCGAGTCCCTTCCTACCGCATGAACCCAACTGGCGATCCGTATTCGCAACAACATCCCTCTGCTCCCACCGCCAACACGCGTCGCCGTCGCCGCCGGGGTCTTGGTGAAGACTTACCAACGGTACCAGAGAACTGGGGAACATCCTCTTATGGACGTGGTCCTGGTGAGTCGCCAAAGTACAATCGCTAGAAGGGATTGGACGATTATTTCCCGCCACGCTGGACTGAGGAGGACAAGGAGAGGTGGATGGAGAGGAAGAGAAGAGATGCGGAAGCCGAGCAATGGGCCAAACTTGTTCCAGAGGCCAGGAAAAGGGAACTGTGGAGATTGGGAGAGCGGGTAGTGAAGGACACCGAGGCAGTGAGGGTGTTGAAGTCTCAGAAGGGAAGTCCATTCGTTCGGCTGGCGGATTAGTTTTTTTTTTCTTTTTCAGAGGTCGTCATTTTTAGGTTGCTCTTTCCATTGCAATGCAATTCTCTTTTTTTTTCTCAGTGCCAGCTCTGTCATTGTTGCCTGCCGTGCCTTCCTGTGCCGTGTATGTAAATGCAAGTGCCCTGGTGATGTAAGTAGCTGCAGGCAAGCGCGATTGGCGTTGGACATCCCACCTGCCGATGCTTTCTTATCAGTGAAAACTGCAGTGCTTGCCTGTTCTTGTCAACTCTCGAATTCTCGTTGCTTCCGCTTCGTCTCCTTATCACATTCACATTCAGCCAGCCATGCCTGTGTCGGCACCTGAAAGGCAGCAAAGCAACCACATCAGACAAAGTATCACTGTCTTCAGATTCCTAGCTAAACGAGCGAAGGTACGTCAAAACGCCAGATCTTAAGTCCAAAACCTTCACAGTCCAAAATTGGTCATCACAAGTCATAACACGTTCTGTCACTGTCCTTTCCACCATTTCCCAGACCCAAACAATCACCAGAGAGAATCCAAGTCCCAATCCTCCAAGCATCCCATCTCGTCCCATCTCCCACCCTGATCTCTCGCCAAAGCTCCTTGTGCTGACCTCTCCCAGGCGGTCGCTTAGGCCTTGTCGATGGGGATCACGTAGTCCTCAACCGAACCACGCTTATCGATGGGGATAACATAATCCTCGACGGACGAACGCTTGTCGATGGGGATGACATAGTCCTCGACGGAGCTACGCTTGTCAATCGGGATCACGTAATCCTCGACCGACGAACGCTTGTCGATGGGGATCACGTAGTCCTCAACAGAACCACGCTTGTCGATGGGGATTACGTAGTCCTCGACGGCACCGTGGCGCTTGTCAATGGGGATCACGTAGTCCTCAACCGAGGACCTCTTGTCGATGGGGATCACGTAGTCCTCGACCGACGAACGCTTGTCGATGAGGATCACGTAGTCCTCAACAGAACCACGCTTGTCGATGGGGATCACGTAGTCCTCGACCGACGAACGCTTGTCGATGGGAATCACGTAGTCCTCAACCGAGGACCTCTTGTCGATGGGAATCACGTAGTCCTCAACCGAGGACCTCTTGTCGATGGGAATCACGTAGTCCTCAACCGAGGACCTCTTGTCGATGGGAATCACGTAGTCCTCAACCGAGGACCTCTTGTCGATGGGAATCACGTAGTCCTCAACCGAGGACCTCTTGTCGATGGGAATCACGTAGTCCTCAACCGAGGACCTCTTGTCGATGGGAATCACGTAGTCCTCAACCGAGGACCTCTTGTCGATGGGAATCACGTAGTCCTCAACCGAGGACCTCTTGTCGATGGGAATCACGTAGTCCTCAACCGAGGACCTCTTGTCGATGGGAATCACGTAGTCCTCAACCGAGGACCTCTTGTCGATGGGAATCACGTAGTCCTCAACCGAGGACCTCTTGTCGATGGGGATAACATAATCCTCGACGGATGAACGCTATTCACCCTCTCAGGTTAGCAACATGGAACATCAAATCACGGTGCTCTTATTGTGAAAACTGACCTTAGCAGCAGGAGCGGCAAGGACGCTAACGCAGAAAGCTGCGATCAGGACGGAACTCGAGTACTTCATGGTGACGGTTGCGTAACGACTCGAGATTGTGTGGGGAGAGTCTGAATGTCGTGGTAAGTTGTAGGTGTCTGTCCTTAGTCTGGTGATAAGGCGTGTGTGACTGAGTGATCACTGACGACCAGATTGTGAAGACGATTCCCTGGTCACTTATACCCAAAGAAACCTCCTTCAGTCTTTGCCTACTGCGACCATACTATCCGCATAGTGGCGCCTCCAAGAGTCACTTCGGCTTGCTTCAAGATGCTCCGCGCACGAAGGCGTTTCGGCCAACATGTTGTCGATCCAGTGAACCGAACCCAACGACAAGCGCCACACAAACGTATCGCTCGCCAGATCCGCTTCGACGGTCAATTACCAAAAGCTGTATCCGTCAAGCTTCACGGCGCATGTCGTGAGCAGGGATTTGAACCGCGCCTGAAAGTTCGGGCACTCACACCAGCGTTTAACGCGATTCATTCTTGCGGACATCGCTTCCACTACACTCCTACCTACGACACCGCATATCTGATACTTTCCATATTCCCGTATTGACGATCCAAGGTATATTCTGGTGGAGACTTTTTTGTAAACAGGGTCATGACGTCCGTTTGGTGCATTTGTTACTTCTTTTTCGCTTGCCCCCTTTCCTCGCCTTTGGCGCAGCTCAAGCTTGCGCCGCGCTTCTATGGATTTTCGCGATAAGGCCCAGTAGGCCAGCGCCTCGCTCTAAGAAACAGCTACGGCGGAAAGGCACTCGAAATTTCGAGACTGTTACAGAGAGGAACCTGGGATCAGTTTGGTTTCACCACCTCGTCAAGTCGGAGGGCGTTACAGTCCTATTTCCTTGTTTCTTTGAGGGTGTCAGTAGCGCCTTATCCATCATTACCGTCGTAAAGACTCTTCTCCGAGTCAAGAACGACACTACCCTTCTAATTTGTCAAGCGCTAGCCTCGTCGAAAATTGGCTGGGAGTGAAGCAGTGCCCCAAGGCACTCAAAATATGGCATCCCGAGTCTTGACAAGCGCATAATGAATCATCTGGAAAGTCTGGTTGATGAGCGGAAGTGAAAGCAAATGTTTTCGGTGTGATTATGTTATCCTAGTCACCTAGGGCCATAGAGCAGAAGACGCAGAACCGGAAGCAAACTGTCCGCCTTTATGTTGGTTTCCTTATTGCCGGAGTTCACACACCGGTTTGCTCACCAACCAGCTGGAGCGGTCAGCGACTCGCCAGTAATCATTTCGATATCTACACTGGCTCGACGGGGAAGCCTCTGGTCCTTGAGCTTAAAGGATCAGAGTCCCCAGCGCGCATCTAGACATTTTCCCGCATCCGGAGAGATTGGTTTGTACTCTGTTGCATTTGTCAAAAATGCTATCAAGTCCGACTGCCCACTGGGGTGTCTTCCTTCTTTTCACAAAGGTCCCAGACAACTGACCCAATGGTCTCTGGGAACAAATCTTACAGCAACTCAAGTAAACAACAACCCCAAATTCGACTGCTGCATAACTTCCCTCCAATCGACCTTCACCGACGAGGATGAAAGCGACCGATCTCTTTCACCGCCATTACTCTCCCCAGACATGAAATCTGATCCTCTTTTAACCCCATCAACTTGCCTCCAGCATTCTTCAACAACAGCTTTCAACTCTCTCAAGCTTCCCAGCGTCGAGTCAACACTTGACAACCGGCCAGGGACCAAGAATTCTCTGAATACTTCCCTTTGCTCCCTTGTTGCCAGACTCGCGCAAACGCAATATGGCCAAGCCAAGCTCCTTGGGCTTATAGACTCGGGAATCCTCTTCCACACCGCAATGGAACGCTCAATACTCTCGCTTATCTCAGGCACGCTTGCCAGTGGTCCGGACACAATGGAGTGCAAGTGAGTAAGCAAGGCGTAAGAAAAGACCAAGCTTTGGAGACCGTTGTTGCTACCGCTCCCTTCCAGACGCTTAATTCCTTCTTCGACTGTATTCTCCAGCCTGGAGGCGCGGTTGACCAGCTCTCTTATACTTAGGTTGCCTTGGTTCTCCTGGTCTCTCTTCCATACCTCGAGGGCAGTGGCGTCCATTATCGCTACAAGGATCCATGATTCACAGCCCGTGGTGGACTGGAAAGAAGCACAGAAAGAGGGAGAAGAGGTGAGGAGGTCCCGGTAGGAGGCGGCCGCAGAAGGAACCTTCTTGAGGGAGGAGGACGAGAGGATGTCATTCCAGATCAGGATGGCACGAAAGAAGGAGAGAGCTGTTTGTTCCATGGGAGACGGGCCAGGTGGCATTGGGCTGCTGGTGCCTAATGGAAGACTGAGCGGGAGTTGCTGTTGCTGGGACTGAGCTAGAGATGGTGTGTTGGTCCCGCTATCACACGTTGAGGCCTGGCGCAGGTCGTCGAGGAGGATTTGGACTGCCGAAGAGAGGTACGAGTGACAGCTTTGCATGTTTTTCCCTAGAGCCTGGGGTAAAAGTCAACAACAACAACCTAGAAACCTTACGCTTGGTCAGCGGCTAATCTTACTCACCTCCAACAGGGCAAGCTGTACCGAGCATATCAAGCTTTCGCCAAACACTCCCCCCGAACGTTGCCGATTAGGGTCCATAAGATCACAAAAGCTGTCCAAGGCTTGCGCCCTGTGCGATTGGTAGTCATGGACTGCTGTAGCGTGAGCATCACTATGTCCGGCAAGGGTCAGAGACTTGTGATAGGCGCTCATGCTGAGGGAAGTGTGATAAAATGTCGGTGACCTCATCAGCAGGAAGAGTGCCCAACTCCTCTGTGTTGCTGATGATGAACGATACGAGCCGTGTTGTAACGGACACGTCTCGCCGATGAAGTGCATGACCAACTCGATATCATTCTCTGAAGTTGGGGGACCATGCATCCCCGAACCAGTGCCACTGTCGCCCAAACAGGAGAGACTGAGCGGTGTTGGCATTTCTGATGGTTGCTTGGAGTGTTCCGAAACTCCAGGAAGACGCTGTAGCGCTGTGGGCTCCAAGGGTGAAATGTCGACCAGGGCTGCATCCGTGTGGCCATGAGTCGCCCAGATATTGTCGTTGTAAGAGGCAGTAAGGGAGTCGGGGGCTATCGTTAGGGCATCGAGAAATTCGAACTCTATCGCTGCGTTCCGTTCATGCCCCGAAGAAGGGGACAACGGGAACGAAAAGTCGGACGACAAGAACGGCGACAGCGAAGGTGGTTCAGCGGCCGGGATGGGAGGGCTACCGATGTCGATAGTGCCCCCGGAAGATGTCGACGATTCGGACACGGATGGGTGAGAGGCATGGCTTTGGGTGGCCGTTGATCTTCGACGTCTTCGTGTTTGGAGTTGAAGCCTGTTCGCCTCTTCCCTTTCCATGTCTCCTCTATCTTTCCAGTTGGGTTTGGGACCGTAGCCATGGCAAAAGATGCCTCGAGATTCGCAATTTGAACAGGGTGGTCCTCCTTCGAGGCACTTTTTGCGGCGCAGACGACAAGTCCAACATCCACTTTTACTGCGTTGTCCTGACGGCATTGGAGAAGGAAGAAGGACAATTTGAGCAACCGTAAGCGTGAGATTACCCAGTCAGCTTGTTGTTGAGATGTTGCTAATGGTGGCAGTTGACGAGTGACGGCTTGCGAAGTGGATGGGAAGGGCTTCAACCTGGTGTAACGGAGCTAGCATTTTGAGACCAAGACAGGTTTGAGGACGGGATATTAATGGGTAGGGTAAGACGGAGAAGCTGAATAGGATGAGTGAACGACAATGACAAGTGTCCCAAGTGTCACTCTCACGATGGGGGAGAAAAGCGAATGGCACTCTCATGCCTTTTTTCAGTCTCATTCCGACGACCCTTTACCTGTCTCAACATGGAGGCCCTGGAAGCACAGAGTGGAATCTACGGTCAACATCGGAACAGTGATTTGTTGACATGACATACAAGCAGGGAGATGCGAATTGCAGCAGCAGCGATGGAGAGCATCAACCACCTAGATGAGAATCCGAGGCCGCCAAGACCGGATCCTCAGCGCTAGTGATCGACATTGCAGCACAGCTGAAAGCTGGGAATACCATAAGACCTTCCGGAATGGTAACTCCCCTCACCATGGACGGCAGAGATTTCCCGATAGGTTTCTCGAAAGGCAAGGGATCCTTGATGGGAAAGTCGAAGAGGTTCAGTTTGGGTTTTCCGGGCGGGCGGATGGCTAGAAAAAAACACGGGAGGCTCCTAACAATGGAACTCACGTCATGCATAGTGATGGAGGACGTGATCAAGGCGAGTTCGATGCCCAACCAAACAGTTGTACAAGTCCTCGTGCGGCTTGTTTCACCAAGCAGGTCTTCGGAGATCGCTGTTGGGTGACGCTAACAGGTAACCACTAAGCTTCACAGTCGGCGACCCGCAGGATCATGGCCAATTCCCGCCTGGTGTAAGAGTCAAGGTGAATGTACACTATGGTGTACACACTACGCGTCCCTTCTGGAAAAGAACAAGGACGTCATCCTCTAACCTGTGCAGTCTAGCCCCCCCGAGGTCCCGATACCATGTATGGAAACCACCGAGATCGCAAGCGCACATCTGTAGATCCGGGCGGGCGATCTTCTCGTCTCATTGGCCGGGTTCCGGTCTTGGGACGGCTAGATGCCGAGCCAATCTGTTAGATTCAGGTCCGGCCTGGGGATAGGAGGGGACCAAAGCCCGGTGTCGGGTTAAGTGGAGGAGGCTCTGAGACAAGTTGATAACAACCCCCAGGACCCATTCATTAGTATGTATTGTCTAGCTACGGCTGACGCGCAACTTGCCAGACTACTAATGAGACTAAAGATGCATCTTCACGCCATCGTTATCCATTTCCAGAGCGGGGATGCAAGTAACTCACAGTATACTTATCAACAATGACCTCACGAATTTGAATATGCTGAAGATCTGTAGCACCACTCTTCGGGATAGTGGTGGGATAGGCTCGCCGACCGAGCTAAGTAGATATACGAAAGGTCGCTTCAAGTGGAATTCCCGAATTGCGATAACACCTACAGTCTACAATCAGGACAACCAATATCACATCCGCCCGTCGTGTTCCCCTCATTGTCGTTGAAACACTTGTTCAACCCACACGAAACATGTGTCTCGGCAAAAGCGGTAACCGAATTCCTTCCCCTCCAGTTTGACCAACCCTATCTACTACCCACGACAACAAGCATTTTCACAGCATCACATTCGAGTCTCGATCATGGGTAGTCCAGGTTGGCTACGACTTGTCGTCATACAACTGGCGCGGGCCCCACGGGGTTTACCCGCCATCCACGCCACCATTCCAATGGCGGCAACTAAGCCTGCATCAGTGTCGGGTTTAACCTGCGGAATAACCAATTTCATGTGCAACAGAAGGAATGGAAGCATGTCTCGGTATTTCATGCGGTGGTGTGCTAATTCGTGTGCTAGAGTTGCTAGACCCCGCATGTTGTGCTTCGGTAGTTTACGTGATGGCAATGAAGGATGGAAGATCGCAGGTACAGTATGTAACTCTGGTTTTGTGCGATGACGGTGTGGTACCTAGATGCCGCGGGAATCGCCAAGCTTACCAAGCGATGCCCAGCCGGAGCCGAACGGGGTTACGGGGGTCCCGATCTTGATATGCCGGAAAGCGGGTCCCCCGGCCCGTTGCGGAAAAGTCTGTGGGGACGTCACAGCTGGAGATGGGAAACACCTACACTACACCCACGAGGTGTGCGAAAACAAGACCGAACACTTTCTGGTGTGTTGTCGTGTAAGTGTGTTCGGACTTAATTCCGCACACCTCGACCCACAAGGACCCTTTGTACAGGTCACTGTCCCTACCAGTGTGCCCGATCCCCACTGTCGCTTACGATTTCTACATTTGGAGTGTTGCATTTTGTATCTTGCATCGATATCATGCAGAACAAATCATCAATTCCACTTTCGATCAAGCCCAGAGAGACCTTCTATACCCGAGGGGGCCTGAGGCTAAAGAGGGGGAGAGGGAGGGACGGGAGAAAGTAGCGGTGAAAATGTATGTAGGGAATATCGAAGAATGCGTGGTGTTTTTGTCGGGCACAACATGAGGATGTGTGATGACAATGCATTGTAGATACTTGAGGCTGATATCACCACCTGGCAGTGGAAAGTGCTACCACGTTACTTTCACGAAAGAAGACGAGAGGAAGTGAGACAAGGGACAAAACACAAGAGTCCGGAGATTTCGGTCGATTCGAATTCCGGTTCTACACTATGGCTCGGTCGGGACTTGGGACTTGGGGCTCAAGAGGTGGCACAGAGAGAGAGAGATGGAGGTAAAGGTAAGGTAACTATTCGCACAAGCTATCCTATTCATTTTCCCTCGAAAAACAAAAGAAAAAATCCACCCCCCTGCGTGTTCCCTCCCGCAAGTAGGTACGATCGTGCAGGTACCCAACCCATGTGTCCCCCATTCAGCGCAACCTAACTACCGTCTTGGCAGGCACCAAACATCTAAACCTAACCTCAACCGCAAGCTACCACACTACCTACCTACACCCATCCCTCCCTCCTGCTTCCTCCCATCCTCCATTTTCCCTTAACTACATACACTACCTACTAATGAATAACCTTCCACTCCCTAAACCGATGGCGCTCAGCCCACTCAAACACGGCCCCAAAGTCTTTGCAGGTGTGCTGATACCCCCACCCCGTGCTGCCCGTCTCGTCGGGCGGGGTGATCCATTCGAGAGTGGTGTCGGCATTGCACATGATGCCTTGCCGGAGATAGTCCCAGCAGTGCATCAGATGCGGGGTGTTGACTTCGTCGAGAGAGCCGGATTTGGCGGCGAAGTAGCCTGCTCGGGTCATGTACTTTTTGTGCTTGTTAGTTGGCTTGGAATTGTGTGTAGACAAGAGGCCGGGGAGGGGAGGGGATGGACAGAGAGGGGTTTGGAAGGGCCGTATTCAGTAGGGGAGCCGGAGGAGGGTGGAAGTGCTGGCTGGGGTCATATGAGGATGAGTGAGGGAAGGGGAAGACATACCAAGCAGTGCAGCTGATGAAAAACAGAAACCATGGCATGTTGTTCCTTTTTGGATTTATCCAGCCTTGGAAGATCATCTGGTAACGCGTCGGCTGTCTCGTTGGGGAGGACGATGAAGCCTTTGCCTTCTGTTTTGTTTTACCAAACATGTGGTCAGAACCAGTATCATTTTCCACAGTCACAAAGACTGAACTGTAAAAGGGGGTAAAAACATACTAGGAATCATAGCAGTCCAAGCCTGATCAACCTCCTCACTTGGTTCCGCTCCATAGATAGTCTGGAAGCGGAAGATTTCGGTTCGGAAATCTACTTGGGGTTCCCAGGGCGGTTGTTCTGGGAATTTCTTCAGCGGCCCGGTTGGGTGTTCGGTTCCTGATGGTGCTGGTGTTGTTGTTGTTATCGGCCACCGCAAAGTAACAGCCACCAAGGCTGCTAGCAAAAGGATGTTGGACAAGGCAAGGAACAAAGTAGTACACGGGAGACTAAGAATCGCGAGTCTGCTGCTCCTCTTTTCCCTCTTTTGCTGCCCAGGGGTGGTGCGTGGAGGGTTGGACTCGAGGAGGTTTTCCTTTTCTTCCATGTCGTCGTCGACGATGTGGGAGCCAGAACCGGAGGATCGGACGGTGGTGCTGCTTTGGTCGTCTCTGTAGTGGTCCATGGTTTAGGGTTGGTCGTGGTCGTTGTGGTTGAGTGTCTGTTCAACGGGAGCTATCAGGTCGTCTCCGCTCAGGTCGCCGTGGGAAAACTAGGTAGACTCCTGACAAGTAGGGAGATCACCTAGGTAACCAGCAACGGCTTGGTGGTTACCCCTCGAGGCAATTCCAGCGGCAACTAATGGCCGTAGCGGGACTTCCGGTCCAGGGCGCGCACAGTTGTCTGTCGCCCGGGCGGGACGCTTCGTTCGAGGCAGGTTGACCGCCCGGCGCCCAATCTGCCGCCATCGCCGGGTTTCGTGGCGGTTCGCTATCGGATCGTCAGCGCCGTCTGTCTTCGTTGGCGCAGTCGGCGCTCCTCCCTTGGCGCCACTTCATCGCTTCGCGCCAAAACCACGACGAAGCTCCCGTCCACTTGCGCTCTTCTGAGGGGAGCGGATCGCCGTCCGGAATTGTCGCTGGTGTGAAGATACAGCATCGCGGTTCTTGCCGTGGATGCTTCTGAGGGGATGGTTGAGCTCTCGGGTGTCGCGTCGGGCTCTGTGAGGAAGTAAATGCTCCCAGTTGCTGTAAGTGTTAGTATAGGTACCTATCACAGGTGTATACAGGTCTTTCTCACTAACAGACTTGGCCACAGATTGCATAGCTGTGAACTGTCAGCTCCCTCGGGCCTTATCCAGCTCGGCACCTTCTCCAACAGACACACATGGCTCAATATCTTCATGATGTTTTTCCCCATTCTATTAGCCCTGGCATCAGTCCTAGCTGCGCAGCCTACTACTACGCCAGACACACATGATACAAGCACTGCTTGCTCACAGGTAGCCCACTCCTATGAGCTTTGGACCAAGAATGGGGGTAATGGAGACTTGTCCAACATCCCAGGACAGACGGCATATGACTGTCTCATGTCCATGCCCTTTGACTCTGAGCGGGCAGTGCAATTTCTGGATGAATATCTGAAATACCTTCAGTTCCAGTCAACGCTGGATACTCTCAAACGTGAGTCCTTGAGAAACGAATTTTGAGTGAACACCCAATAACATTTGATAGATCCGCCATCTGGCTACAAGACACCCTCCATCGATCTTCTCAAAGGCTTTGACAAGATCAGAAAGAAAGCCGAAACCAGCACCTACAAAAGCCAATACGAGTTCGACAACGACATCAAGCACCTCATCCACCGCGCAAACGAAGGCCACCTAGAAATTCATCTCTGTTCCCACCAAGTCTTCCGCTTCCACCGCAGCCCGCCACTGGTCTCCATCTCACCAGACGGACTTGAGCTACCCCGTATCTACACATGGGGCGACGTGAAATTGCTACGTTCCGGATTCCCAAACGCAGTATCCCACCTAGTCGAGATCAACTCCATCGACGCCGCTTACTTCCTCCAAGCCCATCTCGCCCTCACCTTCGAATACCACGACCCCGACGCCCGCTACAACCACCTGTTTCCCTCCCCCGCCAACCAATTCACCGGCTTTTTTACGGGAGGCGGCTGGCAAAGCTACCAAGGTCTTTGGACGGGAGCTGCGCGATATCTCCTCAAATTCCACAATGGAACGACGGTTGAAGTGAACACAACCGCCATCTGGCCCAGCACAAATGGACCCATGAATTACACCGACGGGGAAACGCTGTTCAAAGCAGCGTGCTTGCCTGACTACGTGCCCTCGCTGATGAGTTTCAATTCCGATCCATCACTTCCACCACCTCGACATGTAAATGGAGATGGACCACCGCCGAGCACGGAAGGGGTCTATCCCGATCCTGTGGTGCGTAACGAGCAGGACTCGATACGGGGGTATTACCTCCAGAATCCAGAGAACGACACCGCGGTCTTACAAATCCCTACCTTCCGGCATACAGGAGGAATCAATTTTTCTCAAACTGCTCTAGACTTCCTCACCCGCGCTGCGAGGCAAGACAACAAGACCAAGTTGATCCTGGACTTGACCGGGAATACTGGGGGGGATGTAATACCTGGTTTTAATATCTTTAAAATCCTTTTCCCTGATCAGGCTATTCGCACGGCTACAAGGTTTCGCGCGACGGAATTGGTTAATCTTGTTGGGAAGGTGTATAGTGAGGTTTATAGGGATGTCAAAGATCCGGGAGAGGTACCGATTGATCCGCCTTTTGTGGCGAGCGCGGCTGTGGGACCGGATCAGAAGCGGAGGTTTGGGGGGGAGTGGGAGGGGTTGTTTGGGCCTGTAGAGGTGCAGGGGGGCGGGAATGTGTCGAGGTTGTTGGGGCATTTTGATTTGGAGGTGGTTTCTACGGCGACTGAGCCGATATATGGTTATGGGCCTTTTGCAGAGATGAGCAAGGCTGGGAGACCGTTTGCTGCGGAGGATATTGTTGTTGTAAGTTTCCCTTTCCCCCTATTCCATTCTCCCAGTCCCCATCCGCTTTCCCTTTTCCATCCCTTTTTTCCCCCTTTCCTTCTCCCATTACCCACCCCCATTCCCTTATCTCTTCCTCCACAGGTTTTCCCCAACTAACACCCGCCGTCCGTCAGATAACAAACGGCCAATGCGCCTCCACCTGCGCCCTCCTCGTCTCTCTCCTCCGCCGTCAAGGCGGAGTCCGCACCCTCGTCTTCGGCGGCCGTCCTCGACACGCGCCGATGCAAGCGGTGGGAGGCGTAAAAGGAGGGCAGTACTGGTCCCTTGGCACCATCTACCGGCATGTTTCGAGGGCTATTGAGTTAGCGGTGAATTCCACTGTTTCTGGTCGGCGGCCGGTGTTGACGGGTGAGGAACTAGAGAGGTTGAACGAATTAGCGCCTGCTAATCCGGATACGGACTTGGAAGTTGCGAATCTCGCGGGAGGAAAGGGGGAAGGAAAGGAAAGAAGGGGGTTTCCGCTGAGAATGGGCTGGCGGGGAGAGGGAGGGGTGAATTTTAGGGATTTGTATTACCTTGACGGAGACGAAGAGGACAGTGAAGAGGGCAATGGGAAGGATAAGAGGAAGGGGACGAGTACAGGCACAGTCCCGGCGCAATTAATCTACGAGCCAGCGGAGTGTAGAAGGTTCTTTACGATGGAAATGATGTTCAGGCCGGCGAAGATGTGGGAGGTAGCGAGGGAGGTGATGTTTGGGGACTCTGGGGAAAGGGGGTGTGTTGGGGGCTCGGAGACAAGAACACAAGGGGAGAAGGGACCTCGTAGAGGTACAGGTACCTTAGGTAGGCAGAGGCCTGAATATAGGTAGGTAAATGAAAGGGTCCTTGCTTCCTGCTTTTTACATTTCTTTTCTTTCATTTATCTGCCCGGGCTTGGGTATGCCTACCGTCTAAGTCAGATTGGTCGCTCTTGTGGGCTCTAGATCACAACATCAAGGACACACAGACTGAGTCAGAGAAATAAACGCATCGTGCTGGAATTATTTCTCTTGATGATCCATCTCACCAGCGCACTCACTACTTCCCTGTGTATATACCTTACTAACTACTTCCTTCCTTCCCAAAACCACATACCCCCACCCTTCCACTCCAGCTTAATCACCATCCTCCCCTTCCCCCCCGCTTACAACCTCACTCCGCCAACCCCATATTCCCCCCCACCCACTCCTTAATCCTCTCAAAATCCCTACACTTCTTCTTGATATTGAAATCACTCTTACTTCCCCCCCTCCTGCTCGGGTCATTCAAAAACACCACGGGCGTCACATCCGCCGTGCACATGATGGCCTTCCGGATTGTCTCAATGCAGTGATCAATGTGGCCCCTGACCACCTCCTGCGGCGCCCGGAAGGCCGTCACGTTGCTGTAGTCGTACTCGTCGCGGTAGGTATATTGGCGGACGAGGTTCAGACAGTGCAACTGATGAAAAACATCCAAAAAGCCCATCATCCCGCCGCCGTACTTTTCGGACACGTGGGCGTAGTTGCTGGCGGGGGTTTTGTTGAGGAGGGGCATTTTGGATTCGGGGAAGTGGATTGTTGGCACTGGTAGTAGAGTAGAAGGTCCGTTATCGGCATCGTCTTCCATCAATCCAAAGGGAAGTAAAGAAGTACTCACTACGCCATAACTTCAGCCAGGCCTCCTCCACCTCAGGAGTTGGGTGTCCGCGATAAGGCGAGGGCTGCATGAGGTGGTTTTGGTCTGTGAACTCTACATATCGCAAGTCGTCGGTTTCTAGGTAGGGCGCTGGTTGAGAGCGTTAGCATTTCATTCTCGTTGTCGGTGTTGTACATCTTCCTCTTCTTCCTCTACCGGTAGGGACTCGGGAGTGGAAGAGGTAGTCATGGTAGTTGGGCGTGGTAGTAGAGACTCACAATAAGGTGCCAACTGCCTCGCACACGTAACATCGGTTGGACTTTTTCGTGAAACCACGAATGCGTATACGGCGAGTAGTGTGATGATTACAGCTTGGGAGACGACAACAGCGGGATGTGATAGTATTGAACGTTGTCGTTTGGCAAAACCCGCCGACCAGAGAGAGCTGGGGGAGTTCGATCGGTTTGGTGTGCCATTTTCGGAGTCCTCGACGGGATCATACTTCACTTCTTCATGGTCCCTGCTTGCTGTGAATGACTTTTTGAAGATGTTCATCTTGTAAACTGGATACCGAAATTGAAGCTGAAGAAGGGCAAGCCGGCTAGGTTTGGTGATGTGGTGCAAGATTGCTTGGAATCGGTTCAAGATGCTATAAACAGAGGAGATTCGCTATGGTAGCAAGCATAGATTGACATTTCGGAGTGCCTACTGTCGAAATCTGGTCGTCGTTGGTGGATGATCGTATGTATCTAGCGCTGGCGTTGTGGTTGCGCCAAATTTCCCTTTTGGGAACATGCGCTTCGCACAGCGAGCCAACCAAACAGGCACACAGCGAGCCCACCAGACTTACGCACAGCACGCATTGAATACCTTGTCTCCAAAGGTGGGTGATGAAGGCCCTCCTATGGAACTTGATTGTGGGAAATATTGTTTGCCTGAACCAAAGGATATGACACAGCAGGTTATGGGATCCCCGGAACACTGAGCCCCTAAGCACTTACCCCTAACCCTGACCGTTTCCTTCCCGCCAGGAGCCTGACGACAACTTCAAACTCAAGGCATGGATCGAGACGTTGGCAGCAGCTCGCTGCTTGCAGAGGATCTTGAGGAGGAGGAGGATGACTTGATCATCGCTCCAACCGAACTGGGTTCAGAGTCTGATGCCTTCATCAAAGACCACCCATGGTCATCCTCTTCCACTTCCCGTCAAGGGACGGACCATGATCAAGACGAAACCGAGACCGGGCACCGTCCAACCGACAATGACGACGTAATCGATCCTCGTCTCAAGAACTATCCCATCCCCCTCGTAGCAAAAACCGTCGACCTGCACAACGACGAGACGTAAGTATCTCTCCCACTCCCCCTCACGACCAAACACTAACAACCCACCCCAGCGAGCCCCTCCTCACCATCCGCTTCTGGATCCTCTCCACCATGTGGGTCATCATCGGCTGCTCCGTCTCCTCCGTCTACTACTTCAAGCCCTACTCCGTCCGCCTCTCCGGCTACGTCGTCCAGCTTCTCTCGTGGGGGATGGGCGCCCTTATGGCGTGCCACCTCCCTTCCAAGGAGTACACCCTCACTTTGCCAGTTGTTGGCAAGCAACTCTCATTCAACCTCAACCCCGGACCGTGGAACACCAAAGAACACGCCCTCGTCATTGTCTCCTACTGGGGCAGCACCTACACCGCCTACGGCCTCGGTCCGCTCTCCGCCATGGAGCTCTACTACAACAAGCGCATGAGCGGGTGGTGGGCCATCTTGTTTCTCATGACCACGCAGCTGATGGGGTACGGCTTCGCCGGTCTGTACCGGGACGTGTTGGTCCGCCCCCCGGGGATGTACTACCCCGGCGTTTTGCCGAACGTGGCGCTGTTCAATGCTATGCACCGGCACCCGTCCGTGACCAAGAAGTCGCTGTGGTTCTTTTGCGTGGTGGCGGCGGCGGCGTTTGTGTACCAGTGGCTTCCCGGGTTTGTGATGCCCTTGTTGGCTTCGCTGCCGGTCGTCTGTTGGATGGGATGGGGTATGTATTGGAAGGCGTTTGTGTTGGGGAGCGGGACGTATGGGTTTGGGTTGTTGGACTTTTCGTTGGATTGGAATTATGCTTCGTTTTTGAGCCCGCTTTATACGCCGTTGTGGGCGACGATGAATCGGTTTGTGGGAGCGGCGGTGGTCATTTGGGTGTTGTATCCCCTGGCGTACTTCTTCGATGTCAATGGGGCTCAGCAGTTTGCGCCGATGAGCTCGGGGACTTGGGATTCAGAGGGGAATCGGTACAATGTCTCGCGGATTTTGACGCCAACGTACGAGTTGAACCGGACAGCGTTGGAGGAGTATTCCCCGCCGTATTGGTCGTTCAGTTACGCGATGCACTTCTTCTGGGGCTTCGCTGCGTCGACGGCGGTGTTGACGTACGCTGTCGTCTTTCACGGGCGTCAATCTTGGGAGACGCTTCGAAGCTCGCTGCAAACCATCAGCAACCCCTTCGCAAAGAAGGACCGCAAGCAAAAGAAGAATGTTCAACACCGGGCGGAATTTGATGACCCCTACCTCAAACTAACCGCCCACCTCCCCCGCGTACCTCACTGGTGGTATCTCGCCCTCCTCCTTTCCTGCTTTGTCATTGCCGTCGCCCAGCTCTCGGGCGGTGACATGCAGCTCCCCTGGTGGGGCCTCCTCCTTATCACGACCATCTCTGCCCTCTTTACCTTTCCCAGCGGCATACTCTTCGGCTTCACCAACGTGCAAATCGGCATGGACTACCTCTCCGAGCTGCTGGCTGGGTTCCTTTTCCCCGGTAAACCCATCGCCGTGCTCACCTGCACCGTGTACGGCCGGCAGATCCTCGAGCAATGCCTCAACCTGGTCAGCGACATCAAGTTCGGCTTCTACATGAAGATCCCCGAGCGCGAGCTGTTCGTGGCGCAGGTGTATGGGACTTTGCTGGGCCCGTTTGTCAACTGGGCTTGTATGAGGCTGATCATCGATACGCAAGGGAGGAAGCTGACGGGCGAGGTGGTGTCGGGGACGTGGAACGCTTTGAAGACGAAGAACTTCTTTTCGCTGTCGGTTATCTGGGGCGTGCTTGGTCCGCAGGTGTTCTTTGGGAACGAGTCGCCGTATCGATGGGTGTACTGGGGATTTATTGTGGGACCGCTAGCGGTGATGTTGTTATGGGTTGTACACAGAGCGAGGCCCAAGTGGAAGGTCGAGAGTATGGTCAACCCGGTGGTGATGCTGAACGGGGCGACGCTGTTTCCCATCTACCCCACGACGAACCTGACGACATCGGTGCTGGTGGCGGTCGTGTTCATGGGATACGTGTACAGATACCACCCGGTGTGGTTCCGCAAGTACAACTATCTGCTCGGGGCTGGGTTAGACTGTGGTGCGCAACTGGTGCAGATGGCCATGATCTTGGTGGTTGACTTGCCCAATGTGACCATGCCGCACTGGTGGGGGAATGATGCGGTCGCGGTGGACAAGTGCTATCCGCCGTTGGACTTGCCTGGGAACGTATTTAACTGAGCATGAATAATTCTTAGGTTTCAATGTTGACATCTGGATCTGGACTTGGTTGCTGGAGGGACGTGGAAAGGGCAGTTGGTTGGATGAAGGACGTGCTTTCGAGTATTCAAACGCTCGGGCCTCCTTCATTCTAACATATCTGCTCCAGCACACATGGCCCTGTAAATGCGCTATAAGGCCGCTATAGATTCCTGCTTCATCGGATCCATCTGGACCCCACTTCTGTCTCAACCTCCAGTCCGGCCCGCAATTTTCCCTCCGCGACATCCTCACGACTCTTGAGTGGAAGTCAGTGGCACACAGTTATGATACATGAGTGGATAAACCCAAGTCTGCATCTTTTTCTTTTCTCCTCTCTCAGCCATGATCAAAGAATTTCCAATATGTTGTACGCAATGCGCTAGAGAGCAGTGGTTAGTATCTGCACCGAATGTCTGAGACTGGACCAAAATGCTGACATACCTCCATGATAGAACTGGTGACACCGGGCATCCATCATGTTGATCCCCTTGCTCAGCGCATATATAATCTTACGAGAGCAGTAGAGACAATGCAAATCGTGAGAAGTCTGGTACTTGGTATAGATCACCGAAAAGTTGCCCGCCTGCAAATCCGGCACTGCCTCCGGAGGAACTTGCATGGTGGTGTTGCGGTCCCAGTACCAAGTCCAGTCGGTCATCATGTCTCCAAAGTTGTCCTTGTACTCCTCGACAACGTCTGGAAACGCGCAGGCTCTGGGAACCCAGGCAGGTAACTGTTGTTCAAACACACAGCCTCTGGCTTGAGCCTCCTCGGGCGAAGTTCCGCACTCCTTCACTTCGCCTTTATGGCTCGGTTTGGTGTCTGCACTATGTCCGTGTCCATGATGTGTGGATGGGGAGTGGGATGACTGATGTCTTGTGGGAGGGACATGGCAGACGGAGCGACGAGTCAAGATGTGAGTGAGAAGTGCCGTTCCAGTAACTGCTGCTAGCAACAACAATATCCACGGCCAGAAGCGTCTCTTTGCCGAGGGCTTTTCATCACCAGTCTCATATTCGCACCGCTTGAGGCTCTGTCGGTTGAGCTGTGCTTGTTCATCATCTTCGCTGTCTTCGCCTAGCTGGCCAGGGTCATATCTTGGATTCCTTGGCCTTGGCTCTGGCATCTTCAATGTTGCCATCAAGTTGCTACACCACTGTCGTATGCCGTCCGTTGCCATAGTCTAGGGGGAGGGGTCAGTAATTGCAGTTAGGTCTTGGGTGAGACGCTTACTGGGAGATATCAACACGATGACTGTTGAATGAGCTTCTACAAGACTACAAGGACTATTTTCGTGTCCCCTTTCCAGGTGAGTCTATCCTAAAATCTCAGCATGGTTGCAATATCACTGACATGTCCTTGTGCTTTACCAGCCAGGCTCTGTTTGGTGTTAGCTGCCTATCTCTTCTTCCGCTGTAGCGCTTCGGATTTGGCGCCATTTTAGGGGATTAGCGGACACGGTAGCGCGTCCCGGCAGCGTCCCGGTCCGCGGAACGTCCCGTACTGTCTATGGAGGACAACAAGGACCGTTGTCCAATCCAAAACAATCTCTTATTCGGCGCCTGTCGTGTAAACGAGCGTTTCTGGTTCGATCCAAGCCGATATTGGCTGCTATCACATAAAGTTTACGATTCGCGTTAGACGCCTACGCCGCCCAGAAAAAGGCGGTCCATTTTTCCAACGATCGCATGATTCTTGTAGCTACTACTACTACTACTACTTACAAGATCTTGGACAGAAACGGGGTGCTACACACCATTCTACCTTCCCACACCTCCTCCTTCTCTTCTCCAAATCGAATACCCAACCATCTCCATCCCGGCCAACACAATGGCCATCCAAGAAACGGACTCCGAGGAGTCCAAGATCACCACCCTCCTCACCTGCTTCCCCCACGACCAGTCCTTGGAATCGCTCGTCCACATCCCCCGCTTCCGCCAGCGTCTCTCCATCCTCTCAGCATGGTCCATCGCACCCGGTAGTCGCGTCCTGGACATCGGCTGCGGCCAAGGCGACTCCTCCCTCGCTCTGGCCCTGGAACTCGGTCCAAGTTCCCACGTCACCGGCATCGACACCGCTCCCCCGGACTACGGCACCCCGCTCACCATCTCCGAGTCCCAGGAGAAGATCCTCCAATCTCCTCTCGGTGACCGCCTCGCCTTCCAGAACCAAGTCGACGCCGCTACCTTCTTCAAGTCCTCTTCATCCTCGAGGTTCGACGCCGCCACAGCCTGCCACAGCCTCTTCTACTTCCCCTCCCCCGAGTCCGTCGCCTCTCTGTTCAGCGAACTAGCCGGCGCCGGCATTGGCAAGGTCTACGTTGCCGAGTACGACCAGAAGAAAACTTCCTTCCCAGAAAGCCAGACGCCGCACATCCTCGCCGCCAAGGCGCAAGCGCTTTACCACGCTTACAAGTCCGAAGCGGATGATGTCCTCAACAAAAAGGAGCAGCAGCAGCAGCAGGAAAACCAGCAGCTCGGTCACATCTCCTCTAAGAACAGAGAGCCGCCGCTGAATATCCGCGCTGCGCCCGATGTCGAGTCCATCACCAATGCGGCCAAAGCGGCTGGGTTTAGGGTGGGTAGGGAAGGGAAATTCACGCCCAAGGAGGAGTATCAGGAGGGACACTTTGAGACGAGGTATGTGAGGGGAGTGAGGTTTGAGGCGAGGGTCAAGGAGGAGGAGTTTGCGAAGGAGAGGGAGGAGGAGATACTGGGGGTGATTGAGGAGGTTAGGAGGGCGTATGAGGAGATGGAGAGGAGCGGGATGGAGAAGGTGAGGTGTATGGATGTTTGGTGGGCTGAGTTTGAGTTGGAGTAGTTGTAGGGAGTACTGTAGAGGTATCTTTGGCTTGCGCTGGTTTCGGGTGCTTTTGGACGTATGTAAATCCCTGGCTTTTCTGTGGTATTGGGTGGTTTTTTTGTCTGGTAACTGCTTGGATAGGTACTACCAACCTTTGCGCGTGGTTACCCGCTGATGTCTCCCTTAGAAATATAATCTAGGTACCTAGGCAGATAGCAGAGAAGTTTGTTTATCGATACCCTACATTGTACCTCTACTTTATCAGCCGCATGGATCGTGACGCGCATCTGGCGCAAATTAACGAACCGCGTTCCATAACCCATCCACCCATTCCGGTAAACGAGCGGCATGTTCCAGAAGAACTTATCACATTCCACAGCGCCGGGGTGGCCCAGGAAACTAAAGGCTGCCCGGGTATTCCAAGAATGTAAGACAAATTCCTACTACCTTTGCTCCTCAATTCTGACCTCACACAACCATCATTCAACAACATCTTTCACAACATCTTCAGTACCACTGTGCAACCATCATGGGCCCCTCCTCTCGCTCCAGCAGCTCAGACTTTTCCATGTCACCAAGCCTGCCGCCGTACAAACCCGAAGAAGAAGAAGAACATGGAGAGGAAGGGGAAGAAGATGTCGGTCTTCTAAGCGCCACTTCGAACCGTCTTCAACACATCGCCAGCCGAAGACTCAATGGCAAGTCGGGCCGGAGACATCATACTTCTCGGTCATGGTCACGATTGTCCAAACTTCTCGTTCCCGTCTTTACTGTCACAGCCTTGCTTCTTGGAGGGTTTGCCATTGCGGGTAGAGGTATTATTGTTCACGCGCGCGGTTCTCACAATGGGAATACCGACGACACGGGGAAGAAGAAAGTGTTGAACCTGGCTGGTGAACTGAATGGTTTGGTGCCGGAGTGTGAGTTACATATTCCCTCCTTCTATCTTTGGAGATGGCGGAAGGTACTCTAGACTGACAACCCCTTTATCATCGTCCATGACACAGTCGAAGTCAAGCCCGTGGCCTTTGGAAAAGATCCGCTGGCTACTTCAGATCATATGACGGAGGCTTCAGCAAATGCTACCGAAGAGAACTGGCGGTCTTATATGCCTGGTACGCAATATCTCCTCTTGCTATAAGTCCTTGTTGCTATGCTCTTCTCCAAAACAAGCGCGGCTAACACGATTCAACTACAGCTGGAAACGGCTTCATAGCCGTCGGCAACCCCTCCCAATACACCCTCCCACAACCCATCGATTTCCAAGACCAAGCCGTCTACTCCATCAGTGTCTTCCACCAGCTTCACTGCCTGGTAAGTACCCTTTCCTTCTCTCCATCTTCCATTCTTCCATCCTTCCAAGTTCCGTCTCCCACGCTCCATCTCCCCCCCAACAAAAACACACCTACTAACACCCCCACCCGCTCAGCACACAATAATGCAATCCTACAACGCCCTCTCTGAGCCCAGACACCCGACATCCACCAATCACCACCGCGACAACGCGCGACGAGACGGCCACCATTCCTCTCATAATGACCACGACCAAGCAAAGCCCAAAGCAAGTCACACCAACCACAACCACATAGACCACTGCTTCCGCTACCTCCGCCAGTCCATTGTCTGCTGCGGCGACACGGCGCTGGAAGGGCAAGATCTGAATCATCCGGACCTCAAAGCGACGGATGGGACAGGGGCGGTGCATTTGTGTAAGGATTATGGGGCTTTGAAGGGGTGGGCGGAGGGGAGGAGGGTTACGGATCGGGAGGGGGTGGTTTGAGTGGGTGGTTGTTGGGAAGGGGCTGAGAGGATGGAAGAGGACTCGGGAAAGGAAGGGAAGGTGGTGAAAGGGAAGGAGGAGGAAGGGAGGAAGAAGGGAAGGAGGAGGACGGGAAGGGAGACGACTATGGAAAGGGAGACGACGGGAGGAAGAGATTGGGAAAGAGGAGGGTGAGAAGGATTATAGCGGGAAGGGATTACGGAGTATGGAGCCTGTCTTTTTTGGGGATTGGGGATTTACCGATGATATCAATACCTCTGTCATTTCATCATGCTAGTCTTGTTCGTTATTACCATCAACTTGCATTATCCAACGAGATGCTCGATCTAATGACTTCTGTTCTTCCATACCTACAGACTAGAAGACCCTCTTGTGTGCCACGATGCCATCTCGTCCATCATTTGTCAAACTCATGCAAGTCCGCCAAGTTGCTGATGATACCCGTCAGCTTTGCCATTTCTTTCAATCTCTCCTGGGCTAAAAGAAGAGAGATACTTACTCTAATCGTAACGGCAAGTCAGTCATTAGGTCGAATCGTCAGCTAACAACAAAAGAAAGAACTCCATGGGTTGGTTATCTCCGAGATATTACGTACACTACAACGGCACGCAAGAGTATCAGCTACCATGGTTCAAGAAGTTCAAGGGGAAACACACGTCAAACTTACAGCGCTATCTTGCAATTCCTGTGGTACGAATCCCTGGATGGCCAGAATACAGTCAGTCAGTCCCAATTGTCCACGACAACAAACAGCTCCATGGGATCCGGCTGGCTGGTGGACAATGACATACATCGGCTGGGGCGGGCATTGGCATTGGCATTGGCAAAGCCGCTGCAAAGGGCAGCAACAAGACCGCTGCAACGAAAACAGCGACGATATTCTTCATCCTTTTCGGGTTGACGTACAATAATGGTTTGTTAGGTATGGTTCTGCAGAAACGAAAAAGAGGAGTGAATGAACGACTGCCTGTGAGATTTTCCGGCATACACACGAAGTGGAAGCCAGGGCAACGGGAGCAGAGGAGACATTCACGGCCAGTGTACCTACAGTGGGCAGCTTCCAGTTCGTCCGAAAGTTCGGATGACATCTGGACAGTCTGGACTCTGGAGCGGAAATTGTTAGGCGCATCTCCGCTGCGGCCGCTGCCAAGGTAGCGTTGCGTTCTCAAATCCAGCCAATAGCATAACACCATTTTGGCGCAAAGGGAAGGAGGCGCCTTGGGACCCATATGTTTTGAGCGCGGGCTCCACTTTCCGTCCCAACTGCGCAGGCCCAAAGCTCAGCGGGTTGAGCGCTGTAGTGCGCTGCAGTGCGCTATTCAGGACGTTTTAGCGGGTTTAGGGGTTGACCTGAATTTCTGACAGCGCTGTTTGCTTCCCTTCCGTTTGCCCGACCACCGACCTCACACGGAAACAGCACGCCCGGCAGACCGCAAAAGAAGTGAAGCTATTCCCACATCCTCATCCGTCGCCGGTGATGTTCGAATCACTTCAAATCGCATATAGAGAATGGCGGCGAGAGCCTCGATACACGCCAGTAGACGACACCGAAAGCCAAACCTCCTCCTCCTCCTCCTCCTCCTCAGAGTCAGAAGAAAAGCCGGTTGAACGCACGACGTAGGTCACTCCCTTCCATCTTTTGCTTACATCTCAACCACAAATATGACCAGACCACCAGCTAACTCCTCTTCACTACCTACCTTAGGCTAAAACAACACCTCCTAACAGCCTACCTCTTCATCACCACCCTAGCCTGGATCAGCCTAGTAATCTGGTTCATTCTTTTCCCGTTCTTTGTCCCTGACCATCCACCGCCGCTTGCCAGTTTCTGGCAGGGGAAGCCTAGCAGTAACAGCAACAGCAAACCAGGGGCATGCAAACACATCGCCACACGACGCGAATGGCGATCGCTGACGGAGACGGAAAGAAACGAGTTCGTGGACGCCATCCATTGTCTGGCGAGAACGCCGTCGGAGTGGGATGGAGAGAATAATCGGACTGTTTACGATGACTTTTCGATTTTGCATGGGGGGATTGGGTCTTGGTGTATGTTTACCCGTTCTCACATTCTGTTGGCGTACCAACACGACGTGCCTGGGAAAAAAGGGATACTGGATTCTGGAAGTGAAGAGCTGACAACGGAAGGGACAAAAACAGGTCATCGCTCGGCATCTTTTCTACCGTGGCATCGATGGACGCTGCATGTCTTTGAGAATATCCTCAAGGATAAGTGTGGGTTTCCTAGGAGGGGTGCTATACCGTAAGTTTTTTCGTTTCCTTCTCGGTTCTCCCACACAGACAAATACTCAAATACTCAAATACTGACCTGACCTTTCCTCTGCCATGATTGCAGCTACTGGGATTGGTCCCTAGACCACCTCTCCCTCTCTTCTTCCTCCATCTTCTCCCCCACGACCGGCTTCGGATCCGATGGCTCCCCTTCCTCGCCATCCTCCCACACTTCCTCCGGTCTTACCAGCGTAGGCGACGGCCATTGCGTTCTAGACGGGCCCTTCGCCGACCTAAGACCCATCATCTACAATCACACCTACGTCACGCACTGTTTGTCCAGAGGGTTCAACGACCCCAAGCGCAACGTGACGGGCCAAATCTCCGGGGAGCAGTTTAAACCGGAAGCGATCGGTATGATACTGAGGACGGAGGGGTACGAGGAGTTTGGGAAGAGGGTGGAGGAGAGACTGCATAATGGATTGCATCAGGGGGTTGGAGGGGATTTTAGGGCTATGACTGCTGCTAATGGTTTGTTCCTTTGTTTCTTTCACGTTTGCTTGGTTCTAGGCTGGCTAAAGGGTAAAGAAGGAGTGCTAACGAAATATGCCAGATCCCCTATTCTACGTCCACCACGCCTCCCTAGACAGAATGTGGTGGCGCTGGCAATGGGAAAACCCGGAGGTTCGACTGAGAGAGTACAGCGGGAAACACATGTTCAACTCGACACCGGGAGAGGCGAGTGTCAAGGATGTGTTGCTGTATGGAGGGTTTACGGAGGATGTGCAAGTGGAGAGGGCGATGAGTACGGAGAGTGGGGAGTTGTGTTATCGGTATCAGTAAGGTAGGTAGTTTTTTTGCATAGGTGAATCAGATGTTGGGTAGAGCGAAGAAGATGTGAACTCGAAGTGTCTGCATTGAGAGGATTCGTGGTGTTGCGGTTGGCGAGTGTCCGCGATGCGTTACGTAGAGGTAGGCGCCGGCGCCAAATGGCTACGGCGAAGCGCAGATCCGTCATCCGCCGCGTCAGGTCGAGTAAACGCTCCAAGCCCAAGTCGTAACGCGCGCAAACGCCAAATGAAGCGAGGACATGGGCCGATCAGGTCGTCAATGGCCGGATGCAATTGTGAGAAAGCCCAAGGACTGTTATACCAGGAATTTGGCAGGAACCAGTTCAACGTTCGTCCGGCATCGCACCATCACCATCCGCTGCTTCCGTCCCAGTTGCACCCGCCCTTTCCCTCCACTTCACTTTCCCCTTCCATCATCAGCACACTGAAGTAACAGCGCGGACTGGAGCAACAACGGGGAATAAGCCCCAAGATCTCACACAATGAACATCACCTTCCTCCCCTCCTTCTCATCAAAATCCAAGCCCTACTTCAGCCTCCCCCAAGCCGAAGATGGCGAACCCCTTAAACCCCAGCAAGAAAAGGAAGGCCAACGACGGGGGGCATCTCTCTGGCCCAGCAAAGCCCTAAGCTTCTGGATTTTTATGTCTCTCTTCTTCGCCTGCACAACGACCTGGTTAACCGCCGAACTACACGCCGTGAGGAAGCAGGGGAGTTTCGCGAAGGGGTTTAGGAATGAACTTGGTGAGTTTCCCCGTTCACCGTCTTCTGGCTCTTGATATTGGGGAGGGTAGTTGTCTGATACTGATACTAATGGAAACAAAAAAAAAAAAAACAGATGCCGCCAAACACCTGATAAAAGTCAAAACAGTAGACTTCGGCGGGAGTCCCCGGTTCAAAGAGGACGGCACGGAGTATGTACCTGGCCCAAATGATGGCGAGGCTCATGAGGCGTATGTGGGCACGCCGAGGAGGGAGATTGATCATAATTGGGCTTTGTTGCACTGGGGTAGGTCACTCACTGCCATGAATCAATCCTCTTTTGGCTCCCTTGCTGACTGGTTCGTTGCTCGCGTGGAAAAGGCCGGTTCTTCCTCTTGACGGAAGAGGAAGCGAAAAGCGCTTGGGGGGATGAATACAAGGAGTTTTGGAGCCCTAAGCATGGGGGGTATGTGGCTGCGTGAGTTATCCCTTTCTTCTTTCCATCTCTTACCTTACCCTTCCTTCCATGTCCCCATCCCCCTTCCCTTTACCTCCTCCTTTCCCTGCCCTTCTCTCCCAGCCCCATTCCTTTTCCTCCCTCGCCTTCCACTTACATGTACTCAACCCCCTCCTCTAACATGCACCCAACAGCCTAGAAGTAATGCACACCCTCCACTGCCTCGACCACATCCGCAAAGCCTTCTACCCCGATCACTACCCCGTAGACAGCGACATCCACGGCGCCTTACACAGGGACCACTGTCTCGACCACCTCCGGCAAACCGTTTTGTGTAATGCCGACCTGACGCCCATCCCGTCGCGGTACTACAAGGCGCTGGGGCAGAACTATATCGACTCTGATCGCCCGCATACGTGTCGCGACTTCGGGAAGATTAGGGAGTGGGTGAGCGAGAGGTTTAATGGGAGTCTGAAAGTTGAGCCTGCTCCCGGAACGGTGGTGGAGGATGAGTGGAGGAACGGAGGGCCTAGTGGGGGGGCTATGGGGATGGGACATGGGCATGAGCATGGAGGGCATGGAGGGCATGGGCGTGCTGAGGAGGAGGGCGGGAAGGGGGTTGAGGGTGGACATGTACCACCTGCCGACGGGATGTAGATGTGTCAAACTACCTAGGTTGAGGTGTTTATGTTTAGTTCAATTGCTGAAAGTTTTTTGTGAAAGTACGGAGCAAGGTATGATCGCTGATATCTGATCACCATACCGTAGAGTTTGTGGAAGTCACCACAACGGCCTACGTTGGCCCTGGTCTATTGTTTGCTCCATACCTCTATTGATGTGTTGATTGCTGAAGTAGGACCGTAGCTCGAGTCCCCAAGCCCCGGAGATTGTCGTCGGGTGCGTTCATGTCCCCACCCCTCCCTTGTCGTGTGGGTCCATGCCCTTACACCCTTTCTATATTTTAGCCCTCCACACTTCTTTTCCCCTTCTACTCTAGTCTTCTCTCTATAGCACACACACATCTACACATCGTTTTGCCCTCTAGTCCAAGAGAGATCCATCAATGATGTTGGATACCTGTAGGCTTCCGTCTATAATTGCTATCCGGATGGCTCGTGTCGTTTAACAAAATGTAGATGAGTTCAAGGTTCGATGCCATATCAAGTAGGGAGGTATTCGCCTGAGCCTAAAGCTGCTCCAATTTATGCCTGAACCTGGAGACTGAGAAGGAGAAAGCATAGAGGCACATGATCCTTCGAGGATAGGGTGAGAAGTTAAACTCGTCCTCACCATGATGCATGTGCATAAGATAATACACTATTGCAAGTAACTGTCTGGTCCTTTTAGGGTAGACCTAGCCTTCATCTCCTAGGAGTCCCAGGGCGTTGGTAGGCAGTAAACTGAAGGTCGTGGAAAAAATCGTGAACCCCTTTTGATGACCTGACGGAGAGGGTCAAAAGTCTCCGCTGACTACCTGTAGACTTCCAGGGCAAAACGATGAAGGCGATTAACGTTGTTAAAAGCAAAGGGGAAAAAAGGCCGAAGCAGCAAATAAAACAATAAAAAAAAGCAAAAAGCTGAGCTGCCCAAGCCTGGAGTCGAACTCAAGGCCAGCTGCATGCCTACGAAAATACCACGCATTTTCTGGCTACCAGCACACCTACCACGTCGGCTACTGGGAGTTGTTGGAGGGTGCTGAACTTTGGGGTTATATAGTCCCGGTGAATAAGATCCTGCCGCTGGAAAGCTGGGGGCCCCGTCCCGGTATGTTAGTGAGTGTCGACCTGGAGGACATCATAGAAACCTTACCTCTATGTTCTCCCCGGTGACACCTCAACCTCTTTGTCCCTCCACTTCCATTCAACAACGTTGAGGATGGCGGGAGTATCGTGAATTCTTTTTCCCGTTTGTTAAGGTACCCAGTCGCAACCACAATGCTCGGGCAACCGGTGAACAGGTCGTCAGGCGTGTGGTGTCCGTTATATTGTTCGTTCCTGAACTGTTTGGATGACTCTTTCTGACCCTTCACCCCGTCCTCAAACGGAGGAGCCTTTGCGTAGGCGGGCGGTGAGCGAAAATGTGCGATCGGATTGAACAGACTTGGGGATATTGTGAAGGCTTATCTTCTCCACGATGAAACTTCACCCTCGTTATCCCTTCACTTGGAATCGTCGACCTTCACGATGTAGGAGCGTGACTGCTTGCCCCGTTTGTTGCCGGCTGCAACCACGATCTCGTGGACGCGGTAAACAGGTCCTATCAACCACCATCCCATTCAACACCATGGCCAGAGTATCGTGACTGCTCTCCCCGTTTGTTCCCCGGCCGCAACCATGATGTTCGGGTACAGTGAAGAGGCTATGCCAACCACCATCACCACTCACCACCATGGCGAACCTCAACCGTGACGAACCACCGGACACTGAATGGCCTGTGGCCATGAAAATATTCGAGTAATTCCTTCCACGAGGAACCCATAAAAGAACAACATCCTAACCATCTTCCTCCTCCATTCTTCCTCCCCAGACACCCGCAACAACGAGACCGGAAACCGACCGATCAAGCAAAGGCAACAACAACAAACAACCCAAACACACACACAAACTAACTCAAACCCCAAAACATCACCAAGATGTCATACTCAGGCAGACGCTCTTCCTCATCCCGCTACTCCTCCAGCGGCCGCAGCGGCACTTACTTCTCTTCCGGAGGCGGCGGCGGTACCTACTCCTCTTCCTCCGGCGGCGGCGGCGGCGGCGGCTCCTCCAGCAACGACTACATCCCGACGGCTGGCTACGGCAGCGAAACCCCCACTTACACCGTGACCTCTGGCGGCAGCGGAGGGTCCTACTACACCTCTTCTACCTCCGGCCAGTCTGGCTACTCCGGCTCTGAGCCTCCGTCCTACTACTCCTCCTCCGGCTCCGGCGGCGGCGGTGCTCCTCCGTCTTACTACTCCTCTACCTCCGGCGGCGGTGGCGGTGGTGGTGGTGGTTACTCCGGCTACATCCCTAACCCGAACAACTACGGCCCCGACACGCCCAGTTACACCGCGACTAGCGGCGGCGCCGGCCATTCCTACTACTCTTCTTCTACGAGCGGCCAGTCTGGCTACTCGGGGTCTAATCCTCCGTCTTACTACTCCTCCTCCGGCGGCGGCGGTGGTGGCTCTTCGTCTGGTGGTGGTAGCTCCGGGTACTCTGGTGGCTCTTCTTCGGGACGTGGTTCGTCCAGCTACTCGGGCGGTGGCGGTGGCTCGTCTAGCTACTCGGGCGGTGGCGGTTCGTCGTATTACTCCAGCCGCTAAGTGGGGTGATTGGTAGACTCAAGGGGATCAATTGAGGTTAGTGGTGAACTTCCTTGTGCGAAGAATGGTGGACAGGATGGCTAACGAAGACGAGTGGCAGGTGGCAGTTCAGAAATGGAACACATAGGAAGGGAGAAAGGGTGTTGAGAAGTCTTGATAAGTCTCGAATTTGCAAAGAAGGGAAAATAGGAACGAATCTGATAGGATGGGAAAAGGGCATCAAAAGGCGTTGGGATAATTTGGGCTGTGGCCATGGCGTTGTGGACTGACTGCGTTCAGTGTTATTGAAAATACATATTCCTTCTGCCTAATTCGCTTCTTGCTCTGATGGTGTGATGCTTCTGTGCCGCTATTTGTGTAAGACAACTTGGAACATACTCAACCCATGCTGTTTTATCCTCCTTTCCGTCCTCCCCGAATCGCCATGTCGTGGTCATTCCTTTGAAATCCAGTCAAGTTTTGTGACCAGTCAGCCGGCTAATTCAAAATTTCTCGTCCTCCCATGTTGCCTGCAGCATGAGAAGGTTACCTCTAAGAAGGTTGAGTACTCCGACTTTTAAGGAAAGCCACAATATCAGCCAGCATCCGCTGCCAGAGCGTGTCCGTCAAATGCCCTGGGGCTGTTTCCGGAGTGTAGTCGTGATACTGAACTTGTTTGAAGCGGAGGACATGCTGCAGTAACATGCTCATCCACACGGCCTCCTTGATGTCGATCCCGTCTAAGTATGGGTCATACGCCAGGAAGATGGGCGTTTCTCTCAATTTCCGTACAAGGCTAACATGATCTTGACTCGTCGCCTCAGTGCTGGCGGTATTTTGACTTTGATGTGACTGTCTTCCACGATATAAGGCCCGAAGAGCTTTTAAGAACTGGCGGCACTTTTCGTTGTCATTGTCCGAATCGGGCCCGAAGTCACGAGCAACCGCCATCAAATATGGTAAATTGGGCATCCAGAAGATGCCGGCGAGGCCAATTAGGCCACCTAGGCCCCCCACTGCTTGAGGTTCACGAAAGAATAACTTCGAAGCGATATTAAAGCCATTGCCCAATCCTGCTAAGAATATGCGCGACCTAGGATTGGGAACTTTGGCTGCAGAATATCGAACTTCTTCTGCCTCGACAATTGCAAGAACGGAATCAAAAACAATCATCACATCGGGTAATGGGGTATGGCGAGCCCATCGGGGTCGCATCTCTTCTCTGTGACCTAGGATCGTACGGGCTTCTTGGGTTCTAGCCGCAAAGATCCATCTGAAAGTTGGGAAATTGCGGCGAAGGCTATCGGGTCGAGTGACTTGAGTCAACTCGGCATCTTTGTTGAAAATCTCTCGTGCAAAGCGTTCAAGCATATCGTTGTTGCCGGGTAGATCGTGGAGGACTATGACGCTATGTGTAATGGGAAATTGCTTTTCTGGATCGTAGGCGATGGTTGGCAAGTCACAACCGGCGGCCGTTTCTTGACTGAATGTCAGTATATCACAACGATCATCGAGATACTGGGCATGTTGTGACTCACCTGTACCTCCTGCTTGCCAACACCTCGAATGGGTTTGGCAAATTTCTTCTTGTTTGGACAGGACAGACGGCATGGTGGGCGGGATGGTATCACGATTCGATAGTTGACTGTAGATGTGTTCTTTGGTGTGTCTGTGTGTCTCCCACGTCAACTCGCTCCTCGGATTTGGATTCCATCCTGGTTTTATAGGTGCCGATGAGCATTGTTACTGCCTTTCTTTAGCTTGCTTGGTTGGTGGCAGATTCCCGGTAACAGGAAGCCAGAAAAAGGCATCTGTATGCTACATCAGCCAGCGAGGTAAAGACAGTCGGGACCCGAGGAAAAAGGAAGCCGCCACGCTGGGCGTTGTGTATGTTGTGGCGTGTACAGCATTGCGGTGCTCTACCCAACTTCGATGGCTGACTGACTGTTGGAAGTCGGGAATGTCAAGTGGAAGTTGAAAAAGAGGAAGTTGGACGCGAAATGGGGAGGCACGGGTAGACACGGGTAGGTGTGGTTCAGAAGTGCCGTGGAAGGCATGTACCTCTACCGGCGTCCGGGTACCTGTGCTTATTGGGCTGCTTGGGGGCCTTCGTTGACCAAATCCAATGCCTTCCTTCCTTCGTAGTACTAGCCTCCTTCCTTCCTAGGGAGGTTCCTTGACTCGAGCTCGTTCTTTCTGGCCATCGTCGTAATGAGTGGCCTCTTTCTACGTACAGGTGCGCACCTTCTATCTATCTGTATCGTTAAAGGTACCTTCCCCATGGTGGGTTATGTACGGTGGCCCAAGTGTTGGCTATGCTCAATTGAAAAAGTTTGGTCAGAAAATGGCCCGTGTCAACTATAGGCACTAGGTATATGCCCAGGCGTATTAGCGTAGATTCAGTTTAGCAATCAAATCCATTTTACATTGTATATAACTCCGCTTCTCTATATACTTTAATATATATAAATACTTTTATTATAATAATAACTTATTACTTATTGATAATTGTAATATAGTAAAATTAATTTGTAAGCGTATATTATATATAAGACTAACGTATATTTATTTTAAATTAACGTTAAAGAAGGAAAGTATATCCGTTAATAAAGAAAGCAATATTATTATAAAACTCTAGCCCTATATTTTTAAGGGTAAATCCATTACCTAAAATATAAATAATAATAAAATATTTAAAAAATTAAATAGTAATTAATGTAACGAAAAATGTCTTTGCTTCGTTATTAAGAAATTGGTCGATTATAATATTAATGAAGCTTATACCGTTTTAGTTATAAACTAAGTAAAAATACCTATTTAAATTAATTAATCAATATTAAAAGTAATTAAATTTAATAAAAAAATATAGATTATTATCCGCTGCCTAAGTTTTAAGGGATATTAAGTGAAGGGAGAGCTAATTACTTCGGTTTTAAAGTAAGACCGCCCCGAACAATTTATCGGCTTGGCCCGTCATCTTTTTAGCGCTAAGACTAATATAAGCCCCTATACTAAGTATATAATTATTAATAACTATAATCCTTTCGCCAATTACGTTTCCGGCAGCAAATTTATTAATAAGAGTACTTATATTAATTATTATTATAAAAGCGAGGGTAAAAAGTTTTCTTTGCGCAAGGGTATATTATATTTTTATTCTTTTTTAATTATTATATTTATTTATTCATATTCTTTTTAGCTTTTGAGAAAGCTGAAGAGAAGAAAAAGTAAAGTAAGGTCACCTTTTTTACTAAAATTATTCGTAGCTATAAAGTTAAGGATTTAAAGAGGATTTTAGTTTGGGTTCGCGTTGAAATTGTAAAGCATAAAGCTAAAATACGTTAAACGCTGAGTAATAAATTAAAAGTAATTATATAGTTAGGGTTCAAACGTATTTTATACATTTAAATAATTACTTTTAAAAGACTTTTTTATTCTATTAAGGACTATAAAATGTATAAAACGTTTTATATTTATTATATTTAAAATGATAATAATAAAAAGAAAATAAAAAGCTAAAAACTAGGGCCTTACCTGATTTAAATATTAAATTAATAATAAAAGTTTTAAGAACTTTTATTTAATAACTATAATTCAAACCCTCTAGTACTAAAGTCCGTTAGATTCCTAAATTATATTAAAGGTAGAAATAGAACGCTATTTAAATATATTTCCTTTAAAAGGTTTTATTCTTTTGAAAGTTATATATTTTATGAATTTATTATTAATTTCATTAAAATATATTTATTTGACCGTTTTAATAAAGAGCATAATCTTCATTATTATTAGTATTAGGTTTTTAAATTACTTGTAATTGAATAATATTTTAAACCTTATAAGAATTTGAGGAATTCTATAATAAAATTAAAAAACTATATTTAATACTTAACAAAAATATTTAAATACTTCTTTCCTAAGGGATTATATAAAATTGTAATTAAAGGTATATTAAATTCCGGTAGTAAAAATATTTATATTATAAATCGATTCCAAAAATTATTGAACGTAAATATAAAAATATAAAGTCAAAATCTTTAAAAGTAAAAAGAACGGTTAACGGTTATTTAATAAAGATATTTAATATATAATTATTATACTAAATAATAGATTAGTTAGAATATAACCATATAATATTTAATTATTATAAAATCCTTTTTTCTTTTAAAGAAGTTTCCTTCTTATAGATTTTTTAAATTATTTAATTATTTTATAAATAATATAATTATAAGGTTGCGTATTTCGTCTTCTAAGAATTATAAAGATAATTCTTTTAATTCCGTAAATCAAAAAGAAATAAAAAGATTATTTTTAAATTTTAAAAGGTTTCAAAATTAAAAGAATAAATAGTTCCCTTATTAATAAAGGTCTTAATTTACCTTAATTAAATTATATACACTACAGTTTGATTTTAAGCCGTTTAATATAATTTAAATTCTTTATATACTTTTTATAAAGGTTAGAATTATATATAAAGTAGAATTTCAATTGCGAATATTTAATTCAATTTATTCGATTTTATTTAATTGAACAAATAATATATATCTTTATACAACCTATCTATTAAACAAAATATATATTTAATATTTATATAAATAATTTAATTTAAAACTCTTATACCTATCCTAAAGGGCGTGCCATGCTTATACCCCCGGTTGGCCATCAAGCCATACCATAATACTTACTACCAAAATAGTTTTTAACATTTAAAGGAGAGACTAACTACCTCCAATTAAATTTAATTCTTTTTAGTTTTTTCTCAACAAGTACCACCCTTCTATATCTCTTATTACCCTCCTAAACGTTTACCTACTACCCATTATTTAACTTCATAGTTTTATAGTATTTACGTAACCTACTTGGGGGTTGGGCGGGCGGCTTGGAAACCTTTTGTCAACCCCCTCTCATTAAGTAGGGGGAAAAATATTCTGGGACAAACTTTTAATTTGGGATATCTGAAATATTAGCGTGCACTATATAAAACTATTAGTGCGAAGATCTAACGATGATAACCACATCCACTAATTTTCTAAAATTCTGGCAAAAGTCCGGAAGCAAGGAAGGGGTATAAAGAATACTCCCTTAAAGTTTCAAAAAATTATCTTCTAAACTAGGCGAACGGTGGCTTCTAGACTTTGTATCGACACCAAACATTGTCATTTTTGGTATCGCGAAACCGCCGAGCTAAATTACGCTTCAACGGCAACGAAGTATACAACATGGAGATTTCTCGCCAACGACTCGTTCAAAATTGATGCAACTTTGAGGATACCTCTATTAGAGCCTTATTATTTTTCCCAAATTTTGCCAGATTTTTAGAAAATAGTAGTGTAGTTTAAGGGTAGTTGCATCTTCCCACTAACAGTTTTCTATGGTGCACGCTAATATTTCAGATGTCCTAAATTAAAAGTTTGTCGTAGAATATTTTTTCCCTCTACTTAATGAGTAAGGGTTGACAAAAGGTCCCACCACCGAACCGCACTACAACCCCTAAGTACTTCTACTCTAATATCTTCCGTACGCTACCCTGAAATTAACGTTCGCTATTCGGACATTTTAGTTGACTATTTAATATAGCTAATATATACCGATTATAATTAACCGCTCGTCATTAAAATAATATTTTTTAATATGCTGGAAACTGCTTTGGTTATAGATTTAAACTCCTTAATAAATACCCTTACCCGTCTACCTCCATTTACCTAAATTAATATTACTATCGTTCCTTATACTAATTGTACTAAAAAACGAATATTTATTATCCCTACTATTTCCGTCCCGACGGCTATAGAAAATATTTCTCTTAGCGAAATTATAGAAATTAGTATAATTTACTGTTAATAAACCGTTTCCTTAATTAAAAAAACTTCGCTTTAAAATATTCGATTAATTATTTTCAATTAGTATTTAAAATATATTAAATATTAAAAGGGTAAGAAGGGGCCTATTGTAAACGATAAGCTCCTATAATATTTTATTTATATTTATATTAAACCCTATATTTTAATTGAGAGGCTATTCGATAATTACTTCTATTTTATTTATTAAATTGGCGAATAGTATATATTTAATAAGAAGGCCCCTAAGGATACTGATATTAATAAGTTTAAATTTGTTAGTACCGACCCTTTTTTAAATAATAATAAAGTATAGTTTATTAACTTTTGTATAGAACTATGAAAGCCGATTAATTTTAATAAGTTTAAAAAAAAGGTAGAGATTATAAATAAAGCGAAAAGAAACTAGCCTGTAATAGTTACTCTTATCTAAATTATTATTATAAGGGATAATAATAATTCCGCCAACCCCGACGCTATTTATAAAGTAATAATGTTAAAGCGTACGCGAAAGTAGGCCGTTTCTCTACGTAACGAGAACTCCGCTTCTTCTCCTACTTTTAAACGGATATTAATTTTAAAAAGAAACATTAAGTAGGAGCCGGGTATTAAGAAGGAACCGGGCGTTAAGAGGGAACTGGCTATTAAGAAAGAATCGGGTATTAAAATGGAATTAGGGACGAGAACGCAGCCGGGTATTAAAAAGGAATTAAGTATAAAAGCAGAGCCTAATATAATACAAGCGCTAAAAATTAAATAAGAGTACTAAATTAAATAGGGGGTAGTATTAATTAAAGTATAAGCGTAAAGAAAGAATTTAATTTAAAAGAAGAAGTGGAATATAAGGATATTCCCTCCTCTTCCTAATAGTAAGCTAGGCTCTAAAAAGAAAATAATATAGAAGATAATAAGCAGGGGTTAGTAAATAGTGATATTATTATATTGGATTATTTTATCTTAGATAAAGAAGATTTTATTAATTTAGCCGATACCGAAGAAATTCCCGCGTACTTTATAAGGGGCCGAAGAAGTTCGTAACTAATCCGTTCCGATAGTTCTAATTCTACGCCTACCCCGGCCGAAGTACCCCTAACGCTTTCAGTTCATAATCGCAAATAGTAGACTTTTAAAATATTAACT